GGGTGGGGTCTCAAGTGCGCAAATTAAAGTTAGGCACCCTGCCAATAGAAGCAGCTACACCCGTGTCATGCGCCCCGCACGCCTGTTGGGGCACAATCTCATAACCTGGAGAAACAAACCGTCTCAGTAGATCCGGAGTTGGGCAACGAACACTGCCGGCGAAGATGTAGGAACCGGAGAATAGTGGACGTTTCCTTCCCCACCCGCGGCAGCCATTTAGACAACGCATCACCGCCGCTACCGGCGACGACGCGTCCATTTACATAGAGTAGCCATCTATCATGAGGGTACCCCTCTTGATCATCGCCGCGAAGTAACCACGAGATGCCCCCGTACCGTAACGGGAAGTGTAACGGCTATTCGTTACAACGAAGTGGGGCTCGCTCCACCGCCTCCGCTGTTCTTTTTTGCCGAGATCATCGCCGGGTATGACGTAGGGTTCACATGTATCGAGGCGGTTAAACTTTTCGCCTCCAGCATATATGTCGGGTGGTGTGCTTAGTAAGCGGGCGAGTTATGCGCGGGGAGATTTCTGCCACATTGAAAACCATCACAGATCCAGCGGTCATGACATCAACCTATCTGCACCAGCGCCCTTAGCTAACCTTATTGCAAAAACATTTTCTTTTGTTAGTCTCAACGTCCTCGAGACCACCTTCGACACCGGCACCATAAAACCATATAAACTCGATGCCACGAGAGGCCGCAGGTGAAATCTCATTTGGGGCGCACCTCCTACATTTTAGGCACACAATTCGCAAGCGACGTGGTTGGGGTTAACTCGATACGACGCGATGGTCCCGCTAGCCTGTCGGTAGCGTCTTCTTCGGCTTCTGCTTATGCCAGTTTCGGCTAATGTACGGTTAATTGGGTTTAGCCTTGCCCCCCTCTTCCATTTTCGTTAGGCATGCCGACCCTCAGTGAGACCCGCAAAATCGGATGCTGCAATCCCGCGATCCGTGGTCTCGATTCTACTATTTCTCGTGGTGCGGTCGCTGTGGTGTCCAAGTCCTTTTTGTGCCACTTATGCTGACATTGGCTCACTTTATTTGTGACATGTCTCTCGCCCGCGAACTGAATTTACTAACGACCCAACAATACCCCAACTCGTCGAGTCGATATTGTTCTTCCAAGGGGCGGGAAGGAAATTTTAAGTTTAGTAATTACTTTATGATTTCGATGCAGTTGGTGTGGGTTTGTTAATTATGGGTTCTTGGTAGTCTCTTCCCCCCTCACTGGCTCACACTAGGAGCGCGCTACCATACACTCCCCAGCCATCGCTCTCATCGCAACCATGAGTGACGAAGACGAGATTCCTCATTTCGACAGCCAGGATGAATTGGACCACCCGATGAAGGTTCTTGCCGTCCTCAAGACCGATGAATCCCCCGAAGGCTCGCTTGAAGAACGGCTCGTGGCTGGCATCCGGACCCACGGGGCGATGAACGACTTCTTTGACGACTTTGATGAGAAGATCGCCATCCCCAACGAGGGCCACATCAAGTATGAAGTTGGTAGCGACGGCTTGGTGGTGATTCTTGCCGATAACGAGGAACTTTTCGACAAAGTCGTCAAGTTTATCGACGACGTCAGCGCCAAGTTGGAGGAGGAAGACGAGGAAGAAGCCGAAGATGATGAAAGAGACGAAAAACGCAGAAAATAGGGTTTTGGGACACCTGGTGGGACAACCAGACTTATAGACACACATATTTTTGCTACATTATTAATGACATACACTTAGTTAGCGTCGCCACTTTCGGTAGATTCCCAGGTATAAGCAAATCCTTGGAGTCGTAATAACATGAATGCCTTACTCGGCTTCAACAGCTTTAGTCCCTTAGCTGGGTGAGCGTCTGTTTGATTCAATATGGCTCGGACATGGGTAGTGCGCGGCCCGGGTGGTGGTCGCAGTAAGATCGGTGTCCACCACAAGTGCTCGACACCATGAACAACTGGAGGGACATCGACATTGACGCCTTGGAGGGCGAGTACATGACTCCGGAGGAGCTTGTGCCCAACATCCCTCCGGTGCTGGCGGCCCAAGTTTCCCAATCCGCCCAAGAGGCCAAGCAGGCAATGGCTCTGGGCCAATGGTTACAGGCGCTCCAAGTAGTGTTGTCGAACCCGCCCTACGTCACCGATCTGCCTCAGGTGAAAGAACAGCATGCTCAGACGGTGTTTGATGTGTTGGTTGCCGTGAGAAACAACCTGGGACCCCAAGACTTGGGCCCTAAGTTCATCCAGCAATTGACCCCTGACCAACAAGACACCCTCATCAAATACCTTTACAAGAACATGAGCACCCCTTACGGGGCCAAGCAAGGTGGGGTTTTGCTTGCCTGGTTTGAAAAGACGATTGAAATCACTGGTGTGGGTTCGATTGTCAGATTTATGAGCGATCGCCGTACCGTCTAATCTGGTGGCGACAATGTTTACGATAAAATACACAAATACAGTTTCACTAGGTATTGTTCAGCAAAGGGATGTAGATATTCTGGGCTATGTGCGATCATAAATTCAGAAGCATGTGTAGAGACATCATGCAATGCTTCAGTAGAAGCACACCACCACCGAGTTAAGGACGGGGCCATGCGATTGGCTAAAATACCTGTAACTCCAAGCTTACTGACCGTAACGCCAGGATCCGTCGGCAACGCCTTTTCAGGTACGTTGGGAATCCAAACTTGTCTGCCATGATTTTCTCATTTGACATAATGGAGAATCTATATAATTTCAAGGCTACGTTTGACTAAGAAAGCGAATCCTAAACGGTGTATCCGTCTTGCCGTCAATTCATTGATAGTTTGGAGTACGGTTCTTGCCATGTAAACTGAGTAAGAACATGACAGGCGAGAATCTACGTCAAAAAAATCCTTTTTTCATATCATTAGTCATTATCTATAAACCTAATACTTCGACAAGATCTTCTCGATGGCTTCAACCAAGATGTCAGCGTGCTTTTCTTCGAACACCAAGGTGGGTCTCAATCTGACCGAGTCTTCGGCACAGCCACCGATGTTGACACCGACGGTCTTCATGTCCGACAAGAACTTGTTTCTGGCGTCGGCAGAGGGCAACGACCAGGCGATGAAGGTACCTCTGTTCTTGCCTCTCAAGTCACGCAAGTATTGGGGGTACTTTTGCGCCAACTTGTCCAACTTGCCGTACAAGTAGTCACCGACACGAGCGTTGAGGCTGACCAAGTCGTGCTTTTCGATCTCAGCACCAATGGCGCCACCGATGATCATTCTGGCGGGGTCACCACACCAGGTGTTGAATTGTCTGTAGGCCACCGAGGGTCTGAGAGCAGGGTCGTGGAAGTAGTAACCGGCGGTTTGGAACTTCTTCGAGAAGGTCACCAAGTCGGGGGGAGTGGGCAATTCGAACCATTCGTGGGCCCAGAACTTACCGGTGGCACCAACACCAGTTTGCACTTCGTCCATGATCAACAAGGCACCGTGGTCCTTGACGATCTTTTGCAAGCCTTGCATGAATTCCTTTGAGGCGTGGTTGTCACCGCCTTCCGATTGGATAGGTTCGATCAATACACCAGCAATGGGCGAAGGCCACGACTTGAACAAGGTTTCCACGATGGCGAGGCATCTCTTGTCTTCTTGTTCGTTTTCTTCCTTGTGTTGGTCCAAGGGGTACTTGTACGAGGGGTATTCCGCCTTGGGCCACTTGAAAGCGGGCATGTCCAACTTGTGGATGGGCTTGGAGCAGGTGGCCGAAGCCGAGGCAAACAATCTCCCGTGGAAGGCGCGTTCAAACGACATGATCGCCAATTCAGGAGCACCAGGAGTGGCGTTCTTCATCACCGAGGCGTTTTCTTCGGCGGTGAAGGGGGCCCCCTTTCTCTTTTGTTCTTGGTACCAGAAGAACACGGCCTTGAACGCCAATTCGTTGGCGTCGGCACCGGAAAGACCCGACCACACTTGGGTTTGGCCCTTGGGGGCAACCTTGAGCAAACCGTCGACGATTTCCTTCATGTCGCTCGAAGGGAAGTTACCTTGAGCGGGTCTGTCGACGAGGGCTCTGATCATCTTGGGCGACTTGGCGGCTTCGATGAGGGCAGGGTTGTTGTAACCCAAGGGGATCGAGGCGATTTGAGCGTAGACATCCAAGTATTCGTTGCCGTCAACGTCAACAATGTAGTTACCGCTCGACTTTTCGTAGTCAGCGACAAAGTAGACGGGTCTCGAGTCGAAGACCTTGTCCAAATCGGCAATCTGGGCCTTCGATTGAGGGCCGGGGAATTCCGAAGTCACAACCTTCGGTTGCGAGGGTTCGCTGGGGAAGTACTTTTCACAAACCGACATTGAACAATCGATAAAGAAACCACCTTGCGGATCGTGGCTCTTATATAGTCTACGGTTGCCGCCCCACTTGGATGTATGGGGTAAATTTCCCGCTAGCCGCTAAGGATCCGATGCCATCTGCAGGATGTCATAATGTCGGCTAAGAGAATGCCATCGAATCAAGGCGGGACATCGGGGAACAAGCAAAAACTGCTCAATGCCAGCTATGTCTATTTTGATGGGGCGGTGTGATGAAGTCCCAGTAGCAAGCCTATCGGCAAGCGTAAATATTGCTACTTTTTTCATGATGTATTTGGCGCACCACACTCATGGTCCCTATTTTTTTCTGGTTAGCCGCTAAGTTCAACAGCCATCATCCGCGCAATTTAGCCGCTAACGACGTGGCCGACAAATCGTGATCTTCTCCCAGTTGCATGATCACTAGCGGCTACTGGCGTGGTTTTGAAAACAAGACCTCATACTGAGTCGGCTTATACTCGACATGGTAGTCGACGAAGACACCTCACAACATCGTAAATATTGAAAAGCCTCATATAGCCAACATCATATCAGGGAACACTTGCACGACCAGATCGCTACTACTTCTATAGGCTTGTCAAGGGCAACGGGTGAACTTCGATCACACCTTGCAATAACCATAACAGAGGTCAGTTGGTGGAGATCACGTGAGTGACATATATAGATTCGCGATACTGATAGCCGCAATATTAACTTCACTCGCGACTAGATCGTGGCAAGTGAGGCGATATAAACGCAAAACTTTATTCTATCTCACCACCCGTAATGTCCATTCCAAGCGTCATAGCAGTGAGCAACTATTGCCGATCGTAGAATGAAATAGTGCCAGTAGAGATGACGCAATCAGTGTTACATAATCCCACGATAATCGTTACGCCATCAATCCCACAATCTAGTCTATCCACCCACTATGACCGCCCCGAGATTTCCACGGGTAGCCGTCATCGGAGGAGGGCCTGCAGGCATGGCATCTGCCAAAGCGTTGGCCCTTGAACCCAACAAGTTAACCGCCATTGACGTGTATGAGCGCCGAGATCGCCTCGGGGGCATATGGTACTACATGAACACCCCGAAAGATAATGTGCTTCCGCCAATTCCTTCAACTCTGTGTGAAGATCATGAGGTTGTGCTTAAGCCAGGCTTTATCCTGAGTATGTACACCTATTTGGAGACTAATCTTCAGGTGAAGTTGATGGAGTACCTGAACTTACCTTTTGAAGGGGGCGATTTTCCACCCAGAACGAAAGTCTACGACTATTTAAATGAATACGCCAAGACCATCCCTGAGTCAGTCAACGTCAAATTCAACTCCGACGTCGACGAAGTGAAGAAAGAGGGCGACGTGTGGAAAGTCACCTCAAACGGGGAATTGATCGAATACGATGCAGTGATTGTGGCTAACGGTCACTTTGATCTCCCTTTCATACCCAATGTGTTTGGTTTATCAGAATGGAATGAGAAGCGACCCAATACTGTCACACATTCTAAGTATTTCGTCACAAGTGAACCTTACAAGGGGAAAACGGTGCTTGTTGTGGGTAATGCCTGGCTGGGAATTGATGTTGCCGTTCAGGTGGGGGTAGTTGCAAAGAAGGTGTACGTTTCGTCTCGCACACCAGAAAAGATAACAAAGATCGACTTGTCTCTGGTTGAAGAAGTGGGTGTCATAACTGAATTCGATCACGAAAATCAACGAGTGATCTTAGCCGATGGGACTGTACTTGAAAACATTGATGCTGTGATATACTGTACGGGATATCTTTATCAAATGCCATTTCTCAAAACTTACGGCGATCTAATCACAGAACATGTAATTAAGGGCTTGTTCCATCAGACGCTTTACGTGGAGGATCCTTCCATCCTGTTTGTGGCTCTACAAAAAGGAGTTTTACCCATGCCACTCCTGGAACTTCAAGCTGCGATGATCGCTCGAGTTTACAGTGGCAGATTGGCACTCCCTCCGACGTGTCATATGAGAGCGATGCTGAATGCCGAATACGAGGCACGTGGTGACAAAATCCATGAATTCAACTATCCCTTAGACGTCGAATTGTACCGACTGTACTTTAAAGTTCTCGCCGATCGACCGGGATTATTGGATCTGGGTCTCATCCCCGTTTATTGGGATGATGAGATGAAGAAGGCGAGATCCGAAACGAAAGACTTAAAACTTGCCCGTATCAAGGAAATTTTCAAATGGGCGGAACACTTGAGAAAGGAAGGGAAACCATTCACCCTTGCGCCACATAAACGTGGTGAATTTGGTCACTGATGATCAAAACAAGAAAATGAAACCTTCTTGAAGATAGATGAATGGAATTACCATGATGTCCTCATGGATTTGTATGGAATACGCTAGATTATGTTGCAATGACTTACAATTTAGCGTATGTAAGGAGTACACATTTCCTTCAGTAAGGCCAACTTAGAGGTAAAACATAAAGAATTGACACTCGCGAATCATGGAAGTTAAACCTAGTCTCAACCAAACTAAACCTTCCTTCAGCTCATAGAACGAGGGAAAAAGGTTAGGTTGTAGACAGCTAATGGGTTTTTCGAAACCTATCGCCACGAAGAATCGAAAATCGCTCTTTCCCTCGAAAATGAGATGGTTCCATTCATCTAGAGGTTGATAGAACTTCTCTAGGAGTGGTCAATTCTCTTCATTTTCGATTTGAAATTATCATTGACCTACCTCTACCTCCACATGAGATAGTTATATAGCCGTCACAACTTAACTAAGAGTGCAAGACACGTTATAAACTCGATAGGTACACATTATTGGTGACAGAGATATAAAATTGAGTCAAATCCGAAGATCACACCTAGCGGTCTAGTGATAATGATAACGATAGAATTAAAAATTAATCCGCCCGCGTGGCCCAATGGTTAAGGCGCTCGACTTCTAATCGAGCGATTGTGGGTTCGAATCCCGCCGTGGGTTGTTTTTTGCTTCTGTCACTTTCGATTAATGTAATATAATCAAAAGAAAGCCATTCGTTTTTGTCACCTTTGCATCGTATGTCTATATTGCGTCTCTAATTTCACACACACACTCCGAATCACGAGTATATTTCTTCCCCTGCAGGTGACCACATTGTCAATGTAAATCAAGAAATGGGTAAGCGACCAAGGTACATATTTTCAATATCCAGACAAATTCGGATACCAATTTTGGTGTTTGGGTGAACTTGACGTGTAAAGCATCATTCGCGCGTTGCCGCCACAATGTCTTACTTCGACGATCATAACCTAGATCCTAATAGTCCTGATGGCAGAAGGCAAGGATCAAACAGCACCCGCTCTCAGCAAACCTTAGCGCTGGCTCTCAATCAGTTTTTCGTTGGAGGAACCGCCGAAGCCTCTGAAGTTTCGTCCGCTCTCCAAGTGATCAACAGTGAACTAGCTGAACAATTACTTGAACAATTGAAGGAACCTTCAGAAGGGGTTGACGATGAGTTTCTTGCACTGTTGGAACGCGTCTCGCCCAAAGTGATTGAAAAAGAACAGTGTCCTATTTGCACAGCTAACTACTGTGAAGATCCCCATCCCCTTGTTGTCAAACTCCCCTGCTCCCTTAAGTCAGGGAGTATAGATCACCACTTTGATTTAGAGTGCATCGGGCCGTGGTTGAAGGTCAATTCCACGTGTCCGCTTTGTCGTTTTGACGTTCATGACATTAAGAAGCTCAAACGAGAGAAGTTAGAGCGAGAACTCAAAGAAGCGGACGACGAGGATGAGGATGACTGGGACGACAATTACGGGTGAACTTAATATAGAGCATGGCGTGGAGAAAAGCAAAGGGGTGTGTGATGCTATCGTTCGTATCTTAAAGCTATGTACATGACTACTCGTCCTTCTTGGCCTTGGTAGGCTCCACCGCTTCCTCAACGGCTTCCTTCACTTCTTCAACCACCTCCTTAACCTTTTCGTTCACCTGCGACGTCACCTTGCTGGCAGCATCCTTGATGTCCCCAAGAGCCTCCTTGACAGCCTCAGTAGGGGTAGTGGCACTAGACAGGTCCACCGCATCTTTCTTGGCAGCCTTGGCTTCCTTCTTGGTGTCCTTCAGATCGGCCTTATCAGCTTCCTTAGCCTCTCGTTTGGTTTCCTTTTGCTCTTGTGGCTTGCCATCCTGTTCGGGGGCAGTAGTATTGGATTCAGCTTGGGCTTGTTGGAACAATTCACCGTTCAACAATTCCTTGACCTTCAAAGCCACGGGGTCATCCAAGTCAGCGTAAGCTTCAGGCAAAGTAGCATCTTCAATCCATTCAAGGCCTTGTCTGGTGGTGATCGAGGCCTTGTATTCAACGGTATCCAAAGCATACTTGTTAACATATGACAACCACAAATCAATCACTTCGGGGTTAGCATCGAAAGCCAGAATTTCGCGATTGTAGGTCACTCTGTGGAAATTTTCCTTCGACTTGGCTTGAGCGAAAGGCGATCTGATGACAGTATACAACCGCTTTTCGGTTTTGAGAGTTTTGAGCTTGGAACAAGGGATGTTTAAGTAGTAGGCGGCCCGCAACATGAACTCGCCCGCACGGATCAAGTCATCCTCATTGTAACCTCTTAAGGTGATAGTGGCACACTTTTCAGCGTGCTTGGGCTTGTGACGAAGCGGCTTGTACTGCAAAAGCTCGACATTGATGGGCACGGGCCGCTGCAGCACCGGGTTGACCTCATTGGGGGAAATGTATTGCGGGTCGTATGAGAAAGGTTCCAGAAGCAACGCCAGCTTGAACGCAGCATCTTCAGCAGCCTTCGAGGCTTGCTTGGAGACGTACTGGTCGGGGGTTTGCTTTAAAAGCCTCCGTCCAGAGCTAAGGTGTCGTAACCACCGCATAGTATCCTGGCCGGTTCGATGAAAAATTTTGTCCGCGCTAACAGAGAAGAGTGAACCAAATGGAGGGTACTCAAGATTGGAAAATTTTAAATTGATTAGTATTGTAGATTAGCATCTATTGATACTGGAATGCATGTTAGATGGCTTCATTAAGCTGGTTCTGAAATTTTCTCGCCTCAAACATACCATCAAAGTCGACTACTCAAAAATCTCGACATCCAATACATTTGTAGTTACAGCTTCAAGAAAAGCTATTAAATCAACCAGCAAGTAAATCCATACTCATTTCGAACTAAAGCTTCCGCCTACAGTTGTGTGTTAATGGTGGATGTTTATCGGCTCGCGCCAAAGCTCTCCTGCATTGTCTCCATCATCTGCGATGGGGAAGGCTTCCAAGGATAAGCGGGATCTTTATTACCGGAAAGCCAAAGAAGAAGGATGGAGGGCTCGGCTGGCCTTCAAGTTGCTACAGCTAGATGAAACCTTTGACCTTTTCACCAATACCAAGCGGGTGGTGGATCTCTGTGCCGCCCCCGGGTCATGGTCTCAAGTGCTCAGTCAGAAATTGAAAGATGTCCCCGATTCCCGGGTGGTGGCAGTTGACTTACAACCGATGATGCCCATCGAGAACGTGACTTGTTTACAAGCCGACATCACTCATCCCAAAACATTGAAGTTGATCCTCGATGTGTTTGGCGGTGAGCCCGCTGACTTTGTCTGCCTGGACGGGGCGCCCGATGTCACTGGGCTCCACGATCTCGATGAATACATTCAGGGCCAGCTTGTGCTTAGTGCGTTACAATTAGCGTGTTGTGTTTTGAAGGAAGGAGGTACATTTGTGGCGAAGATTTTCCGGGGGCGAGACATTGACTTATTATACTCTCAACTTGGGTTCCTCTTCGACAAAGTTGTTTGTGCTAAACCTCGACTGTCACGGGGTACTTCCCTTGAAGCATTCATCGTGTGTATGGGCTACCACAAGCCGGCCGGGTGGGAGCCTAAGTTGGATGAGCTGATCAGTACAGAAGAGTTCTTTGCTGGGGCCAATATCGGCAAGCAAGCAATGACCGAACAAGCAGACTACGGCGTAGCTACTGAACCTCGCGTCATCGCCCCATTCATCGCTTGTGGTGACTTGTCAGCGGTAGACTCTGATGCTACTTACCGTCCCGGCAACCTCAAGGGGTTGGACCCCGTACAAGCTCCCACGGCTCCCCCTTACAAGCAGGCATTGGAGTTGAAGCGGAAAAACCAAAAAAAGTCAACCTAATCAATTGTATATAATTTTTAAATCACTCAGTTGACGACTTGATTTCAACGTCTGGTGTTCTATGGTGAGAGTGAAGTAGAGAGTCAGACAATAATACATTACATTGAAACGACCAACAATCAGTATGCCAGGCTCACCCGTAGCTTTATTCACCAAATCGCCTATCTATTGAGACGAGCCACGTGATGAGGCCCCTAACCTTCCCCACGCTCCCTAGATCACATCGCGACGCGCGCTTATCACTCTACAAGCCACAACACACCACCCCCTGGCAGTTAGCGCCACTATGAAGCGGCGGCTTGCTGAATCGGACGACGACGTTCGTACGGCAAAGCGGGCTGATTACCTGTCGGACTATTCCCCTGATGATAGTGAGACCGACACCAATGGCAACCCCCCTCCAGCGGTGCCTGCGCGTCCTGATCCGAGACGGTTGGACTCAAACCTGGATGTGACTCTGGAACTGGAACTGGAATCAGAAACACCAAACGGTCTTTGGGATACCGAGCCTGCCAAATCAGGGTGGATCCAAAAACTCGAGCTTTTCAACTTTATGTGTCACGACCATTTTGTCATCAACCTTCACCCGCAAATCAACTTCATCATTGGTCGTAACGGGGCTGGCAAACTGGCCATTTTGACCGGTCTTCTCGTGGCATTCGGGGTGAGGGCCAATGACACGTCTCGAGGCTCGGCAGCCAAGGATTTGATCAAACACGGGAAGCAAACGGCAAAGGTGCGAGTTACGTTTGCCAACGAGGGCGTCGAGGCGTACCAACCAGATGTTTACGGGCCTCTGATAACTATCGAGCGGAAGCTTGTGCAAAAGGGTGCCCACTCTTACCTGTTGTTGGATAGCTCCGGCAAGGTCGTACTGAAAAGACGACGCGACCTCGATGACATGCTCCGCCGTTTCGGAATCACGGCTGAGAATCCCATGGCGTTTATGTCGCAAGAACGAGCGAAGCAGTTTCTCAAGGACACCAACGATTCGCAAAAGTTTGATTACTTCCGTCAGGGTGCTATGATTGACGTCATCGAGAAAAACTACGTTGATCTGGAAGAGAAGCTTATCAACATCCGCCGAAGAATAACCCAAGCACAGGAACTGATGAAACTGATAAATTCTCGATACCAGAAGCTTGAAAAAGAACACAATCTGTATCTGGATCACCAAACGTTACAAGCCGAACTTGCTGCTTTGCAAGGGCGGGTGCTTTGGGAGATTGTTCGCAAAATTGAGTTGAAAATTGATGCGTTTGTCGAAAAGGAAACCGCTTGCCAGGAGGACATCACCTCTCTCGAGGGGGAACTTGAAAAATTGGAGACCGAAATGGCCGCTCACGATGTTCGGAAACGTGAACTTCAGGATGTAGTTGAAGAAGCATTGGCTATTAGGGATCACAACCGATTGGAGGCTGAGAAAGCTAAAGATTTCACATCCGGACTTAACCAGAAGTTAAACGCGGAAAAGGCTCAGTTGTCTGAACTTGAAAATAAAATCATCAAATGCCAAAATGATATCAAGACGCTTGAAGGAAGGTTAGAAGGAGAACGAGAACGTCTCGAGCAACTGGGGAACTCTCGCGATATCATCGAAAAGGAATTGCATATCGTTGAAGAGCAATTATCTCAAGTTATACTTGACTTTAATGCCGCTCAAGCAGCAGTGGATGAAGCGGCGGAGCTTCAACTCCCGGCAAACCTTGGAGATGAGTTGAGATCAGCTCTGGACGAAGTTGACCGGCTTAGTAGACATGTGAGTCAACAAAATCGAGATCCCTACCAAGCGTGGGGGCTGGGAATGCGAAACCTTGTAGCTGCTATTAAACGAGAACAAGGTTGGAAGAATGAACCAATTGGGCCGTTAGGTGCCTTCATTCTGGTCAGAAGTATCCCAGGATTCAAAAACACCGAGTGGCAGAAACTTGTTTGTACTGTTTTGGCAAAACAACTCAACCTGTTCGTCGTTTCATGCGAGTCTGATCGTCGGCGGTTGGAAGGTTTAATTTCAAGGTACATTCAACATAATGGTCCCCTGGTAATCACGCGTAAGTTTGCGGTATTTGACTTTTCCCAAGGTAAACCCAGAGATTGTAACACCTTAGTTGATATCTTGGACGTGAGCGATCCCATTGTTCAGTGCGCTTTAGTAGACTCTAGTCAAGTCGAAAGATATGCCATATTGACTCAGGACGATCAACAGGCAATTAACTTAGCAGGAAGATCGCAAATTGCCGGGGTGTACATATTGCGTGGTAATGGGGGCAAAGTGTTAAAATCGGTGAATCGTACGCTCAAACGTGACCCTATCTACTTCGACGAAGGTCTCCCGAGACTAGCTGTCAAAAATGAAGACTTTACAGAACAGTTAAGAGAAGCTCAAAATCACTTGGCGGAGTTGCGGAACCGCGAAAGAGAGGAGCGGGAAAAAATAAGACGGCGTAAAGAGCAGGCATTATCAGCTCGTCGTGAATGCCAAGAAGAGAAAGCGAAGCTAGAAACCAAGATTTTCGCTTTGCGAGAAAAGTTGGCTGAGGATCTACAAGCACAGGTCGACAATCTTCAGAATGCCTTGCAACATGAGTTCAGACGTCTTGAATCGCATCAACGGTTGCGAGAGTCATTGACTGAGCAAGTTGCAGCGATTAGTGCCCAGCATCAAAGCGCTAAGGAAACTACAGAAAAGCTCAAGCAGGCTTTTGCGGCAGCAAATTACCGATTAGATATGGCCAAGGAAGAAGTTCGGACATTTGACGTCAACAATGCTGCGTCGGAACATCGTGTTGCCCAATTGAAGAGTGATATCGATGACCGTCAGCAAGAACTTGAAAAAATTCGCCAATACCTTGAAGAAGGTCGTACAAAACGCGAGGCTCGAGTTTCTCAAGCTGAAGAGATTGTCAGCAGGGAGCAGAGTGGACTTCAGCCAACCGATACGAAGGAGCTGTTGGCTCGTCGGTACGAAGAACTTGACCTCAAGGTCAAGCAGTTGGCAAGTGAGCAGAGGCGTTCCTATGAGGAGTGCTTGCAAGAATTTTTGAATGTCCAACAAGAGAGGGAAGAAGGCAAGCGTACATTAGAGGAAATGGCGGAATTACACGGGCAGCTCCGCCAAGACCTTAACCACCGGCAGGAGAAATTCATCGATGCTCGTACCAGAAAGCAACGTGAGGCTCGTCAAGCATTTTCTCGTTGTCTTGGAATAAGGGGTTTTGATGGTAGTCTTTGTTTTGATGAGGATAGACGCCGTCTTTCCATCAGCGTTAGTCGAGAGCGTGATGGCGATATGCGTGAAGTCTCCACTTTACTGGGGGGTGAGAAACTGTACACGCAAATCTCATTTTTATTGGCCATTTGGCGTATCATGGAGTCCAAGATCAGAGGGCTCGATGAGTTCGATGTGTTCATGGATTCGGTAAATCGGTCGATTGCCATCAAAATGCTTCTTCAGGAACTCGAAAAGTATCCAAAGTCGCAAACGATTCTTGTAACCCCGCAAGACATCTCAGCAGTTGGTGATTTGGATCGCGACGATGTCAAAATTCATCGCATGAATGACCCCAGGGCGTAGCAAATTTACGCAATATTTATTTTAATGAGACATCTTTTTCAGATTGATTAGTTGTAATATCTATGTGCAAGTTTCCTAAGATCTTTTGCGAAATGCCACTTCCTCTGGAAGTTTAAACAGAACACAAAACATTGGCTTAGTCGGGGCGACCTTTCTCACCAAATGGAATGAGCAAGCCTCGTAGGGTAGGTCATAATTGATCAACTTTTGTATCTTGGCGTGTACTCTCCGTTGAATTTCATCTTGCGAGGGTTCAGGTTGTTCCTCGTGTGAGTATTTTTCGAAACAGTGGCAATGAATCATGGGCAACTTGAATTGAGGATCAGCCTTCACGATATCCTCAACATCCGCGTATAATCCTTGAAATTCATCAAGGAAAGTGAGAGCCAGGTCTGGCAAGTTCATGACATAATGGGCAAAGTATTTGGGCAACGGCACTTCGTATGTTTCAACAGATTTTTCCAGCTTGCCATCTTCAGTTTTTCTCTTTTTTGTGACCTTCTTCTCTTTAACCGTTGGCTGTTGTTGTTGCCAATTCAAAAGGAGCTGCGGCAGCTGACGGATAAAATCACGGCCATCCAAGTTGAAGGGTTTAACGTAAGATCCAGTCTTATTAAGATCAACGTTCTCCACCAAATATTTATAGGATTCTGGATTCAAGTCATTAGCCAAGCAGAAAACACCTTTCTTACCCGCAGGCACAGCAAATGGACCCACACCGGCAAAAACATCGCCAACAACTTCTCCCAGCTTGAATTGACTAATTAAGCGATCGTGTTCTGTACTCAAGCGCAGGTTCCAATACACTTTGGAGAAGTCGAAGCGAAAGCGGCAACCACTCTCCAGTTGTTCAACGTTCAAATCATCTCTCCCTGCCAATAACTTCATCGGGAACGTACGAAATTTCGTATCGATCGTATTGATTTTGTCGACCACGGTTTCGATCTTGGGGTTTTTGTCGAGAATCACCTGGCCGATGAGTTCGCCGTAAGGCTTGAACTCATCTCGGAGGTTCAAATGTGCCACATGACCAGCTTGAGCATATCCCAGAGGTACATCATCGAGTAGATCTTCTGGTAAGACTGCTCTTAAGATATCGTCGGTTTTCCAAAATGAGTAGTCCAAGTCCATTACGTATGGACGGACTTCAGCTCCAAACAGAGTGAGAAGCTCGGTGGTGGCTGGGGCCAAATCCAGAGGCTTTTCAAGGTCTCCACGAAGTAACACACCCTTAGATCCGTCGACATTCACCACGTGCTTCACACTGGGGATGTTGAGAATATCATTCTTAGCTTCCTTGACAAACCGTCCCAAATATTGTGGTTGAGGGAAGTAGGCCACAAATAAATTTAATCGTTTCTGGAAGAACAGACGGTCAAGTTGAGTCATGCCCCGGTTCACGGGCGGCCCGAATTTGCTTTCCATGAGGATTCTTCTCGAGGTTCTGTTTAGATAATGGTACCCTCGCTGGAGGATGAAATTCATACTCGCACCTCCCAGTGGAAGTCTACTTAATGACTCGATCAAAGATGATTTTCATAAAAAATTATAGGAAAGCACATATCTGAGTGTCACGATTAACTTAATACTACTAATGCATTGATTCTTTTTATGCTCAACAGGTGTTTCCATTCTTCATAGTAAGACATCATCTCATCGCACGCGCGAACAAAGACCTAATCCACTCCACATACCACGATGTCGGTCATTAGTATAACCACGCCAGCACCAAAGAACAATGATGTTGACCTGGATGAAGAGATGGACAACGTTCACGAGGCGATTGTCACTCCGGGTGAGCTTGTTACCACCGACCCTGTGTGGATGAAGGGGCATGGCACATACTTTTTGGATGACAACACTTACTCAGCGGTAGCAGGGCAAGTGCTGAGAGTTAACCGGTTGCTCTCAGTGATTCCGCTTCGAGGGAGATACCAGGCGGAGACAGGCGACCATGTGGTTGGTCGAATTACAGAAGTTGGTAACAAGAGATGGAAGGTCGACATTGGATGTAAGCAGGATGCAGTACTCATGTTGGGGCTGGTCAATTTGCCCGGTGGTGTCCTCCGACGGAAGCTGGAGAGTGATGAATTGCAGATGCGTAACTTCTTGAAGGAAGGCGATTTGCTCAATGCTGAAGTACAGACTGTATTTAACAACGGTATGGCGTCTTTGCACACTCGTTCACTCAAGTACGGGAAATTGCGTAATGGTATCTTCATGAGAGTTCCTCTGTCACTTATCCTTAAGCTGAAGAATCACGCGTTCGATCTTCCAGGGAATGTTCTGATTATCCTTGGCTCAAATGGTTATCTCTGGCTCTTCAAACCCACCAGTATCCATCGCCCTCAAAAGCACGAAGTTGCGGAGAAGATCTTGGAATCGGCGAAGCTGACATTCACTACGCCACTGATCACCCGTCTCGAAGATGAATCTTCGTGGGAAATCTATAGTGATGTCAACGATCCGATTCCAGCTGCTGTTCGTCAAAATATCACCCGGTACTACAACGTCATTAAGGCACTTGCCTCTTGCGAGTTGGGGATCACTGAACAGCGTATCATCTTGGGATACGAAGCCCTGATGGGGTTCGAAGGCATCGGTCTGTTAAATGAAAAGGAAGCGATGGAATCTTTGTGCAATGAAGTGCTCAGATCTGAAAAGATGAGAGGGCAGTGATGAGGCATCGATGATAAGTTTCAGCATACCACTATTAATGAACCAGTCTAATTCAGGCGGAACTCGAGTAATGATAATGATCATGAAATAAAATACAAACATACGCAAGTCTGATGACTTCAAAGGCATTTTTAGGAGCAGACTCGACTTGGAGGTGGCATATAGTGTTTGGTTATTCTTCTTAGCAAAGTCACTTTTTCAAGTATGTTGGTTTCTTAGTCAATACAAATGAGATACAAATTGTATGAAAACCGACTTCAAGAAGTCAAAAAAACATACACGATTAATTATTCTACTCGATAAGCTGAGAAATTGCAAAAATATATGCGAATTTTGTGGATCGAACACAAGACCTCCAGATTTCAGGACCGAAGTTGACTTCAGTCTGGCGCTCTCCCAACTGAGCTAAATCCGCTTATTGTGATTTTTCTAAGTTTGGTGACTCATATAGTAACGTAAAATGTAATCCAAGAGTTTTTTGTGATAATGAACCAAATGTTGGTACAATGAATGCAACAGAGGTATCATTGCCATTTAAAGTGTTTTCTAACGGAATCCAGGAACTGAAATGAAATATTTGCGTTTTTTTGAAATTTCTGGACATAGGACGGGACCTCCTGCTGTTTCGAAGGGCATTTTGGTTATCACATCATTCTGGAGGTTTACAAGTTGTGTTTTCTGACAACGCCGACATCGAATGCGACGTTTTCCGACGATAGCTGGCTCTCTGTAGCGTCTTCTGTGCAAGCTTTTGAAGTTTAAAAAGTTAATTATTAATGCACAGTGTTAGATAAAAGCCTCAACGCTAGTGGTTACCCTATTGAGCTGCAACTCCTCTGGTTTCCAATGGTAAAGTCAAGAATAAGCAGCCCGCAGTCATGAAGAGGGCTCCACTCAAATAGACCGGGGCACCCAGACTCAACGTCATAGTCAAGGAGGTAAGCGGACCCAACAAGCCAAAGCTACGATTCCAAAACAGACACATAGCCAGACCTATTGCTCGTTTCAGTAATGGGTAGACTTCGGGAGTGTAGGCATACATGGCCCCGTACAACAATGTGGTTGTAAATGATATACCACAGTTATAGAGTAAGTATGATGAGAAAATAGTGTCTTCCTTGGACGGTTTTGCCAAAATGAACAAGTACATGAACATGCCCGTGAGAACACCTCCGAGAGCACCAATCCCTTTTCGGCCTAGCCGTGGGTTCTGAGCCAACTTTCCAGCGACTACACCCAGCGGTATCAGGAACACCGACTGAATGGCGTAGTCACGGTATGTTTGATTGAGCGTAGATGCTTTGGTATTAAGGTAGATTGGAAGAAATGACAGGAACAAAGGGTATCCCATACCACAAAGTGCCCATATCAACCAAAGCCTTATAGTTGTCCGCCTAAGATCACCATGAAGTAAGTCCGAGACTTGAGTTTTTGTTGATCCGATCGATTGATGCACTCGTTCCTTCCAGCTTGCTTTAATATTGCCTTGTAGAGCATTGTCAGAGACAGAGTGCTCACCAGTATAGTTGACTGCGACCCGAGTACCATTTGATCGTGCAATGTGGTTAAGGATAGATTCGGTTTCAGTGAAATCTCCCTTGGAAGCAACATACTTAGGCAGTTCTCGTACCGGAAGCATTCTGCTCCCCGCGAACATGACAATGGTGAGAATCCCAAAGATACTATAAGCGTATCGCCAACCTTTGTTATCATTTGGAATACAATCCACCGCATCAACACAAGTGTGCTTAGCCACGAGCGGCCAGCCGATCATTGCTGCCGTAAACAGGCCTAGACCCCACGCAATCAGCTCATAGAGGATCCAGTGTTGATGGCTGGGAGGAATTTCTTCCACAACCAACATCAGAGCAACTGGTTGATTACCCCCAATGTTGAAACCCACAAATAGCAACAACACACACAATAAAAAGAACGAATGAGCAAATGATGCGAGGAGGCCACAAACTCCAGCACTGATCAAGGAATAATTAAATGCTTTCAATCGCCCGTAGCGATCAGCGGCTAACGGCCATACCACACACCCCACTGTAAGTCCAACATACTTGGCAAACACCGTCCAGGCTACGTTGTGACTCGAGAATTCTCGCAGAACGGGGAGCGATATGAGGGATATGGCAAACATCCAGAAATTGTCATAGAACCGGCCGAGTCCTCCCACGGCAAGCACATAGTACTGGTATCTTCCGAAACCAGCTTGCTCAATATCTGAGGTGACTACTCGTACCACAGCATCTTGAGTGGGACTCATATCTCGACCATGGCCTGTTATCACTTGACGATACGCGTCGACATGAAATCAGCATGCAGGCTAATCAACCAGATATCGAGATAGAAGTCGAGAGTGAATCAGCTCAAGCAAATCACTAAAAAAATTGGAATGTTTCCATCGCGATTGGGTTACAATGAGAATGTGTAAATTATATGCCTAGGCCCTTTCGGGGTAGCTGTACAAGTGGTAGTAGTCAACGACCTGGCCGTCTAAGTTGGCCTCACCTTCAATGGGCAACAAAAACACGTTGCGCCAGTCGGGTTCACCCAATACCCAGAAATCGATCCAGTTTTGCTTAGGTCCAAAATCGGTGGGGATCTCTAGTCTTTGTTGGTCGGATTCGTCAAGGGTACTCTTAAGATACATCTTCACCGTCAACACGAATTGGTCAATCCCCAAAATACGCATACAGGTGTTTAATTGGTTCCGCAGACCCGGCTTGGGCGCTGTTAAGTCATGGACGTTCGTCTCTTTGGGACCGAAGTCCAGCGGCACCGTCAGATGGTTATAGGTGCTGTCACGACCGCGTCCACTTTGTAGGTGAGCGAGTTCCCAGGTAGTCACGCCTCGAAGCACTTGGAACAGTTGCACTACGGTGACGAACGTCAACCACACATACTGCAAACAACACCACACCATTAAGTTGAACAAGAAGTGGTGGTTGCGGAACCCGTAGCACATATCCTCGCTAAGCAACCAGCACTCGTCCTCGTCGGAGTCGTATCCATCGGCTTCACGAGCGTGGCGTTGACGGTTGAAGTAGGCGAGAGTCAAGTAACTGAAGAGCAAAATGGCTAGGTTGAGCGCATAGACGAATCCGAGGAAAAGCTTGTGATTGCGGACACCCACTTCATTGTACACCCAGGGACAGTAATGATCGTACCGGGCAATAAGCCGGCGCAGATGGCGCAGATATCTCAGTCGAAGGGGTTTGCGAACAAAGGTGTTGACGTCAAAGTCGTCGGTGTCAAATCGGCCGGCTTTGATGAGATCACGCACCTGGCTCAAAATGACCTGGTTATCAGCAGGAATCGGCACGTACCCGGGGTTGAGCATCATCGTCTTATAGAAGCAGAACGAGAACACCCCAATAACGACGGCCATCGCCACACAGGTGAAGTAGTGAGACCGCCACAAGTTGGGGAAGAGCACCCACAAGAACAGCACAATCGCCCAAAAGGCAGTGCCCGAAAAGACACCCGCCAAGAACGGGGTTTTGGCTAACATCACCTCTTCACGGATGTACACTGGAGCGACAAAGCCAACAATGATGGCAGCAGTAGCCAAACAAGCAACGATAGCGAGGAAAAGCTTAGGCACAAACAAACCTAAGCCAAAGGATAACACTGCGAAGCAGAAGGGAAGTAACAAATACGGGGCGAAAAACGTCACCACCTTTGCTATCAATTGGCCCCGTGGCAGAATCACCAGGGCGGCGTAGTTATTTTTAGCCGTACGGCCTTCTTCGCGGAGAGTCTTAAGCCAAAGCTGTTCGCAGTTCATGTCGCGAGCCACGGCAAACGAATCCTTACCGGCATTATTCTCAGCGAATATGTCCAGTCCCGCTTCGACTAATCGGCTAAGGGTGTTGCGTTGTCCTCGCATGAATGCCCAGTGAAGAGGGATGAATTGTTGGTCGTCTCGTTTTGTAACATCGGCACCAAAACGAAGCAAAGCATTAATCGTCATGATGTCTCCTTGGTAGGCAGCCCAGTGAAGCAGAGTACGCTGGTGATCATCGACTTCGTCAATGTATACTGCGGTAGGTTCTTGCAGCCTCAGAGGATCGCAACATACGAGGAGCAAGTAGATAACAAGAGTAATATTGCTGGAGTGGACAGATAAATGCAACAGGTTATACAGCTGTCCGTCACGGAGACGAGGGTCGGCGTTGCCATGAGTCAAAAGGTAGTCAACGATGTACACGAGCCCATTACGACACGCCCAGTGCAATGGGGACGCCTGGAGCTCACCCCCTAAGGCGTTGGCATCAGCGCCCAGCTCCACCAATAACCGCACCACCAGTAGTCGGTTGTTGATGGCTGCCCAATGAAGCCCCGTGATGCCATCGTCGGTAAAGGCAGTGGCTAGTTGAGGGTCGTCTTTGATAAACTGTTCCACAGCGGCTAAATCGCCCATCTGACAGGCAGCCATAAACCTCAGGATATCATCTTCAGGAGCTGGCGGCAGGAGCTCAGCTGACTCGTCGACATCGTCCAAAACGGGGGCCTGGGCGGCGCCATTAGAGCCATTGGCTTCAACGCCGTTGCGGGCGTCGTCTTCATCGGTGAGGAACGAGTCGTCGGTGAGAGCAGCGTCAAGCAAGGCCTCCGTCGAGTGTATCGACGAGCGTTTCGGCTTGTCTCCGACCAGGCGTAGCTCTACTTCGTCCATTCGAGTGCTGCGAGAGCGTGGTGATAACGGCTTTTTCAAATCGCACTCAGTGAGGCTGGGGGGTGGTGGGGGGCGGATTTAGAAAGGCGAGGTTCGAGGGTGACCTGGCTGCGCCACAAAATGTCTGTGGGAGTAGAGATAGGTGAGTAACTCGGTGGATGTTAGAGTCTGAAAAATTTAGTGGTATTTTGGTCGTCGAACGGTAGTGGTAGAGAACAAGTGCTCATAAGCACTGGAGCCGGGGTATACTCGGTGCCCGATTACAGGGGGGGATGTAAGTAGTGGTACAGTAATAATCAGATCCTCGGCACGGTGACGTAAACTGATGAGACACCTCGATGAGTTCCCGTATGTTGTTGGGTGTGGCTTTGATGAAATGTCCCCGTGCTGCAAACCCGGTGGCGATGTGATTTCCCGCGGAGAGAGATGAGCGGTTGCGAGCAACCATGATAGATCCGCTAAACCAGCATCACTATTGTTGTCCGAGTTTGGAGAATGAAACTCACACTATGATGTAATAACCAAAGCTGATGAAATCCTGAGAGAATGCCAAAGTCATGTAGGAGTGAGTTGTCTCTATTTGTTCTCTTCCAATTTTCTGAGATGCCAAGCCTATTTCATGGTGGAGTCGCTTAAAGAGTGTTGATTAACTCATGTTTGAGTCGAGTATTAGGTGAACTAAGTCGATTCGGAATTATTATTATCACCCTGTGATAGGTTTGCGCTTGCTAGGTACAACTGGGGGACCCCCTGCTTAATGCAAGTTAGCCAGGCACCACCCGGCCAATTCCTCAAGTTAACTCTGGAACCAGCTATTTTCAGACTGACATGCGCTAACAAAAGTTTCTCCCACATTTGCAAAGAATACAATGATGTAACTTTTATAATGTGGATACTGAGTTTGTTATAAAGTTCTTTGGATCTCCCCTGAGGTGCCTCATGTAGCAGATCGATACCCTGTGAATTTCATGCCTCGGCGTTATGATATGCAGGACGTTAATACCCGAAGTTGTTATAAGAGTGTGATGTGTTTGCATCAAATATACACAAGTCTAAATCGTTACGTGGTCGTTATCATGAATGTATTTGCAAATATCGTAATTGTCAAAGTAGCTCACACAGACTCACACATCCGCCGCCACCTTTACCCTTGGCCACGCCGATAAGCACGTCGCCGCCGGTTTCTTCATCGTTAGCCACATCGGGCACGTTACTGAAGTCATCGACTTCGTCGTCGCTTGGGGAGAATAACCGGTCACGTCCCAGAGCCGTCCACAGCCGCGTGAATGAGAGCCCCACCTCGGTATGGTTGGGCCGACTAGCAGTGAACGGAAGGGTATTATGGAATTGGACTTCGCCGGTCTTACGGTTCAACAGGCAGAGAAGCACGGCATGGGTGACGGGCTGGCGTGCGTGGTAGCGAAGACCAAACGACGGGTACCGGCCCCCAGTGGCATCGAAGTGGCCCTCGTCAGCGACGATCTGACGGTAGACGTCACGGTAGCACTCAATGAGGTCCTCGCAACCAGCTAAAGCACCTGCAGTGACGGCAGCGTCCAACACTCGGTCGCAGTAGGTGGAGATGTCGACGTCAAGCGTGAACAAGATGTAGTTGAGGTTCAAGTTAATGAGCGTGGTCAGGGTGCTGGTGGTGGTGAGCTGGTCACAAAGCACTTCGGCGAGCCCCCGGTTCCACTGTTTGAAGAACTCAATGTGGTAGCTGTTAGTCATGGTTTTCCGTGCTAATGGCGTCCCTTCCAAATCCACGTCACGACAGAAACCCAACGAGCTAGCTAGTTCATTAATACTACCGCGTAAACCCTCAGCTCGTCTTACAACGTCATGAGCCTCGTGGTCCGTGGCAAAGTGGTTAAGGGCGTGGCTGGTTTCGGCTATAGTGGTCAAGAAATACAGCTCTTTAAACTGGCCAAACGGTTCCACGTGCATCCATTCGAGCATCTGCATTTTCACCATATTGCTTTTGATACGAGCCAGGTGGAACGTCTTGTACCGCAGGCGGGAGTCGCGTGCCGGTGTCGGCAAGAAGCGGAGGTCGTGGTGCTTAAAGTCGACGATGCGGCCCAGGACGGGGATTTGGAGCTGGCTGCCGTAGCGGTCCATGGCTTGTTTCACTTTTGGGTGCACTAGAAGTCGAGATATCACTGCCAATTTGCGTGTCACTGTAAGCAGACGAGCCATACATTTAGGGATCTGACACGGGCCACAGAGAAACCGTTGAAACAGCTGAATCTGGCCAACAAATTGGGCTCGGTCAAATCGAAAAAATCCGTCGATAACTGCCCGCTCAAAATTGACGTGAGTGAGCACCATGGAAAAGGGAGTCAGCGTCGGAGTGTTATACAACGTAAACACCAGCGCCGCCTGGAAAAACGCACACGGCTGGACGCTGAGAATGGCGTCTTTCTCCTCCTGAGATAGCAGAGCGTAGGTACGGTTTGGCGGGTCGGTGGCGTCTTCGTCGATGTTGTCGTCAGTGTCCATAGGCATGGGGGTGTTGGCGTCGCTCTGTCGCATGATGGCGATCTTGGTCCGTTTGCGTGGCGGCGGTGGGGGCGCTGCACCGCGGTGACGTGAGCGTTTCCGGGGAGGTATGGGGTCGCTCCAGGCTACTCCAAGCCGCCGTTGCCATAAGAAATCATCAAGCAGGTCCTCGAGGTTGGCAAAGAGGTTATCGTCTGCCGGCGCGTGCACCGGGCGGCACCGGGGTTCGTTGATACGAGATAAATCGAATAATGGCAGGATCCCTTGGTAGTGAGGGAACAGCTCGATGGCGCCGATGATGCGCTCGAGTTCGGCAGCAAGCAGCGACGCTACCTCTTGGGTGGCGACCAGCGCCTCCTTTGAGCACAGAGTTCTTGCCACCGGCGGTGTGGGCACGGGGCGCAGCTCCCCGCGCGGCTGGTAGATGGAGAACTGGTCGATATCTCGCATCCACTGGTCCATCTGGCGGATGCGGTCCTGGAGGCGGTCGTGGGTGCGGCGGATAGCGTTTTGCCGCTGGAGGGGCACCGCGTGGGCCCGCCCCAGCAGGAGGAGGATCAGGTCGTGGTAAGGGTGGTAGTTGTCGTCGAAGGTCTCCAAGAACTGGCTGGGATCGCCGCCGTCGTCGCTGGTGGCGGCGGCGTCGTCGGGGGCGCCGGTGACGGGGGCGTAGTACCACCGATTGAACAGGTTGACGCTGGACACGTTGACGAGCCGGACCAGCCGCCTGGAGTCGTCGGGGGTCAGGGGCGGGGGCATGGCTGGCGCGGGCTCCGCTTGCTGTGGTACGGGGGGTGGTGTGGTCGGGTAGCCAGTGGCCTGCGTCTCCGCGCACACCAGTGTACAGTATATGTAAAAGAAACGGAGGGGTGCACGCCTGGAGCCTCGGCGATCGGCTAGGCGAGTGGCGACGGTTTGGGGGTATTTTACGGCGGGATTGATACAGTAGAGATCAATTGGTTCACGTGCATGAGGTGGTGGGGAAGGGGAATTGGCGGTGTGGGTGCTGGGGGAGGCGTAGTCTTTTGTGGCTAGACAGGCAGAGCGGGGATACCGTATGTGCCCCTGGCAAATGCAGAAGAAGCTGTACAGAAAATAGTAGAAGCACACCATAAAGTTATGGAAAAAACCATCAAACCTGAGTCATTTGCATAAGTTATAGTCAGGTATTCGTTGTGGTTATTGGAATAGACGATAAATCCGGTAAGTGCGACAAGGGGTAGAGTGTGTATTTGTTACCCGTACTAGGGGGGGAAGCTCGCAAATTGGTCAGTGTGCACGTTGTCCTGAAATCGACGACATTGATCGATTTACTAACACCAAGACGAGTCTGAAACTGATGACTTTGAAAGATAACTTGATCTGTCATGAAGGGCTTCGCTGTTGGGTAAAGACTGCTGCGGTGGTCGTTTGGTCGCGAGACTATGAATCCTGAGCTCACATGGGGTGATGACGATACAGAAATCGTGATAACCAAGATTTCAAAGTCCACTCAAAACATGATTTGATTTGATTTCATTCATAGGTGGTTGGTTTCTTTTTGAAATAATCTGCTAATCATTTTTGGTTCGTTCTATGTCGGTGGTTTGTGGCGCTCTTCGCATCGATCTGAGCCGCACGAAGGGGGCCATCACATACTGTGTGCACCAGCATGTCGCTGAGGGTATGGATCCGGGGCGCCGTCTGCGGCGTCGACAACTGTCGCCTGCGGCTCTACCAGCGGACCGATGGGCGCATGCGGTGCCAGTTTGGCCACATCGCCGAGGGCCTGTTCGAGTTCGACGACGAGGACGAATTCACCGCCCCCGGGGGCATATTGACGCGCCGGGTCAAGCACCTCGAGTTGCTGGACCTGGGGCGGTACACCCAGAGCCAACGCCTGCAAGGCGTCGTGCAAAAATCCCAGGAAAAGCTCGAGATGGCGGCGAGGTTCCCCATCTACTTGCGGTGTCTGCAAATGCTCCTCCAGCGCTACCTTCGCATCATCATCCGCCTCGCCGGGATCGAGGCGCAACTGGAGGTGATCACCGCCTGTGTCAAGCGGCTCTGGATCAAGTACGCTCGCAATTCGCGGCCGCCGCCCGCCGCCCATATGAGAATCGACAGCTGTCTCGCCACCTCGGCTGAGTGTATCACGATCATCTACGTGGCATGTATGCTCCACGGGGCCGGCCCCGTGTACGTCGACGATCTCATCACTTGGTGGCGAAACAACGACATCCCCACCCTGCAGATCGCTAAGATGGGGTGGTTCGACGACCCCGAACTCGAAGCCGACCGGATTGAGACGAAATTGTTGTCGACGTCGGGCTATCCCGTCCGCAGTCTGTTTGAGAAGCGAGTGATGCACGTGGTGAACCGGGCATTGGGGAGCTCGAAGATGATAGCGGTGCCGATCAATTACTACACGCCATTTCTCTACCGGTTGGTAGCGCGGCTCCATCTCCCCCCACGAATCGTTGATGTCGTCCGCGCCATCTGGCCCCAGCCGGAGATTGTCATCAAAAAATCGCCGTCCCGGATCAGACTCGCCGAGACGATTATCGCCGCCCGCGTCGTCTACATTGCTAAACTCTATGTGCGCCAGCCGTCGTTTGATCGAACCGAGTGGAGCGCCGCCTATAACCGCGCCCGCGTCGAGTTTCGTCCGCTCGATATTGCCGAATACGGCCACCCTGAGTTGTGGCTGGAGGCCCAGATCAAGGGCTACCTCAAAAACTTCATCGACAAAATGGTTGACCGCTACACCGACAGCGACCCGTCCACCCGCGTCAGACGGCTTTTCAAAATGTTCGATTACACCACGGTTAACCCCGACGAGTTGCCGGATCGGGCTGAGCCCGCCCTCGGGGTGTTAAGTGTTTCGGAGTTTAACGCCGCGCTCGTGGCCGAATGTGCGCGGATGCTCTGCATCAAAGATGATGTCTTTCTCGACTATACCAATTACTTGGGGCATTACGTAAAAGAATTTATTTTTGAAATATCTGAAGGTTACAGGGGGAGAGGGCGACCACGAAAGTTAAAAGAACCTCATGCTGCCATCACCAACGACGACAACGGTGACCCTGAAAGTGATAACAATGAGGAGCCCTCCGACGCCGAGACCGTACATAGTGAGTAGTAAGCCTGTACTAAACGCCGTTTTTTACTAACGCCAACCGTCCCCAGTAGACGTTCCACCAATTAGCTATTAGGTCGTCTCCGTCTAATGCCGAAAACGTGGCGGCAAACCCCCCCCTCACCCTTTTTCTGCGAAGTGCCCATAATCGGCACCTGCGAGTGAGGGGGGCTCCGGGGATCGTGGTCATTAGTCAGATTTCCGTCGTATTGAAGCCCCACAAATTTCTTAAGAACAATGTCTTGGCCCTTAGGGCCGACGGCTGACGGGTTTTACCCCACAAATTCTCCCGCACGCGAAGAGATTGTGAGTGCTTCCGCCTCGGCGATAGCGCTCGCGTATGCCAGTACCCTAACAAACTTTAGAGCCCCGTCGGCTTTAGGTGCATGACCCCTCACCCCCCCGTAGACAGCAAAAAAAACTATAAAATTCTCACCACTTATCCATTGAAATGTCACTTTACCAATCTACTCAGTCTATGTTCAGAATGGCAGCTAAGGCACTGGCCTCCTCAATTTCCCAAAGAATGTACTCGTCATTGCCCTTGCTGGTGAACGTCCAATTCCCCAACGGCAAGCTGTACGAGCAACCCACCGGGTTGTTCATCAACAACGAGTTCGTCCCCTCGAAGCAAGGCAAGACCTTCGAAGTGATTTCTCCTTCCACTGAAGAAGAAATCACCCACGTGTACGAAGGGCTCGAAGAAGACGTCGACATTGCCGTCGAAGCCGCGCAAAAGGCGTTCAACAGCGGCTGGTCCACCTCCGACCCCTCGGTGAGAGCGAGAGTGTTGATCAAGCTCGCTGAACTCGTCGAACGTGACGCCGACACCTTGGCCTCGATTGAAGCGTTGGACAATGGTAAGTCGCTCATGTGCTCGCGGGGCGATGTGGCGTTGACGGCGGCGTACTTCCGCTCTTGTGCCGGCTGGACCGACAAGATCACCGGTAAGGTTATCGAAACTGGCAACACCCACTTCACTTACACCCGCCGTGAACCCGTCGGTGTGTGTGGGCAAATCATCCCCTGGAACTTCCCCCTCTTGATGGCGTCGTGGAAGTTGGGTCCCGTGTTGGCCACTGGTTGCACCACCGTGTTGAAGACTGCTGAATCGACTCCTCTCTCGGCTCTTTACCTCGCTAAGCTCCTCGTCGAAGCTGGCTGCCCTCCCGGTGTGGTTAACATCGTGTCTGGTTTCGGTAAGACTACTGGTAACGCCATTGCCACCCACCCCAAGATCAAGAAGGTTGCTTTCACTGGTTCCACTGCTACTGGTCGCCACATCATGAAGGCTGCTGCTGAAACTAACTTGAAGAAGGTCACTTTGGAATTGGGTGGTAAGTCGCCCAACATCGTGTTTGACGACGCCAACATCGAAACCACCGTCAAGCACTTGATCACTGGTATCTTCTACAACACTGGTGAAGTGTGCTGTGCTGGCTCGCGTATCTACATTCAAGAAGGTGTTTACGACAAGGTTTTGGACGCGTTCAAGGCTGCTGCTGAATCGGTTAAGATCGGTAATCCCTTCGACGAAGAAGTGTTCATGGGTGCCCAGGCCTCGGACATGCAATTGCTGAAGATCTTGAAGTACATTGAAATTGGTAAGAACGAAGGTGCCAGAGTGCTCACTGGTGGTGAAAGACTCGGCGACAAGGGTTACTTTGTCAAACCTACCATTTTCGCTGACGTTAAGGAAGACATGCAAATTGTGAAGGACGAAATCTTTGGCCCCGTTGTTACCATCTCTAAGTTCAAGACTGTCGACGAAGTTATCGCTTTGGCTAACGACTCCGAATACGGTTTGGCTGCTGGTGTCCACACTGAAGACGTTAACAAGGCCATCTCGGTGTCCAACAGATTGCAATCGGGTACCGTTTGGGTCAACACCTACAACGACTTCCACCCCATGGTTCCCTTTGGTGGTTACTCGCAATCCGGTATCGGCAGAGAAATGGGTGAAGAAGCTTTGGACAACTACACTCAAACCAAGGCTGTCAGACTCGCTTTGCGTCCCACCAACTAAATGTGTATTTGAATATTTATCAATTGAAATGCTACTGACTGATCACACTACTATAGCTCTCTAGATGTCCTAGTTGCCCAATCTGGATTTAAGCATTTTGCGCTTTGCGCGGGAAATGAATCTTACACTGACAATGCTACCAGCCACATATGAAATTGAATCGAAATCGGACTTAGTTCAACGGGACACTATGTTCAACCTGCAAAATGACATTGAGAATCTAAACGTATCACTAAGGTGAAAATTATAAAAAAGAAAGTGTTGCCGTCAGCTACAGGATTCGAACCTGTGCGCTCAGAGAGCATTTGATGATTAGCTCAAGAATTGGAAAATTCTAATCAAACTCCTTAACCACTCGGACAAACTGACAGTTGCGACAAAAACAGACATTGAGAATCCATCACTGTATTATTTTGAGTAAACTGCTTGTTTTTGAAGCCAATATCTCACTAAAGCGTTCTTTTATAGTATTTAAAGGTAGTGTAACTGAATCTGAGTTAAGCTGGTGCACTTCAAGATCATTTGATCAGTGATTTCGTAGTTTTAGTCGTCCTCGTCAAGGGTGCCATGTATGTGTTGATTACATGAGCTCATTTATTGAGCTTTTTGAGGTAAATAAAGAAATGCTGTATTAACCCCAGTTTGATACTGGAGAGTTTATGATGAAGTCTATACAATTCCGTTAAGCCACGGATAATTTGTCCATCAGAAGTTCATCTTCAGAAGATTCCACTTTTGCTCTCAATCGATCAACAACGTCTAGGATCGCAGTAGCTGCCGGCAGATCTGCGTACTCATCGAAGAAACACACACCAGCATCGCAACTGCGACCAATACGAGGATCAAGAGGGACCAGCCCCAAAAATTCGATACCCAACTCCTTGCAAAGAGCTTCACCACCACCCGTTGTAGGCTTAAAGATCTGAGAGGTACCCTTGCAATTGGGGCACACGAATCCCAGCATGTTCTCCACTAAACCCAAAATGGGAATCCCCAGCTTTTTGCAGAAGTCAATTTCCTTACGCACATCAAGAAGCGCCACTTCTTGGGGAGTGGTAACAACCAAAGCACCATCGATGCCAGTATTTTTGACGTAATTCACCACGGCCAAATGCTCGTCACTGGTACCGGGAGGAGTATCAACCACCAAGTAATCAAGATGAGTACCCCAATCAACGTCTTTCAAAAATTGCTTGATGAGCCCAGTCTTCTTAGCGCCTCGCCATATGATCGCAGTGTCGTCCGTAGGCAACATAAACAGAATCAGCATGAGCCCCAAGTTGTCACCCACGTAAACGGGGCACCAACCGGAATTCAGCTGGTGGACAGTTTCCCCACGAGCTCCCAACATCTGTGGGAGCGACGGACCACAGATATCCAAGTCCATCGCCCCCACTTCCACGTCCTCGTCAGCTGCAAGTGCCCATGAAAGCATCAGAGTAAATGTCAGCTTCCCGACACCCCCTTTGCCAGAGAGTACGAGGATCTTGTGCTTGATATTTTCGAGTCGTTTTGAAATTGCTGGAAGGTCAGGATCAGGACCTTTGGGAGCCAGCAGACAAATCTCTTGGTTGGCACATCCCTGACAAGCATCGCCGAGCCCGGCTTGCTCCAGCTCGGGCCCCGGACAATGCTCGGGTTCCTTTTCCACTAGTTTGTCATGGATAGTCTCCACCGGCTCGACCGACGCCAGTATTGTCTCCTCTTTTGATGGGGCCATAAACAGAATGCGAGGGTTCGGCTGATTTCTAATCTTGAGACTGGTAGTAATGCAAAGAATGAGCCCATAAGAAATTCACGTGACCAAAAGAAAAGAAGCAAAAAGAAACTAATAGAAATTTTTGACGTTGTCTGAAACGGTTTTGATTATTATCAACTTGTCAAAGATTGGTGATATTGGAGACTGGATGACGGTCGACGCGTTCAATTATACTATGGTCATTACTGAGCTCAATTGCGATATCGGACGCGGCCCTTAGGGAAGCATATGTAGGGAGATAAGATGCATGTCTCAATGGATATTTCGATGGAAATGAGCTTCTACGTTTGACTCGTGGATATGTTTTAGCCTGTTGATGATGCCATCACTTGTCACTTATCGCCTTCGTCATTTACTGCATATGTGCCCTGGATGGTTGCATGGACAGAAGTAAGCGCACATTAGACCGCGATTAATACCAACTCAGTCCGTCAGTTAAACGTCTCAAAAAACCCTACATCACCAAACCAACTTGTAATCAAATGTAATCAGTTTTATCACTCGCGTTGTCTGATTTCAAATCCACAGCGATGAATCTACTCATCATGTTTTCTGATTTTTGCCGCCACCGCTATCTCAGTGATCGTCATTCGTTTGTGCGCACCACTGACAGAGCTACCTTCCCCACCTCCACCATTGACACAGCCTCAAACATGGTCGGAGGGTGGCTTCCCAATTTACAGAAGCGGATGCTTCTCTATGTGCTCCAACAGCTCGCCTTATTCAGCGACATCGACATGCCTAACCTCACCCAGGTGTCACTCAATGGCATCGTCCTCAACCAAATCACCGTCGACGCCGATAAGGTGATGGCCCGTTTCGCCAAGCAGTCGGTGTTCCATTTACGAAGTGGCATCGTTGGTGAGTTCCTGGTGAAACCAGTGGGAGCAGGTATCAGCATCGACGCCAGCAATGTCGACTTGGTGGTGGCAATCAGCTTGGGAGAGCTCCCGAAAAACCCCGAGGAACTCGAGGCGCTGATAGCCGAAAGCATCCTGGAGATGCTTGCTCAGCTGCTGGCAGAACTTGTGCGAGTATTGGAGGATGAAAGTGATAGCGATATCGATGAGAATGCTCAACCCCAGGGCGCACTTGGCGGCGTCGTCGCTCGTGCGGTGGAAATGGCTCTCGCTCGTCTCCAAATCGACATCAAAGATCTCCGATGTAAATTGGTATTTTCTGCCGATATCGACGACGTCATTGCCACCGTATCGCGAGTGCTGTATTCGACCACCGACTCTGTGAAACACATTGAAGTTGAAGGGGTAAAAATACTTTCGGAAATCACCCAACTGTCACTGCTGCCGCTGCTGCTGGTTCTGCTGAGCGAAAGTGACCCTAGCATGATGCACCTGACCATGTTTATGAGTGCCGTTCTGGCACCCACTCTGGGTTCCCCTCATGCTACATCCTTAGGGACGGCGCTGGCGTCGTATCCCCATACTCTGGCCTCAAAAACACCGACTATAGAGGTTTCCCGCATCAAATTTGAGATTCCACCACTCGTACCCGCTTCAATAGAGATCGATGATGTTCGTCTATGTCTTTCGCAGGTGTGCACTTCGATGACTCAGTTCTGTACCGCATACACTCACCACTTGAAGTTCCGCGAACTAAAGCGCAAACGAGATATCAATCAAAGAGCTTATGAGTATCCCCCACGCCATGCTCAGTATGTCGTCGATGACACTACCAAGGATGACTCGCCGCCATTATTCGAAGTGGGACTGCTAAAAATTGCTTCAGCTGTTGTAAGCAGCAACTCACCTGATCCTCTTGAGCTCCGCTTTACTAATGTCTACATTAAGCAACGACAAGACGTAATGTATGGTGGCATAGAGACTGTGGATATGGGAATCGCCGGGGCTAATTGGGAACCGGTGTTTCTGTTTGACCAAGATTCTGAGCGCCGCAAAGCTGATGTTCGTTTTGAGTCACTGGCGCAACTGGGGGCCACCACCTATATTGCCAAACCAGCTCGCCTCACTCTCACTGCTGATGTAGTAAAGCAGCTTATGCTGGTCTTGCAACTGACGGTGAGCGTCACTCGTGCCTTGACACAGCTTAATCTTGCCATGGAGCGTGACAGTCATCAATGTGAACTCGAAGAAGAACCTTTGAGGTTTGTGTTCCAATCAGCGGAGATCTTCGTTACTTTTGGCAATGCTGGACCATTGCTACAACTTGCTCCCATTCATTATAACCTGGCAAAAAATCAACTACGGATGGCATCGGCTCAGGTCTCACTTGCTGGCACTACTGTACTCTCTTTGGGACCATTAACGCTCGATACAGCTGTGCGAGAGTTTGTTGGCGACCGCAAGCGCAAGTATCACACAGACTTACTGGTTGTAATTGATCAAATTGACGCTAACATTGACTACGGAGCTTTGGAAGTATTTTATGAACTTTTGCTGTGGTTTAAGGTTGATGATGTCTCATCACCATCGACAACTTCCTCTTCAAACGCACCAACTCATCTGCGGTTTGCTCCCAAATCAACAACCGCTGACTGGCGCTTGGTAGTCAAGCTGATTAAGGGTGAAGTGCGAGCTATCCCCTCGTTCGAAACCATCAAAGGAAAGTCAATGGCGTGGCTCATTTACCTGTTGAAAGGAGAAATTATTGCTCAGGTGAACACTATAGACGTGAGGCGTTTCTCCGACAACGATGAGGAATATGAGGTGTTATTGTCTCGATTATGGCCTCAAAAGTCGGAGGTAATGTTTACGGCCATTCAGAGAGCTAATCGAATTGATATCTCAATCAGCGGCGCTTTGGCATCGTATCACACTTACTGGCTTACTCTCAACTCAACTGAGAGATCTCAGAAACGCGAGCAGGATTCGAGCATCACTGAAGATAGCAACGCCACTATCAAACAATCTGAGAGCGAGTCTAAATTTCGGATCAATGCGGTAGATTGTGCCCTTGGTCTACACCCTGGGCGTATAGCTTCGCATGCTTACATACACTGGGAAAAGGCGGTAATTGACATGATGGTTGGTGCTAATAGCTATACCAAAGGTTCGGTTAACCTGATTGGAGTCTGGGTCATTGATGATCTCATCCACGCGCCGAAGGAGCTTATTCTGTTTGAAAAACTGCGTTACCTCCGCCTTTTGAATATCACGATGCTTCACTTCGCGGTGACTCATCCGCCACAAGGCTTGGATATGAAGATAAATGTGGACAAGGTTACATCCGAATGTTGTGCGGATCTGTGGCAAGTGATGATCTCACTCTTTGGTGATTTACTGGTGCCAACTACATTCACTGATAACCAGTTAACTCGTGTTGAACTTGAACAACCGATTAATCTTTGGGATGATTTGGAAACTCTTGAGCCGAATGATCAGAGTGAAGTGACTGATTTGGACGAAGACATGTCAATGTCTATGTCGCTTGTCAATATTCAAGAAAATTACGTGCCGGTCACGTCACATACTCCTTTACCACCGCTGTTTCGTCTCCACGTCAATATCAGTGAAATAAAACTTTACTTGTATGACGGTTATGACTGGAGTGACACACGCCAGCTGATCAAGCAACGTGTCAAGAAAATGGAGCAGCAGAAAACACGGCGGCTGGAACCGCCTGAAGCCACCACCAAAAAGAAAGAGGATCTGCCTATTGTCGATACGCTTTTTCTGCTGATACATATGACAATGCTGGACCCTGAAGAGTTTACACAAACCGTGAACAGCCAGATCCATGGTTCGAAGGATCCTGATGATAACCTTGTCCATGTGGGTATTTCGGACCATTATGAAGGTCTAGAGCTTCATCGGTCTAAGACTCATAAAGTGCAAGTGGTGGCGAAGGGTGTTGAGGTAATCGTTGAGCTTTATGAGGACACGCCGCAGCGGCCTACTGCTTCCAAATTAGAAGTTCTTGTGGATGACGTACTGGTCTACGACAATCTCAACACATCGCTGTGGACGAAAGCTGTGGGTTACTTGCATAGCCGAGGTCTTCGAGAACTTGGTACTCATTTGGTACGAGTGCAGATGACGACAGTGAGAGCCGATCCTCGCTTAGAAGGAAGTGCTGAGGGTTTTCTTCTGGTACTGGTGCTTCCTCTTCGCCTCCATTTGGATCAGGATACCGTCTCCTTTGCTTCGAGATTCTTCACTTTCGCCAATCCCAAGTTTGACTTGCCTGATGCTCAGGTATTCTTTTCGAAAGTGTTCATCAGTGCTTTGGACCTTAAGGTAGATTACAAACCAAAGCCTTCCTCACTGGGGCTTACCAATCCCGAACTGCTTTTAGGCATGTTTGTCGTCGATGGTCTGAAAATAAAACTTCAACCAGTCACGGTCTATGGTGTTGCGTTGGACAGAGTGGGAGAAGCCCTAGCCATGAGAGGTTGGCTTCCTCAACTTCAGCGCAACTATCAAGCAATATTTGGACTTCTTCTTGGCGTTGGTCCTGTAAAACTGTTGGTCAATATTGGTGGTGGGTTTAAGGACCTTGTTGTGGTGCCTTATATGGCATATTCCAAAGATCAGCTGCTTCTTCTGGGACTTCGTCGTGGGGCTACAAAGTTTGCTAGACGAACTGGTGGAGAGTTGTTTTCCCTTGGTGCTAAGCTCGCTGTTGGTACACAAAACTTGTTAATCCAGGCTGAAACGCAATTTCAACTATCAGATATCCCAGGCGAGGATGAAGATCTCATGTATTTCTCAACTCAAACTCCCATTGTGGAACCACCGAAATCAGAGGTCACTGAAGAAGACATGGGGTTCTTTGATGTTCTGGAAGTGCTTCTGCCGAAGCTGAGTATTATGGCGTCAAGCCAAGTGCTTTCTCAAAGGTATAAAAGCAACAACCGGCAAGTTCCTACGAAGCAGTATTCATACGATGAACTCGATGACATTTACGATCCCGATGACTTGATGCACAAATCGTTAGTATTGCTTGGGCCAGTGGAGGCCAAAGGGGTCAACGCTGCGGGCAAGAAAGTCAGTCTCTACTCGAATCAACCGGAAACCGTGGAAGAGGGTATTCACGCAGCTTATAAAGCCTTGGGCACAAATCTTAGTGCAACTAAGCGGGTACTTTTGCGGCTTAAGGGTGATTTGGGAGAACTGGAAACAATGCAGGAGGCATTGATCACCGTGATTCGACTGAGTCCGTTAGTGCTTATTCGTCCAATCATTGGCACTACTGAAGCTGTGGGGAAGACATTAATGGGTTTAGGTAATGCCATTGATCCAGATCGAGTCAAGGAGGCTCGTGAAAAGTATGATAATCCGCAATAGTATATAGAAAGAAAGCACGCTGATGTGGTATTAAATCGAGTAGCTGTACGAAATTTACTGATGAGACTTCCCGCCCATCTGTTGCAATAATTCATGGTTGAGTTCCAACAATCGCTTGTTTTCGGCTTCAACAAGAGCTAATTTTTGTTGTGTCTTCTTCAACTCCTTCTCGAGCAGCTCTAGCTTCACATCGGATTGGTTATTTCGATGCTTTGCCAAAAGCTCTGCCAGCGTTGTTGGCTCATGATCGTCGCCACCATCAAATTCTTTGGAATATACCAATCGATGGCTTGCCTCAAGTCTTTCTTTAGCTAGGTCAGCCATAACCTCGTAACCATAACCAGTCAATTGGTACAACTGAAAAAGTAATGCGTCTCGATGAGTAGACATGCTTGCCTTGATATCTTCGGGGCGAGTCCACTGATGAGTATGAGGATTCAAAGAAATGTGCTTCTGCTTCCACTCCTTCATCATCATCTCATACAACTCTGTGACAAATAAACCATTGAGTAGGGGAATCTCCTCCACTTTTTCGATGTCCCCTCGTGTCTCTGCCACTTGCTGACTCACTCGCAGGTTGTTGATCTTGATGGCCACGACTTCCCACATATCTAGCCGGGCAGATTCATGAAACTGGAGATGAGGAAGGAATTGAAGAACGAGCTCTAGGAGTAAATCTCCGACCTCTTCGATAATACGTTTCTGTTCCTTTTTGTAATATGAGTCTCGCGAGAACATGTAATTCACATTATGCGGACGTGTGCAGTATAAATCTTATAAGTTTGCCACCGCCACCACCCTAACGATGTCATTGCACAGAAAAAAGAAATTGCAAGCACACTCCACAAAACAAGTTATGACACATTTTTGGACAACGAACCGCATGGTAGATGATGAGAAACTCTAAACGGTGCAAAAAAGAAACTCCGGTACGGGGAATCGAACCCCGGTCGCGGCATGGAGAGTGCTGAGTGATAACCACTACACTATACCGGATTTTCGAAAATGTCGTGTAAAATGCTGACCTTGAGTGTCGGACTTGTGACGAGCTAACTCCGGAAGTTAATGGAACCTGAGAGAAGGTTGACGAGAGACAAGGAGTGTTCGAGATCAAGCATGCAAGGAGTCATGAGCGTGACTGGAGCATGCGTGGAAGGTTCCACAGTGGCGTTATGATTGCAATACTGGCGGTATTGCTAAGGTATAAATAACGCTGAGTTTATAGAGTTTTAGACAAGTGACTTTTAATCAAGACAATTGATATTTGATCTTCACTACTAGTCGTGATCCAGTGACCGTCATAATTTTATACCACAGAAAAAACTTGACTGAAAGAGATCTGCCAGCTGGTGCTTCAACGTCTTGGTTGCCTCTGAGCGCCTGTTGATCGAGCAATTGCATTCCAACAAATTGAATTACCTATTGATTCAATTGAAATGGGTCTCAGCGTTCACAGATATCCACAAAGTGGACCTTCAAGGGCATTAGATAGATTTTTTCTGTCAGATTTTGGATAATACAATGATACTGGTCGTTTTATGTGACATATTGGGGTGCTTTAAGACATAGGTAAGTCTTACATCTTTGTGAACCTAGGGATAAGTGAATAGTGAGCAAACTAGAGACGTGTAGTGACAGAAAGTAAAAGATAATACTTCAATCTTGTACCCGCTATGTTGAGATATATTCAGTTAATTCTGTTAAGTACTGCTCATATCATCTCCGTATCACTCACCGATCCAAGAGAAGCCAAATTGCTGAGCAGGTGGTGTTGCTCACGACCTTGGTCGCAATCACATTTTAATTGAGGAAACCGATGTCTTGCGGAGAGAAAGTGACTATCACCTTGCTCGCTGAATAACACGTCATACCTATGTACTTCCAGTAAATGAGGTTAGCAGACATGGTCGGCCTCACATGGCTAAAATTTAGCTGATGTTTTGAGTGCATCAAAAACATTTCTTCGAGTAAAACAGCTGAAAGTTACGGCAAGCACTGAATCAACCAAAGACTCGTAAATTGATCATTGAGTTACACCAATATTTCCCTAATATTGTTTCCCATGAAGTTATAGCCTGCTTTGGAGTTTTTCTGTGTGCAAGCATTGTTGCTAACGTGTTTTAAAAGTAACCGTGCTTGCCTAAAATGTGAGTCCGCTATACAGAGGACTACTGATGCAACCACCTGACTAGGATACTGTTTGTCAGCACAAGTAGCTGAGGTGCAAGTTTGATGTGAATCCTTCATTCCTATTTCGGGTGACTAAACACGAAAGAAGTACAAGCTTAAGAGCCAGTGAGCAAATCGCACAAGCGTGCCTATCTTACAATTAAACTCAATTTTGGCACTCGTAAAGTGTCAAAACAATTTCGTGCGTTCAGTTGTAGATGTCCATGATATAGATTAGGCATACGAATCTAAAATGTGCATAGCTGAGGATTCTTAATGAATGTGATAAACTTGTTGATCTTCAAATTTCATGGCAATTGCGTAAGGAGGAATGAACTTCATTGGTGGTTGATTGATTGCAAACACTCCTCTCGACTTGTCTTGGCAATTAAAGCAAATCAAAAGGAATCTTCATTTTTGTTTGTTTATAGCGGACCAAAGTGCGAGAACTAGATTTATCCCATCCCACCAGCAGCACAAACTTTCTTTGAGTCAAAGCTAATATAGATAATCAAGGTGTCAAAACATAGGTACCAAGGAAAATCTTCCTACCATCACTCTTGAATATTTGCGTCATTTATTGCATCTTGCGGTCACTGGGGGTGACTTGTGATGTTTGCAGCAGCAATGATAAAAATGTACCACTTTGTCTAAGTAAGATACTTGTATGCAATTTCATGATTAGAGGTGCAGGTGAACCACAGCATGCGCTCTGAAAGTAGCTAGCTAGCTACTGTCATGACGATTGTGATCTGTGAGCGTGTCTAATTGGTTTGACGAGTTATTACAGATTCAACACTCTTACTGACACAACTGTCATGCTTGCAAAAGTTCGTCCTGCATTCTAGCTTTGAGACTGCATGTGATATGCACGCTTACAACCAGGAAGCAGGAGCGGTTAAACTCTATTCATATTAACTGCCAAAGTAAATGTTGTCTGCAGTACACATGAAAATCGACCTACTCTAAGTGGGAAATCAACGATAAGTCATCTACATTACCACCATCGTATCTACAATTCGGCTTACTACTGGCATTACAAGTTCTAATGAACTTTATGGAGTATTAACATATATATCAAGCTTCCAAGTACATTCACAAATGAAACCTGCATGTAAAGGAGAATTATCAAAGCAGTGGTTTCATAATAAAAAAAACATATCAAGAAAAGCCTAATACCATTTCAATAATCTACACAATTTAATTATATGAATAATTGTATCAGATAATCATTAGAAAAGAAAAGGAAAAGAAGAGTAAAACTTTTTTTTCTGATAGAAAAACTTTTCTTTACTACATGCAGTATTCATATGAGAAAGCACACAAAAGCGTCATAAGTATGTCACTTTTTCGGTTGAGTTCATGACCGCCTCGTAGCCAGTAGTATAGCTTATCACACCTATAGTGGTGAAGATATATCTGACCTACTCAGATTTTTCAGTTAATAGCGCCATGATTATCATGAGTACTGCATACAACAATCAATTCTGCAGGTAGGGCAAGCAGGGTGCCATAGCTTAAACTACGTCGAATTGAACGTTAACTTGCCCAGACATTTATCTACCATACTTCTGGCGCCAAAAAAACCTTATAAAACAAACGGGAAATCTGTAGCAATTTTTTCTGATTTTATATCACACCTTAGAGTTTTTCACTGGAAAATTCAAAAAAATTCTATTTGCTATTATGAATGGTATATACATCGTATACATCACAGTGGTGTGTTTTGTTTCTTTCTCAGGTTCAATATAAGTGATGAAAGACATCTTTGAAAAATGATGAATGATATGCACATGCAGTGCTTGCGTGCAGAACCCCAAACTTGAGAGTGTGGTACAAGTGTCAGCATTTGTGGCAGAACTTACCTTAACCTTTCAAACTAAATAGACATGCTCCTATACTACAACGATGCTTTTTAGAATGGGCTAGTTCCTCCACAAGTGCGTGATACAGCTCACCTTGTTTTGTCTTGCATATTCGTCGATGTACCTGCATACAAACAGCATAATAGACGAGGTGTAAAACCTATCCTATCACTTCTACAAACATTGCAGGTCAATTCCAATGCTCACTAGATGTAATAGACTACGCGACAAACTCAAAGTCGTCCAAAAAAAAATTTGCAAAAAAAAAAAGTTTTTTTTTCCTCCGTTAAACTCACATAGGGAAGCCATTTTGAAGTCAACTCTTTCAAAATCACATCAGATATACTTCCAGAGCCAACAAACGTTATGGAGCAAACGGATTGATTTTATCGATTTTTTTTTTTTGAATATTAATTTTTTCTTTTTAATTTTTTTTTTTTCATTGAGAGTGAGACAAAAACTAGCAAAGAACAGTAAGACAACTTTCATATGGTCCTTATACGGCATCATTCAGAGTATCCACTGATAATCGGTTGTCGTGGCAAGTCTCAATGATGCGGGCCTTGACGCATCTGCGTGATGCTTGTGTGCAGGGTTGGTGTGGAAATGCAGGACTTATATAAAATCCACGATCACGCCTCGAGTGTTTTATTTGACTCGATGAAAGTTTGTGATATTGTTTGTGTGTAGTTATTCTACAACTTAAACTTGATACCATCTTCTCAATTCCATTTTTCATGTTGTAAGTATGGGAGTGTTCGGATCATAAAAATTGCTTTAAATGGAGGCTTAACTCGAATGTATAAATAAATGTGGTATAACTATTTTTGAAGATGATAGATATGGTTCTCGGCTTTTGTTGCGCTCAGTGCACGAATTTGAATCGGTGTTTCAAGTAATTTGGCAATTTTTGAGGCACAGACCGTGGGTTCGATTCTGGATGTTGGCGATGTTATGAATGACTACTGTCAGACTCTGCTTTGTGAAGCTAATACAACCTCCGAACGCCGAAAACGAACTTTGTGAACAATAGTTCTGATTACCGTGTATTACTCTAAACACATAAAAGTCGTCAATCAGACTTGTTCTTATGGATGACAAGACCGTTGAGTAACCCGCCAGGGGTAAAGTGATATGAACTTGTACTTAAGGTTATCAAGACTGATTATGAAACTTAGGTGATTTTCAACTATGTGCAACAATCACATAGATTGTTTTCGTAACATATTATGTCTCGTCGAATAAAAAGCGTCATTTATTTGCGTCAATTATATACGTCATTAGTTCTGGTATAAGCGATTGGTCCTACTTTTCAGTCTATAACTCTGTACATGAATTCTGCTAGATGAATCACCCGCCTAAATTTCGCATAATTAATGCCACTTCTCTCTCCCTTGAGCTTTCCATGATTCAAACTTACTCCCTTCGTACTACTGCAGCATTACTACCGCATGTGCCTCCGGAGCATTCTGAACGCAAGTCGACGAGCTAGACGACCAGTTCAGAATCTCCAATTTTCCGAAATGGACAGTATATCCCTATAATCTACGACAGCACCATGTCCTGAATATTTCTATATTATAATTAACCATTGTACTTACATGACTTATGCTACTTACACGGGCTTGCCGCCGATGAATTGCGACCATCTTTGCACTTCAGCAGGAATGGTTACAGTTTCGGGCACTTGCTCAAAGTCAGGCTTGGTGGCAATCTTTTGCTTCAAGCACTCAGCAAACAATTGTGAGGTGTTGGGCTCGTTGAACAAGGGGATGGCAAAGTCAATCGCATTACGTCTCATCACATAGTCCTCGTCCAACAAGTGTTCAGCGCGAGCGGCGGCCAAGTTGAACACAGCACCAATTTCCTTGTCTTGGAAAATTTCCCGCAACGCCCGCTTGTCAGTCTTGGGGAAGTCAATCACCTCGGGAGTTTCCGAGATGTAGTTCTTCAAGTAGTTCGCAACCTCGGGCGAAGCAGTGAAGAACTTGTAGCCAAGACCCGACACAGTAGCAGCAACTTTACCCAACTTGTCGTTGGTCAAGTCACCACCAAACAACAAACCTTGCGAAGGGCGAGGCACCTTGAAGTTCATGGTCGATTGCATCGAGGTCCAGTAAGCTTCAACGAGATCCTTACCGAAGCAGGCAATTTCGCCAGTAGACGACATCTCCACACCCAAGAAGGGATCAGCACCAGCCAACCGAGTGAACGAGAATTGAGGTACCTTGGTGGCAACATAGTCGTACTTGTTGTTCATCAAGTTGGTGGGAGCAGGAACATTTTGTTGCATCAATGCCTTGGCGGCAACTTCAATGAAGTTGATACCCAACACCTTCGACACGAAGGGGAACGAACGCGAGGCTCTAATGTTACATTCGATAACCTTCAACGCACAGTCGTCACCATTACCATCCTTAATGATTTGCATGTTGAAAGGACCGGTAATCTTGAAGGCAGCAGCAACCTTGTCAGCAATTTCTTTGAGACGTTCCATAAGCTTGGGCGACAAGTTTTGAGGAGGCAACACGAGAGTGGCGTCACCGGAGTGGACACCAGCATTTTCAACGTGTTCCGAAACAGCGTGGACCAAGACTTCGCCATTAGAGGCAACAGCATCGATGTCAATTTCTTGAGCGCCCTTGATGAACTTAGAGATAACAACAGGGTGTTCCTGCGACACCTTGGCGGCATTGCCGAGCTTCAATTCCAATTCGTCCTTGGAATTGATCACCGACATCGCCGCACCCGACAACACATACGAGGGTCTCACCAACACAGGGTAGCCGACTTCGTCAGCAAACTTTTCCGCTTCCGCCAATGAGGTCAATTCCTTCCATTGAGGCTGGTCAACCCCGATCGAGTCCAAGGTTTGCGAGAACTTGTGTCTGTCTTCGGCCCGGTCAATGTCTTCAGGGTTGGTACCCAACACGTTGCAGCCATTGTTTTGCAAGCCCAACGCGATGTTCTGAGGCAATTGCCCCCCAACGGACACGACAACACCTTGAGCGGCTTCCAATTCGTAGATATCCAAGACTCTTTCCAACGACAATTCTTCAAAATACAATCTGTCGACTTCGTCAAAGTCGGTGGACACAGTTTCCGGGTTGTAGTTGATCATAATGGTCTTGTTACCAGCTTCACGCAAAGCACGGGCAGTAGAGACAGCACACCAGTCGAATTCGACCGACGACCCGATACGGTACACACCAGAACCAAGGACAAGAGTCCCGTTTTCGTTGAAGGTGACATCAGACGAGGTAGCGTTGTAAGTTGTGTACAAGTAGTTGGTGTTAGCGGGGAATTCAGCGGCCAAAGTGTCAATCTTCTTCACGAAGGGGGTGATGCCAAACAGCTTTCTCGCCGCACGCACTTCAAGTTCAGCAGCGTTGATACACAACCCGATTTGCTTGTCGGAGAACCCAAGCTTCTTCGCCTGCAACATGAGATCCAGGTTGATGTTTTCCAACGAGCCGGCAGCTTCCAATTCACGGTACATGTTGACAATGTTCATCAACTTGTGCAAGAACCATTTGTCGATCTTGGTCAAGTCGTGCACCTTATCCACCGAGTAGTTTTCGTGCAAAAGAGCTTGACCCACGGCCAACCATCTCCGGTCGGTAGGGTTACGCAACACATCGTCCAAGTCTTCAAACTTGTCGCCTTGGAAACCAATGTACAGCGGGTCGATTTGACGGATAGCCTTTTGGAACGATTCTTCAAAGTTTCTACCGATAGCCATCACTTCACCCACCGACTTCATCGCCGAGCCGATGTCACGCTTGACGTGTTGGAACTTGGACAAATCCCACCGGGGAATCTTGGTAACCATGTAGTCCAACGAAGGTTCGAAGTTAGCCGACGTGGTCTTGGTGACGGGGTTAGGCAATTGCGGAAGAGTGTGACCGAGGGCGATCTTAGCAGCAGTGTAAGCCAAGGGGTAACCAGTAGCCTTAGAAGCAAGAGCCGACGACCGCGACAACCGGGCGTTGACTTCAATCACCCGGTAGTCCAAACCATCGGGTTGCAAGGCGTATTGCACGTTACATTCACCAACAACACCCAAGTGACGGATGATCTTGATGGCAGCCAGTCTCAACATGTGGTATTCTTCATCGGAAAGGGTTTGCGAGGGAGCAACGACAATCGAGTCACCAGTGTGGATCCCCAACGGGTCAAAGTTTTCCATGTTACAAACAGTGATACAGTTGTCGGCACGGTCACGCACCACTTCGTATTCGACTTCCTTCCAGCCCTTAAGCGACTTTTCCACGAGAATTTGAGGGGCAAGCGACAACGATTGCGACGCCAAGTTCTTAAGTTCTTGTTCATTAGCAGCAAAACCAGAGCCCAAACCACCGAGGGAGTATGCCGATCTGACAATGATGGGGTAACCCACCTTCTCCGCGGCAGCGAGGGCGTCGTCGACGGTGTCGACAGCAATCGATTCAGCAATGGGGATATTGATTTCCTTAAGCGCTTGCGCGAAAAGGTCACGGTCTTCCGAGGTCTCGAGGGTCTTGATCGGGGTACCCAACACCTTGACCCCATAACGGTCAAACACCCCCATCTTATCCAATTTGACCCCGACGTTCAAGCCAGTTTGACCACCAAAGGTCAACAAGATCCCATCGGGACGTTCACGCTCAATGATGTAGGTGATATATTCCGGGGTCACCGGCAAGTAGTAGATCTCATCGGCCAACGCGTGCGACGTTTGGTTGGTGGCGATGTTGGGGTTGATCAAGATCAGCTGCTTGTTAGCTTCCTTGAGAGCCTTGATCGCTTGCGAGCCCGAGTAGTCGAACTCACCGGCTTGCCCAATCAGCAAACCCCCCAGCCCAATCACCAACACCTTCAGCACGTCGACAAGCTTTTCGCCGTTTTCATCGTTGAACTTCTTGAGAAGTTCACCGCCAGCGTAGACGGGTCCGGCCAGCAGGGCCTTCCGCGGCACCGCCGCCGACAACCATCTCTTAGCGAGTGTCCGGTACCCAATTCTCATGGGGACCACCATATCGTAGCGATGACAGTTACTGAAAAATTTGAAACCGAATGCGGTAATGCTAAAAAAGCTTGCCGCGATGCTGAGTCATTGGTGCAGGCACGACCCGGTCGACCTCAGCGGCGAGCAGCGACATTTTTCTCCTCAGCCAGGGAGGCTGAACACCTAGCGCCGTGTCAGAGAAAGTTTTAAGATTGTAGTTTACCGCTTAGCATGTTTACAATTGCTGGTTACCCCGGTGTCGCAGCCCCCGATTTTCTAAGTCGAGGGTATTCAGGGATGAGCTCTTGTGAGTGGCTGCCACCACCATGACATCACCTCAGCCCTGCAGAGAGACCACCCCTCCTAAAGACAACAAGCTTTCGTCACATGACCGGGACGGTTAAGCCAGTCAATTTGAAAACGATAACCCTTGGCTGCAGCTGTGTGAGTCCTCAGCAATCGCTAGCGTCATCGTGGTTCTTGGTTTGTCACCCTGGGGCATCAACTTCGCGGCCGATGGTACGACGAAACGTGAGCTGCACAAGGATGATAGGCATATCAGAAAAAAAGGACTAGACCAGCATAACTGCCTGGTCCGCTCGATAGCCCTTTAGGATCACCACAATAATCGCAGCTACACAATCTGGTACGCCTCACCTCGCCACCACAAAACCCCTCATATTTCACTAAGCGCATGGTATCAATCATGAGCCCCGCAATACGCCCTCAGCCTCACACCCACGCAGCTTTATAGTCGATTACAACCGAACGCAAAATCACGCAAACCACTTAGGTGGAGCCATTGGCCATCGGGTGCAAAAGCCGTTTTGTGACGACCCCTAGCGCCGCCGGCTTTCTATGGTTGCGCCGGCTTTCTCGTGCGCAAAACAACGTGCGTTTTTCCTCCCGCTACATTATCAGCCTCGAGGCAGCGTTGGCGCAACGCGTCGAGATAAGCTTTCCACTTGCCCTTAAGCAACCGTGCCCCCGAAAATTAATTTGAGCCACCACAGTTGAGGGGAAGATGACAGATATTCCCCAAAACGCTCGCCGCAAGAATCTGATCGAGACGTTTGCGGCCCTGTTTCAAGCACTGTCGTATATAGACGTGCTGGGCCGGAGCTACGTCCTGATGTCCCATCGGGCTAGTGTTAACCCTCTAATGCTGCCCTCGATCAACCAGGGACAAGACATCCACAACGAGCTGGCACATCTAGCGCTGGCTGGGGTGCGAGACGACTCGCTGGACTCTCTCGACGAGGAGGCGGTGGTCGAGGCTGAATCGACCCCGTTGATCGACCGTACCAGCCTGAGAGGCTACTATACCAGTGGAAAGCCATCGGGACGAGACTCGACCCCTGAAACTGAGTGGAGCCAAGCCTACACTGACTTGGAGGCCCACCCCAGCAAGCATGATGGCCAGCAACTGCCGTCACTTTTCCATCGCATCCTCCTCAAACCGTTATCGTACACCCCGGCAGTCTTCTTGGGGACATTACTCAACATTTTGGATGGCCTTTCGTACGGGATGATTATGTTCCCCCTTCTGGAGGCGGTCTTCGCCCTGTTAGCCCCAGCAGGATTGCTGATGTTCTACATGCTGTGCATCATATCACAATTAGTATACTCCTGTGGAGGGCTGGCGTTTAAGGCGGGTATAGGGTCAGAAATGATCGAAGTGACGCCATTCTTCCACACAATGGCATTTGCCATAGCCAGCGAGATGAAAGGGTCCCTGGACGATGCTATCGTCGCCACGGTGATTGTGCTGTATGCGGTGCTGTCCATCGTCACTGGCTTGGTGTTTTGGCTTCTTGGTAAATGTCGTCTCGGCGCCTTGGTCGGATTTTTCCCTCGCCACATTCTCGTCGGTTGCATTGGGGGCGTTGGTTACTTTTTGATAGTTACCGGCATCGAGGTCAGTTCACGTTTAGATGGTGGCTTGACCTATACAAGTGAGACTTTCCGCTATTTGTTTAGCCTGCCAACGGTAATTCTAGAGTGGACAATCCCCATTTTGCTTGCCGCTATCCTCGTCGGGCTAGAGCATATCATTCACAATAACTTGCTAGTGCCGATCTTTTTCATCGTCGTCTTCATTGTGTTCCATTTGCTTGTTGCATTTATACCTTCTTGGTCACTTGAAAAGGCTCGAGCTATCGGTTGGATATTTCCAGCGGTTGAGGCTCTGACGCCGTGGTACGAATTCTACCTGTTGTACAAGCTCAATTTGGTCAATTGGGTACTGGTATTCCGCCAGCTCCCCACCATGTTGGCCCTCACCTTCTTCGGTATCCTCCACGTTCCCATAAATGTTCCTGCTCTTGCCGTCACTGTGGGCATGGATCAGTTCGACGTTGACCGTGAACTTGTTGCTCACGGTTACCTGAACTTTTTACTGGGAGCTTTAGGATCGATCCAGAACTACTTGGTGTACACCAATTCGGTGATGTTTATCAAAGCTGGTGCCAATGACCGTTTGGCAGGGATTCTCCTTGCTGTAGCTACGGCAGCAGTGATGATGGCAGGACCTGGGATTATCGGTTATATTCCGGTTTGTGTGGTGGGGGCTCTCATTTACCTTTTGGGATACGAGCTTCTCAAGGAAGCGTTGTACGACACTTGGGGCAGGCTCCGCAAGGTCGAGTACATTACCATTGTCATCATCGTCATCACTATGGGTGCAGTTGACTTTGTCGTCGGTATTCTTGTTGGCATTTTGTTAGCTTGTCTTCTGTTCGTGGTCGAGGCCGCTCGTCGCCCTGTCGTCAAACTGGTGTATACTGGGGCAGTAGCTCGACTGACAGTATTGCGTCACACTAAACAACAGGAGTTTTTGGTGTCAGTGGGTCAACAGATATGCATCGTCAAACTCCAGGGGACGCTTTTCTTTGGTTCCATTGGTGGGGTCGAAGAAACCATTCGCCACAAATTTGATCATGACCAATTCGAAGAAACTCCAATCAAATTTTTAATTATTGACATGAAAGGGGTTGATTCGATCGATTTCAGTGCTGCCGAAGGGTTCAGACGCATTCTCAACCTCACTAATGAGCATAATACTCAGCTCATCTTCTCTCTGGTTAATGAGGACGATAATACCATCAAAGCATTGAAAGACGCCGGTCTTTGGGAGCACATCAACACTGATTTCCCAATCGAGTTGTTCAGCTCTCTCAACTATGCTTTGGAGTGGTGCGAGAATCGCTTTCTTTACATCTACAAACAATTGCGACGCAAAGAACTGCGTCATGGTGTTCAGCCTACAGGAATGATTGCCCCTCGTCGCAGCTTCCGCCAAAGTCTTGCAGTGGGTACGCCCCGGAGTAATCAAGTATTTGATGCGGCTCTGAGAACTGCTCGCGATGAGACGTCAATCCACAATCGCTACTACAACCAACAAGGGAGCAATGAAGCATTCAATAAGCAGCCATTGCCATTATTGATGATCACTTTTGTTGGATTATCTGACCAAGATGAGAAGTTCTGGTTGGCCATAACCAAATACTTTATAAAAGAGCGTATCCCTAAGGGTACCCAGTTTTACTCGACATCAAACCACAAGGCTTCATTCTACTTGGTGGAACTGGGGATTGTTCGCCTGATTATCAAGTTCGAGGAGCAAGATAATGAGGTACATTCTTCGATTCTTCCCAACACTGCATTCGGCGATATCTTTGACACCGCTCAATTCCGTGAGGTGACCTACGAAGCTGCCACTGACGTTGTCGTGTGGAATATACCCCAACAAAAGCTCGTGGAAATGCATAAGAATGACGAGGCAGTGTTCCGGGAACTTTTGCTCGTATGCAACAAACTCACTAAGGAACGGTTTGACACTTTGATGGCAACGTTAATCATCACTGGCTGAATAGTTAATATATCTAATTTCGTCGAGAGGAAATAATTTTGATTTTGCTGCCGATTTCATGGCAAACAATTACATCGTAATTGCTTTTCGCGTTATTGTCAATCCAACTTCGATAAGGGGTAGCCTTGCAACCACGTGACCGCGGGGTTTAGGAAAGGATTGTCTGATCAGTTACCTAATCAAAAAGTTATACTTTAGCGGACGCCTGCACTTATCGTTGCAGGCATAGGGGTCGCCTCGAAATGCCATCAAGGTGATCTTAGCCTGCACCGAACTCACAGCAATGGCGTTTCGGTGCTAGTCTAATTCCAAAACCCCAACGCATGTCGTAGTCAATGACAACGGTTACGCTATACAATATCATAGGCGTGATGTGTGACTAATGAGAGACAAGTTCATTTGCCGATAAATTACAGTGTTAAAGCCACACCTTTGTTTATTCTTGGTGTTCGTCCGCACTAACGAAAAAAAAAAAAACCTAACAGAGGCCGTTAGTGTGGTTGCGTGATCATCCCCCTATTTCGTTTGGGTTTGTTACTATTGTCTTAGTTCTACCCTGGACCATAGGGGCATCTATTTCCCAGACTCACAGCCAAGTGTTTGCCGATTGCCTCGCGGTACTTCCCTCATGGCGCTCATAGCTGAGGCGACGAAGCTCACGCTTCTGCTGGCGTATTTGTTGTTGGTGATCCTCACAATCCCGCTAGCATTCGACGTCGGTGGAGTCCAATGTGGTTTGCTTTACTCGCTTACATTATTCATCATGTACTTCGTCCTCACCACCCTCCGGATGCTTACCCGGCATAATCGCTATTTGCGAATTTTTGGGGCATTATATTACGGGCAGTATATTATCTTGCCAAGTTTGCTTATGTTTTTTCTCAACTACTGTGAGCAGAAAGGAGCTGGCTACAATCCTTTGGTCAATGCCTGGAAAGTCATTCTCAGCCATTGTACCCCAACTTTCACCATCTTGGAGGGGTTTTGCTCTCTATTGCTTATTCAAGCAGTGGGTCAAACCCTTCATTGGTTTACTCGTTACCGCCTGGACACCTGGTTGATTGTATCCCTCATCTCTTCGGGATGTATTGTGTCGGCGCTGTTGTACTTTTTGTATCGTATCTATCTGGTGGAATTCGCCATTGGTACGTTACTGTCGTCGCTCCTAGGGCTGTTCTTAACTCTCACATTCGTTATTGGCATTTACGGGATCATCAGCAAAAAAGGACTGATTATTGAATCGTCGTTACTTTTTGCTTACATCGTCAAGTGCATCTACGAGACCTTCCCCATTTTAAGTCAACGGGCTACGGAGTTGCTTACGCAGATGTTCACTCAAGCTACGATTAATTTCAAACAGGAGTTCCCAAAGATATCTCCTCAGATGCTTCAACGTGCTCAAGACTTGTTGCCAGTACTTGCGCAAAAGCTTCCCACGTCCTTCAAGACGATCTGGGAGTTTTTGCTTGATGCTATTGAGAAGCTCACCGTGCCGTTGATGGTCAACTTTGCCTATCGTATTGGTGTATTTTACGCAGCCACGAAGATCATTCCTCTGTTATACCAGAGTGCTGGGGTCCACAGTCGTCCTCTGTTGCATCTGCACCACCCTTCGGCACTGAGTATTCTGTCAAGTGACTCAACGCTTTCCTCTCGGCCATCGCCCCCGCAACGACCGGTTAAGCAATACAAGCCTGGGCGCTTACTGCGGCTCATATATGCGTACTCACCATGCATCATCATCGCCGTGTATACCCACCTAATGTTAGGCTATCTGGGTTACCTCGATAGCGAACTCAAACTTTGGGGCTTCTGGAACAACTCTCTGTTGGAGATTTCTGTAGCTCCGGCTCAATTTTGGAACTGGGTCAACATGGCTACCACGTTGGCACTCTACGCGATGGAATTACTGGGTAATTCCAACGAAGGCATCACCACTCACTGGAAGGTGGACTAGCATTCTCTTACATAATTCTTCAATAGTAATTAATAATTTTATCTCTTTTAAAGGTATTTTCTATATACAGTAGCACCACTGGTGTCTTATTTAGTCAGATCACTTTCATCCTTCATCGTCTTCAGCGTAAACCCTTCCAAGAACCAGTCCTTACCGAAGAGCTTATACATGAGACTGTTTCTTTCGTTTTGCCACTTTTCGTCCTCCGAGTATGGACGCACTTCTTGACCTTCAAGCAACTCCCCTTGTCTCACCTTTTTCACCAGTTTACCTTCGAGACGTTTGTAAATCTCTATCAGGGGAAAAATGATCATGGGTATCAGGCAAAGCACGAGGAAAATCCCACGGTATCGAGTTCTCACTTCGGGAGGCGCCTTCTTCCAGTTCGCTTTCCCCGTTTCAAGGAACTCTTGGAAGAAAGCATTACTCTTGTGAGTCTTCTTTATTTGTGGTAGCTTGGGCGCCGTGGTCACCTTCGGCTTTGGCTTGTTCTCTTGGTGAAAGGACGACTCTTTGAATTTGGACATGGCGTAAGTACACTTGGTCGCGCAGAGCTGATTTACAGAGTCAACGCAGATCAATATTGACAAGAACAGTAAATTTCATGAAAAGGATAACCGAACGAAATATTCATTCGCTGCTTTATTGTTATTCTTTAAATAAAGCCAATGTTGTTTTAGTTGCCGCCAAATCCGAGCTTATGTGCACACTCTGTTTGTACCAGCGCACCTCATTATTATCGATTCCAGTACAACCCCTCTGCAACATTCATGACTCTCCACATTGAAAAGTACGTGGGCAATCACCCGAAACCCGATGTCACCCTCAAGTATGGTACTGCTGGCTTGCGGTCGAAGCTGGCGGTGCTTGACTACGCCACCTACATCGTTGGGATCGTCGCCGCTCTCAGATCGAAGCAGTTGAACGGTCAAGTGATCGGGTGCATGGTCACCGCCTCTCACAACCCCCCTGAAGACAACGGGGTTAAGGTGGTGGACCCTATGGGGACAATGCTTGTTTCTCAATGGGAGGATATCGCCACTACCCTTGCCAACACTGAACCGTCTCAATTGCAAGCGACGGTTGAAAAAGTGATCGCTGACCAGAAGATTGACATGAAAAAAGAAGGTCACGTCCTCATTGCCATGGATACTCGGGAACTGTCGCCTCAATTGGTTCAATCGTGCATTGAAGGGTTCGAACTGGTCGGGAACACCACCTACAAGGACTACGGTTTATTGACCACTCCCCAGCTTCATTATCTCGTTCGCACCGCTAACGACAAGACCTACGGCGAGTGCTCGGAGACTGGTTACTATGACAAGATGGTGCACGCCTTTGAGCAAATCCACCAGTTGGGTGACCAACAGCCTGTGAGTATCACCATTGACTGCGCCAACGGGGTTGGGGCTCCTGCCATGGAAAAATTCAAACGGGTTCTCAACCGGATAGATATTACCTTGGTTAACACTAACATCGAGGACCCTCTCAAGCTCAATGTCCTGTGTGGGGCTGACTACGTCAAGACTAACCAGAAATTGCCCGCGGGGGTGTCTCCCAAGCCCAATGTGCTTTACGCATCGTTCGACGGTGACGCTGATCGGCTCATCTGCTACTTCACTGACGATAATGGTGGCTTCCACCTTTTGGACGGTGACAAGATGTCAACACTTATCGCACTTGTTATGCAACAATTATTCAACGATCTTCCTCTGCTTGCAGACCAATTGAAAATCGGGGTGGTACAAACTGCGTACGCCAATGGTTCCTCTACCAACTACATTCAAAATACCCTCAAGCTTCCGGTAGAATGTACCCCCACTGGGGTGAAGCACTTGCATCACGCTGCCGAAAACTTCGACATTGGTATATATTTTGAAGCTAATGGTCACGGTACCGTATGCTTCTCGAAGAAGGCCGAAGAAGCCATTGACGCCTACAAGCCTGAGGGTGAAGTTGATGGAAGAGCCGCAACCATCTTGAAGGCACTCAGCAACTTGATCAACCAAACTGTGGGTGATGCTATCTCGGATCTTCTCACCATCTTGGCGATCTTGCACTACTTGCGCCTTTCGCCTCAACAATGGGATGAGGCTTACACTGATTTGCCGAACAAGTTGATTAAGGTGATCGTGCCCGATAGAACCATCTTCAAGACTACCGACGCTGAGCGTAAGTTGGTGGAACCCGCTGGTTTGCAGTCGAAGATCGATGAACTTGTGGCCAAATACCCTCAAGGCCGGTCGTTTGTTCGTGCAAGTGGAACCGAGGACGCCGTTCGGGTATATGCTGAAGCCGCGAAGCCCGAGCATGCTCAGGAGTTGGTGGCCCTGGTGGGGCAGCTTGTCGAGTAAACTATATAAACATAGAGCTATCCTAATTCCATCGATGTAGTCATGTGACGCATCTAATTTCATCAATCAGTTTAGTGTCACCGCAGACATACACAGTGGTCCGATACAAATAAGTCGGCGTCATGAGACCATTAGACGTCCATTTGGTCTGGCCATCGAAGTATGATGGTTTAGGGGTAATTTATCGTATGTTGTCACGTACTCATAGCCAACAACCGTCATCTCTTCGAGTTTGACGCATCTTCCTTCTTTCTGTGCGCCGTTAAAATATGTCTTGCGCAAGCTTTAATTTTAAACTATGATTGGCAGACACCTTCAAGTGTCTAGATACACGACGATTCAACATAAAGAGTTTATATTGTGGATTTCGTTTAAATAGACAGAGAAGTCCGGAGATAGCATCGAGTACACCTCACATGCCTAATGACATTTTCGGATGGGTTTGTTATACTTACGCGCAGGCTTCCCCAGCCTTTTAGTTGCAGCGATTGAATGCAGGGTTCGCAACAGATACATATCGCCCATGACCTTCCACCTTGACAATAACCCCTTTTTTTTCAAGCGTTGTCCAAAGTTCTCGACGAAATGACAATCATTATCCTCTAGCTTCATTACGTGGCGGCACTCAATTTGTTTACCTCTTACCTAAATAACGTACATATTGCAGGCGGCAAAATACATGGCGCCTCATCCCCCCGCCCTTCCGCCTCGCCAGCATCACCCCTCCCGAAGCTACAATGCCTATCATGAGCTAAAAGCAACCTTGAGACGGCGTTGGGCGGAACAATCTCCGTGGCGTCAACCGAAGCATTGGCTTCTCGGTCGGCACTGGTTTCCTGTGAGGTACCACGTACCCCGTACCTCGTCGTCGTCGACGTATGCACATTAAAAGCCGACTGGTAATAACCGCTGGGAGCATTGCTATAGAGGTAAATTTCAACCCGTAATTGTATTCTGTCAGAGGATCGTATGCTGCAAATCTATTGTCTACTATCTCGTACCACGTACGGGCGTCGTGAGAACTTGCTTTACTAGAAACATTTTTTCCACGCTCAACTCTGTTTTCCTGAGCATATTCACCAGCACCGCCCCAACGACTGACTCCCCCGGGTGGAAGTAAAGGCTTTGGTTTAGACATTGGTTGAGTTGAGACGATTCCTTATTGACCAAGTCTTCAATTTAGGTTTGAATGTCAGTTCCCCGACGTTATCAACGGACAGGCATTGGCGGCGTCCATGCCGACTCCACTCCCCCGCCGACGACCCGAGGCCACGGGCGTCTGGTACTGGCAGGCACCGTCAATCTCCTGCGCAGTCTGCTGTTACTGACCGATATTCTGCTGACCTACCTGATTAATCGAGCCTCTTTAGGCTTCATGCGGTCGTCGTACGTTCTCAAGCGACAAATGGAAGAGCAAGGATTGATTGAAGGTGATGAGAACCTTCAGAATCTACGAGGCGTGTTACTGACAACTCCAGTTCTCGAGGAGACAGACGATGAACTGAAGGAAGCCTTGGACCCTGCCTATCGTATTGACACTACGTCGCTGGTGAGCTCGCACCAACTGTACCGCTCAGCCACCACCCTGTTTGATTCTCTGGGCCCTGTACCAGTTCCCGAACCGACCTCAAGGTACGGGAGACGGAATTTGAGAAAAATTGATGAAGAAAAGCGGATGAGTGTGGCGTCTGCTCTGAGTTCAAACGCGACGCTCAATCAAGCGCCGCTGCGTCTGTCAAACTCCACCCCCCTCAACGGTTCAACGCTGCTGCGTCGATATTCTGACCCTGTCCCTCGAAGACACTCTGTCAGTCCTCAGCCATACAATAAGAGTATTCAACCACCACTGTCGGCGCGCTCATCAATTGCAAGCCTGGACATTTTGATTAGTGACAGCAACCGCGCTCATTCTGCTCGCTCGCCTCCTTCCCAACCTACACATCAATCCCAAAGTGAGTCCCGCCGGGCGTCGCTTGGTGGGGTGCGCCGGCTCGGCCAACGCCTGCCTATAATGTCACCAAGCTCGCCTAACTCGGTTGCATCTCCGGTTAACAACGACTTGGTGACGTCGTTGAAGAAATATGGCTCTCTGTCGTCTTTGAACCACCGGCAACCTGAAGACCGGTCTAACCGACGATCAGTGGCGAGCAGACGCGTGCGTAATTCTCATCCAAGCGAGATTGATCTGATTCAAGCTCGTAGCATAGAGACTCTGCTGATGATGAATACCTCCGCGGCTCTGTCTCAGGCCATGCCTCATCATTACACTTCTTCAACCTTGCAAAACCCTTCATTGTCTGCTGATATGCTGCTGGTCAATCTGAAAGATCTGCGGTTGCTGCAATTTTTCAGTAAGAAGTTCCGCAGATCACTGATTGTGTCCAAATTTCTGAACTCACTGGAGACTACTACAGCAACTAATGGATCTACCAAACGAAAGGGCAATAAGTACAAGGTGAACCTGGTGCCATATAACATCTTTGCTAGGGGTGTACCTAAAAACAAGTTATGGTCGGGTTCTTAATGCAAGCTCATCAATTGAGCACAATTTGCGGACAATTTTCAGTTCATGGGGAACAATTTGATATATAATTTGTAATAATCATGCTTAAATTTATTGGTAACTTATTTAAGTCTTCACGTCAGGTTCATCGCGACCCAAGAATTTCTTAAACTCAAGCTTATTCAACACAAATTCGATATCTTTTTTCAAGAACTTGTCAGCAGACTCGCCGTACACCTTTTCATCGTCCAGGTGGCGTTCAAGATACAATCTTACCGTAGCCCCAGATGAGCCCGTGCCTGACAAGCGCACCACGAATCTCAAGCCGTTTTCAAACTTGATGTACAAACCTTGGTTCAGCGCAACGTTACCGTGCAAGTCGGTGTAGCTAAAGTTATCCGCATCAGCGACCACGTAACCAGAAACCAACTCATCGCCCTTCTTGACGTTTTCAACAATTTTAGCAAGGTTCTCAACTAACAGGTTAGCGCCGTCAGATGAGACGTTTTCAAAATCATATCTGGTGAAGAACGTGCGACCGTAGTTCTTCCAGAAAGCATCTTGTACTTCCTTAATAGAGTAGTCAGTGGCCAGAGGGTTGCGGTTGATGTAAAAGTCTGCCAACAAATTGAGCCAGGCAGTGACAGCCCACAAACCATCCTTTTCGCGAATGTGGTTCAGACCAGTGCCAAAAGATTCTTCCCCACAGATGCTCAACTTTTTCGCATCGAACAAGTCACAGAAGAATTTCCAACCAGTGGGCACTTCGTAGCAATTCAAGTTGTGCTTCTTAGCCACGAGGTCAATGGCACCGGAAGTGGGCATGGAGCGCGCCAAGCCGTACACGCCCTGTTTCTTGAAATAAGGAATGGCGTCAGCGTATTCAGCAATAATGGCAACCGAGTCACCGGGAGAAACAAAAGTGCCGGCACCATAGATCATGTTACGGTCACCATCACCGTCGGAGGCAGCGCCAAACCCAATGTGCTCTTTGTCGACACGGTCAACGAGAGTTCTGGCGTAAGTCAAGTTGGGATCGGGGTGCAAACCACCAAAATCGGGCAACGGCTTGCAGTTTTGCACCGACAGTTCACCCAATCCCAATTCTTCGACAAACAATTTGTAACCATAAGGACCGGTAACCCCGTTAAGGGCATCAAACAACACGGTAAAGTTGTTACCAGCCTTAGCCAAAAACTTCTTGATCAAGTTGAAGTCGAAGATATCTTGAAGCATAGCAATGTAGTCAGCGACCGAGTCGATAATCTCCACTTCCAAACCATTGACATCAACACTGCCGATCTTCAGCAAATCAACAGGCGCATTCTCAGAGATTTGGTAGGACTTCAATTGCTTGGAAATGTCAAAGATCTTATTGGTAACATTTTCCGGAGCGGGACCACCGTTCGCCAAGTTGTACTTGATACCAAGATCATTGTTGGGACCACCGGGGTTGTGGGAGGCAGTCAAGATAATGCCCCCAGTAGCTTTGCGAATGCGGATGACGTGGGAAGTGGCGGGAGTAGACAAAATACCATTCTGACCGATAATAAGTTTCTTAACGCCATTAGCTTGGGCAATTGACACAATCAACTGAATCACATGGTCGTTGTAGTATCTGCCGTCCCCGCCAATAACAAGGGTAGCGCCTTGTTTGCCTTCAGGAATGGCATCTAAAATCGACTGGATGAAGTTCTCAGTGTAGTGGGGTTGCTTGAAAACCGACACCTTCTTTCTCAAGCCGGAAGTCCCGGGCTTTTGGTCAGTAAAGGGGGTGGTGTTTACCGTGGTCATGAAGGGCAATTAAGTGTCGAACTTTGTTGTGGGCAAGCTAATATACTATAGTCGCATGTTTCGAACAGGCAACATTGACTGCACATAGCGACTTCCCTAAGGTTTCGAGTACATAAAAGAGCACCCAACCCCCTTCTCCCCCTCATCATGCCCCCCGCTCGGAAGACACTCGAGTAAGAGGGGTACGGCCAAGGCGATTGGTCATGTCGGGGTAATGGGAATGAAGTGGCATTAATATGTTTACACTATTTGTGGCGTAAGAGCAAACATCAATTATTGTACGATCCTGAACGTGGTACATATTGTCATTACTCGGCTACAGTCGGGAATCAGGCGGCGATGCCTTTGTAAGATTTTTGTGGGACAACTCATTTAGTGTGGTGGGTGACGCTCGTGGGCGGGCATGCGCATCAGATCACCAAATTCGAGATTTGAGAAACGCGACTACTCGGTTGTTAATTGATCCAAACAACATGTCGAGTGTGATTTTCGGGGCCATTGGAGGATGTATTGCCTGTAACGATAAGTCCAAAGAAAAGAAAGCCACCGTTACTACCACTGGGGCAACCCGCAGGCAACCGCGGCCAGCAGCTAACCGTGAAGGTGGAGCTACCACCAACAACAAGCCTTCAACAAAACCGAACACCGCTGCGAATGGATCAACTTCAGGTGGGAATCTTGGGGGTACTAAGCCGCAAATGGATCCTAAAGAAGCGGCGGCTAAGGCGGCTGAAGAACGTTACCGAAAAGCGGCCCAGAACCAATCACAGAGTAAGCAAAAATTGAAGGAGCACCAACTGCGACCAAAATCCGAAAAGGCCTTGGCTTCCTAATAGATGGCATATAACGCGTTGAACGTCACCTAATAGATATATTTATTTCTTACTCTAATTTCCCCTGCTTGCTATTTAGGACTCTCGCCATGGTAATTCACTCGTTTGTACTCCCCCGGACTGATGTTTACACCGAGCCCCCAAAGTCCACGGTGTTGACGCTTCGCTCGAGCCTCGACTCGTCGATATACCGACTCCATGCCACCAAACTCTGCCCCCGTCTTCGCCTCATACACAACAGCAGTGCCATTGCGTAACATTTCTTCGCCAACATCTTTGCGTCCAAGCCATGTCCACACCAACGCTCGGGCCACTACTCGATGGTATTGATCTATTGAATAAGGAATGATCGTCACTCTGCGTCCAGTGAGATAGTCTTTGAGCCATATTAATGCCTCTTCACTATACGGTTGAGCTGGGTGACCAAAATGCAGTCGCTCGGGCGCATCAACGCCAGCGATTCTTATGGAAAGGGTTTGATTTTTGAGTTCTTTGGGGACGGTAGGCACATGGCGGAGCCAGCCCCATCCAAGTAATACGCCACCAGGGGTGTGATAGAATCTGAAGTTATCACCGTCACCCACCCGTGTCACCTTCCCCAGTATCCGTCGACCAAACATCGATGGTGTCATGTCAAGCGGCGATTTGACGCGAGCAAACCGTCGAGACAATGTGAAGGCAAGAAAGCCAGTAGCACATATTCCGGAGGAGAGAAGGATCACCTTGGGGTGGGTGATACTGATATCATTAGCCATATCAGCTCGTCGAGTGTCGCGTAGCTGCGTGTAAATGTGTAGGTGCAGGAAGACAAAGACGGGACGGCCGTAATCACAAACTGATGGCGGAACATGCTGTCACGAGACGGGGTTCGAGCATCCGAGCACGATGCATAATTTGATCGATTTGCTTCAGATCAATTACTGAAAGATGTTAACTGTGGATTGTAATATCATTTACCCTTTACCCTCGAAAGAGGCATCGTGCAAAATGCTCCAGTGTTAATGGAAATCATGCTACATTGTATGAGTATTTTCCAATTGTTCCCTACAACTTGTTATTTCAATGTAGTATTTGGTAAAGAGGCCATTATAATGAAAAATGCATCCTATTACTCGTTGGTTCCCAGTGATATTAATGTGTATGGACTTCACATAGAATATTATGTACTATTATACGAGCAGTATACACATTTTGCAATCTTTTAGCAATCTTTAACGAATTGAAAAGTCTAATTTGTGGAAAATTACAACAATTTTGACGGATTCTAGTCCCCTGTGAAGCTCTTTACAATACATACTTGTCAATAAGGGTACGAGAGTAATGTGGGATGTCTTTATCGAAACTTTACTTTGCAGTGGTACCTGTTCAAGAATTCAATGGACTCTTTCTTTTCCGAGACACGCATTCTTATTTTGATTTGCCTTTTTTTATTGATATTTTGTAGAAAAATCAACCTTAGGGTTTTCTAATTCTTGATTGGTCTTAAAAGAATTTTATAGAACGTATAGTTTAGTTGAAAAAGCTGACACGAGTGGAAAAATAATTGTCATCTAAGTATGTATACCACATAAAAAATCAACATGCATATAAAATCTGTGGTATAAAATTGTGACGGTTACTGGATCACGACTAGTAGTAAAGATCAAATATCAATTGTCTTGATTAGAAGTCACTTCTATAAAACTCTATAAACTCAGCGTTTTTTATACCTCAACAATACCGCCATTATTGCAACCATAACGCCACTGTGGAACCTTCCACGCATGCTCCAGTCATGCTCATGACTCCTTGCATGCTTGATCTCAAACACTCCTCGACTCTCGTCAACCTTCTCTCAGGTTCCATTGACTTCTGGAGTTAACTCTTCGCAACTCTGACAGTCAAGATCAGCATTTTACACAATAAAATCAGAAACGCGCAAATGGTTTAGTGGTAAAATCCAACGTTGCCATCGTTGGGCCCCCGGTTCGATTCCGGGTTTGCGCATCCTTTTTGAACCTTCTCTGGACTAGGACATCTATTTTTGTCTTGATCGGTGTATTAGTAGAAGTCTGATAACCACCAAACAATGTCTTTCACCGTAACCGACTTTGCCATATTTTCAATGGACGAAACAATATCAAAATGGCGACACCCTGGTGGTTGGCGAGTGAACCAACTCATCTCTTACTCATCTACAAATACCAGCAAAATGGACCCTAATTGATCAATTCGTCTCAGGGTTAACAGATCGTTTTGGATAAAATTCAATTGAAGCTTTGCTTTTGCGGTATTCCTTTCAGTTACCTCAGAAGTTAGGAATCTGATACTAATTTTGTCTCCTTGCTGTAACATTCTTACATAATCTACACCGGTGATTAGAAACACTTGTGGTGAACGATCGAGGGCCCCGATTCGTCGTATTCTTGCTTGGAGATCCACATTTGTTGGAAAGTGGACAACGAAGCCAAAATCGAACCACCAATCCAGACCGAGTACTTTCTTTCGGGGGGAGCAATGATCTTCACCTTCATCGACGAGGGAGCCAACGAAGTGATTTCCTTTTGCATACGTTCGGCAATACCAGGGAACATAGTGGTACCACCAGACATAACGATGTTGTTGTACAATTCCTTTCTGACATCCAAGTCACACTTCATGATGGAGTTGTAGGTCAATTGGTCGATACCGGCCGATTCCATACCCAAGTCAGCAGGTCTGAACAAGGCTTCAGCAGCTCTGAAACGTTCGTTACCAATGGTGATGACTTGACCATCGGGCAATTCGTACGACTTTTCAATGGCCGAAGATTGCGACGAAGTTTGCATTTCTTGTTCGAAGTCCAAAGCGACGTAACACAACTTTTCCTTAATGTCACGAACGATTTCACGTTCAGCGGTGGTGGAGAAAGTGTAACCACGTTCCGAGAGGATCTTCATGAGGTAGCCAGTCAAGTCTCTACCGGCCAAGTCCAATCTCGAAATACCGTGAGGCAACGAGAAACCGGCGTAGATAGGAACAACGTGGGTAACACCATCACCCGAGTCCAAAACGATACCGGTAGTTCTACCCGAGGAGTACAACGAAAGCACAGCTTGAATCGAGACGTAGAACGCGGGGACGTTGAAAGTTTCGAACATGATTTGAGTCATCTTCTCTCTGTTAGTCTTGGGGTTCATGGGAGCTTCGGTCAACAAAACGGGGTGTTCTTCGGGAGCCACTCTCAATTCGTTGTAGAAGGTGTGGTGCCAGATCTTTTCCATGTCATCCCAGTTGGTAACGATACCGTGTTCAATGGGGTATCTAAGGGTCAAGATACCTCTCTTGGATTGAGCTTCGTCACCGACGTACGAGTCCTTTTGACCCATACCCACCATGATACCTTGGTGTCTGGGACGACCAACAATCGAGGGGAAGACAGCACGGGGAGCGTCGTCACCGGCGAAACCGGCCTTGCACATCCCGGAACCGTTGTCAATAACTAAAGCAGCAACTTCTTCTATATTATGTTAGTAATTTATTGTAATTTGTGACATAGAGGTCGCGGTATTTTTGGCGTGGGCACTAAACCCCACTTGCGCGCACCAAAAAAGCAAACGTGTGAAAAAGTCGACGACCCCAAGCGGGGATGGACGTTTGGCTTAAGGAAACGGCGGGTCAATTCCTGACCAAGTGAAGTGACAATGGAGTACTCGTAGTCGATGAAATTTCCCACGGGGCAGTGTGTGCCGTCGGCTCAAAAAAGAAGGACAAAGCCACGATGACCGATTGCAATGGAGCTTCGGCATCAGTTGTTCAGCCATTGCCATACCCCTAATCAAGGGTGACTTGTACCTTCAACTTGAATGCCGACCGACGAAAACACCACAATCCCCACTGGATATCACCGAATCAAGTTAACGTCGTCGAGATCGACGTCAACGAGAGGGACAATACGGGCACACTCCAAAAAGGCTGTATTAATCAGGCCATTTAGACCAATCACCGGCAATCTCGCAATCTGCGTCGATATGGTGTCGAATACTTACCGCCATCCATTTTGAAGTGATTTGTTGTTGAGCGAAAAAAACAACTCAGCAAGGTGGAAAATCAAGAAATTCGCAGAATCCACTTTGCGTGCAGGACACAGCCGAGACGAGCGCCTATAGGTCCACAGCGGCGTTCATCTTCAATTACGATGAAAGTGCGGATCACGGCTCATAATTAGAGAAAGCTATTACCTTGGCGTGATATTTGTTGTTAGAGTTCTATTCTTAGTATGTTCAAAAACGCGTCTGATTTTATTCGTGGCTGGTCCTGAACAGTCCGGCTCAAGTGCGGAAAATAGTGGGTTCGTCACTGTCGGCCGCAGCCACGAGGGCTGATGATCGTGCTTCACTTTCTTTTAAAGCTCCATCGATTAAACTGGCCGGGGGATCGTATCGCATCTGATGTCCAAAAATTTATCAAATACCACTATGAGAATCTTTTGCTGGTAAATCACTTCCGTCGATGTAGAATCAAAACCACGCCGGTACATGGCACAACCTGCAATCCACCATGCAGCGTGATCAGTTGCTAGTGAGATCATACCTCATAGTACTACGTTTTGCTAAGCGTTTAGATAATAGGCGAAGTGGCGGAGGTGCTCACCTTTGTGATGCGGGCGTGACAGGGGGCGGTGCTCGCAGTCTTTGCCACCTTGTTCGTAAAGTTAGATGATCACATGGAGCGGGTAACGCCGACGCGCCCTATAGTGGCAAAAGTGACTGCATCCAAGCTATCGTTGTGGGCAAGCGCTAACCGTGTCATATTGCCGAATGTAGTGAGGATAGACACGATATCCAAATTGGATAAGCCAACCTAATCTAAATGGGGTGAAACCTGGAATTCGATACTATTCGGTAGCAGCTGATGGCTATTGTGAAATTTCCGACAATTATGGTGGCAAGGACTGCTTAACTGCGCTGATCTAATGTGGAGGTCGGCAGTGACGTCGGCTTCGCCCCGTTTGGTGTTAGTGTCAACCAGTATCCACCACAAGTAGGCAAAAGTACTTTTCGTTATTAGGAGTATATGGTTTTGTTTGACAAAAATTTCATCACAACCAGCCTTGTGTTGTGGCTTTATAGCATGGGCGGTGCTGGCTTTTGTACTCGCGATCCTGACAACTTTCTTGGTAGAGTGCAAGCGATTTTTTCCCCAGTGCGACCTAAAAGATTTCGTGATCAGGAATTCTAACGCATAGTATTACCATGGCTTCGTCCGTTCCCTACGATCCCTATATCCCCCAACAAGAGGAGTCGTCCCAAAGCAGGACGGCTGCCATCCAGGCGGTAAGTATCTTCCAATTTCCTACATGATTCCCGTTGATTCTCGAAGCCGAAGTCGGCTTATTGCGCCCCCTATTCCCGTCTACGTTCCTGGAACTGATTTGAGTCAAAACTGATCCACAAACAATGGTCAGTGAGTGTTGTTCGACAGATAAAGACTTGGTTTTGGTGTGTCTCATCAATTAGCTCAATGCGAATCAAATCCAAACTGAATGATAGAAATGTCAAGCGTCGCAGTGTCAAATTCGCCACCTTTGAGTGGACTACCTGTTTCACCAGAAATAAGACACGTACGCAGTTGTTTCAGTACCTTTTCTAATACTGAGATGATTGTGACTAGTCACCATGTTCAAGTTGATTGCGGTTACTCATCCATTATTAATGACCTCTATCTAATCGTTCACCTAAGGATCTGATCGTTTGCTTCAATTTGTGAGTGGTTATCGATATCATCCCTACATTTGTGTATGGTATCCGTTACTTGGAGGTGGGAATCACATCTTTCTCAAGCTTGATTGATTTGATGAGAGACCCCCCTTACACAATCGCACTTCATTTACCCATCTCTGGGTGGCGTGCGACACGTGATATAATCGAACAGCAAGCCCTTTTTTCTTTGGGTTGTGAGCGAGTGGTTAACACCGTTTGTTGTTTTACGTGGCCAGCGAAACCGGCACTATACAAAATATATTGAGGCTTCGGTGTCGACGTAACGTCTTGTGCATATCCCTTCTGGCGAAATACGCCACCGCCCTTTCAGCATGCTGACACCGTTGACCCACGATACTGGAACTATTCGCTGGTCAGTAACCGCAGCTCTACATTCTCGTGGGATAATGTCACGTCAAGCTGGCAATGGTTGGTATTTTACCCGAGGGGTTGGGGGCGCGTGCCCCCGCTCAATAACCAATGGTAGAGGCGGGTGAGGGGCATACCTGCATACAAAATCACAATTCTAATGGCGTGAGTGGCGAATTGATGTGAGACACCAAAACAGACGGCGCAGTGCGCAATTCGGGGTGCCGGAGACACCGGGCCCTCGGCGGAGACTAGTTTGTGGGCGCAATTTTATTTTCTTGTCGTAAGCGGATTGACAAAATCACTAGGGTCTTCCGGTTCATTCACTAACATTTAGCAAATCGATGATACCGTGGGTATTATGCGGGACAATATCAATAAGGTCGCCGAAAGAGGTGAGCGCTTGGACTCCATAGAAAACAAAACGGACAACTTGGCCATCTCCGCTCAAGGCTTCCGTCGGGGAGCTAACCGGGTGAGAAAGGACATGTGGTGGAAGGATTTTAAGATGCGCATTTGTCTTATTGTTGGGGTCATCATCGTCTTGGTGGTGATTATCGTACCTATTGCAGTGTCGTTCTCTAAGTAATAATGTTTTTAATGAAATCTTCAAACATACGTTGAAAATTGTCGTTCCGACCACTTTAACCTAGTCATCAAGCGTAATTGCATTGTCACTTCCGGTCATGCATGACCGGAAGTTGATGTCGCATCCCCAAGGACAGAGTCCGACATATAGGTGAGACATGCATAGTACCTCCTCTACCCATCAATGTTATATATCTCTGCGGATCCGCAAACGCAGCAACGAATTCCCATTTACCCCAAACATCGAATATTTTCATCTCAAAGATATAAGACACCATGGCGTCAAACAAGCCGATGTTCCCTGAACAGGACCAGAGGATAATACCGACGTCGGCGGAACCTCCACCAGCAACCAAGACTGGCGGCGTTTCGAAACCCAAGACAGCTCAAAAGCCTTCAGAATCAGGAGAGAAATCGATGGAAAGAACGATGAACAACAAAAATAAACTGGATCAGCGGGAGGGCGAGGTTGGCCAGCCTCGGATGGCTTACTCGTCGAACCAGTCGAAATCGCTTTCCTGTGTTCCCGAATACCTGGGGAAAATCCCCCGCTCGCAAATCAAGCGCAAATATCTCATCAACAAAACGTTCGTCAAGTTGGCGTTGAGACATAAGCTGGCAGGCACTCTGGCTAAGCTACACAAAAAGTATTTGAAGGCTGGCCTTAAAGCTAAGTTAACGCTTGTCAACAACTTGTTTTCGCTTTACCAATACCTCATCCCTTACACATCGAAGAAGAAAATTTTCCCTGTGTATGTTGACCTGCCCATCAAGCACGATGTATATCTGGGGGGTCAGCCAAACGCCCCCGCCAAGATCCGTGCCAAGCTGGTGCAAATCATTGATCACAGCTTAGTAGATGTGCTGCGGTATCTGAATAAAGTCTTAGCCGCGGCTCTGGGGCTGCTGGTACCGACGTTCAATCTGCTTGATACCGCGGTACACCTGCTATTTGGCATTGATGAGTACACCCTTATCAGAGTTACTCGGCTGGCGCTGGACGATACCGATGGTCTGATAGTACTCAAGTTGGAGCTGGCTAAACCTGGAGACACGCTGTTGATTGACTCCCTTGAATTTAGTGACGAAATGATGCATCTGATTGGCAAGCCGGGAGAAACGCCGCTGAATTTATTCATCAAGAAAGTGGTCGCCCGTCCCCGATATAAACTGGATATGAAGGTATTTTTGGTTCTGAAAAATCTCCATTGCTCGTTGTATTTGGATGAGCGGATGCTTGAGCGCGACTTAATCAATGGTATCGTCAACTTGAACTTGGATGGATCTAAACCGTCCATAATAGGGTTAGGATCTACAAAGGGCGAGCTGATGGAGTTTGCCAATCCTCACGTTGCCGACGCTGTCGACTTTAACAACAATCTCATCCTGGACTTCAGCCATTACGGTAACTCGAGTGATGCTCAAGTCAATGAATCAAAACTCATTCTTTATAGACCACCCGACGCTCGTGCTGTGTACGTCACCTTCCCCTTCGACAATTGCATCAAAGAATTTGAAAAGTTGCTAAAGCTTCTGAAATCCGAGCCTCACCTGGATAGCGACATGACCCTGATGAAGGACTCTCTGCTGTCATCGCTGCCTAAAACAGACTCCCTGCTGCTGCTGATTCCCTTGCGTACAGAGCTGCTGAATCTGAATCTGACTCTGGCAAACTCGCTCACGGAGATAAGTCTGGGTGATCAGCTGGAGAAGTTGCTGTCTGCGAAGGTGAAACTGGAAACGGAAACCTCTGCCAATAACAGTGCAAGCAGCAGTGCCAGTGGTCTGGCGAGCGGCCTGGTGCCGCCACAGTCCATACAAATGCCACCTAATTCTAAGTCACTGCTGTATCTGCTGCAAGGTCTGGCTTTGGATGGGGTACCTCCAAAATTGTCGCCAAGAGCTGTCGATAATGAGTACAATCGACCCAGCTTGCGCCGATACCTACGCTTTAACAAATTTGATGAGCAGATACGTTTACCTTTGCCCAACCTGTCTGCTGACTTTCAAAATTCTCAAGCGAACGAGCAGCGACGCTCTTCTCGGAACTCACCCCAACAGCACGATCATAAATCGAAGTCGGGGAGCTTAGAGACTTTACCACCGCTGTATATGCTCCAACCTCATTGGCCTAATAACCTACCGACGATGATGCCTCATGACATCGTTTCCCAATGGAACAACAACCGGGGTGAGTCTGCGGACGAATCTGGAGGAAACGCTGCAGACAATTAGTTTCAAGTTGCGAAACCGCCTCAATCAGTAGAACAAATTCATAGCATATCTTAAGCCTCGTAGCAAGGGCCACATGTGCGTCACTGTGGTTGTCAACGGATGGAAGGGGTTAGTGGGGGAGCTAAGGCGTGTGTTTTATTTTGTGGAGCAAGTCCGAATCTATTTTGCACTCAAAATGAATATATGGACTTTCAATATAATCGTTTTCAAGTGCACTATGAATTCATCCAACCATTTTGGTTCTGTGAGAAACATCAACAATTGATCTACATTAACTCCGTAGACGAATAGCTGGAAAACCAGTATTGCTACGATGAGCAGGAAAAAAACTGGAAGTGTCTTGGGTTTATTTTGTCTCAGGTGAACTTCTCGCACCTCCACTTATATATGCAGGAGATATACGCTAAGGCTCGGCAAGATACTCGGTCCTTTCGCGGTGGGATCATGCACAAAATACTCGTCGTCATAGCTGTTACGTGGAGTGAGCGCAAAGCGCATGTAAATCCAGTGGCGACTACTGTTAGCCACGTTTTTGGAATTAAGCGAGTTTATTTTCTTCAAAGAGGTCATGCGCGATTCGTCAACTCGCCGCAAAGAGGGTGAATATCGTTGGTATGGCAGTTTTCCGGGTTGCTGAACGAACCAGCGTTGAACTATGTAAGTTTTGTGGGAATGGAGATTTTCATAGCTTACAACAAACGCATCGTTGAGAATCAATACGTGCTTCGAAGAAAGCAGAATTTTCGCGTAAGTTCGATGAGAGTGTTCGGATTAAATCGTTTGACATAAATCCTACCCAATTGTGAGACACGGAGCGTGTCGAATTGCTAATTGGCTCACATGTGAGACACTTCGCTATCACGCTGAGACAATAATATTATATACCTTCCACCCTCGGAATGCGCCTAAAGCCTATTGCGCGGAAACACCACAAGTCGTCCAAATCCCGAGCAATCACGCAGCGCTATCGCTGACAAAGATGAGCTTAGTTGCACCATCATAACATAGACCTTCTCAGAGTTTGCGTTGGGTACGTTGAGCTTCACAGAAAGTAAAATGGAAGTGTTTCAACACTCGGCCGGAATAATGTCGGGATATGATTCAGGGGTTGTCTGGGCGAAAAAGAAATACGGGGGCCAATGTCGGCTGCGAGTATATTTTTTCGACCATGGCCATCACCACCATATGGACCCGTTCGGTGGCAAACGCCGACGTCAACGTTGTGCATGTGTGACTCTCAATTGGACCACAAACTGGACCGGGGGCAGATTTACGGTAAATTCCCAGTCTTACGCCATATGCGCCTAACGAAAGGACTATTCTGAGACACCAACATATGAGCGCATTAGTGGTTGAACTTCCGTTATCCGTCGATTGGTGCCACAATAACATTGAGGCGCCGTTATCTTAGTGGCACATATAGCAAGCTTCATGCCGGCAAACGCGGACTAGCTTGCCGCATTTGGACCTGGTAACGCTTTGGTGTATGGCCTAGGTTACTGCATTTGCCAAGATCGCATCTCTTTATTGGAGAGCAGGGTGATCTTGTATAGACTTTTCTCCCATTCATCTAATTGATGTAGGAAGTCATTATGCACCTGACGGTTGGCGTTAAAGGCAAAGTTATTGATTTCAATAGCACGGACTCTCAACATATCCATCACCGTCGCCACAAGTTGCTCATCCCTGTACATTTCACAATACTTGATGATAAGCGCGTAGTAGTGGGCGGCGATGCGATGGAGATCCACCAGCGTCGGCAGCGTCTTGATGGCGTTGATCACTTTCATATTGACAAACTCGGGATTGTCAATTTCGAGGAACGTGTGGGTATTTTCATCGTTTGCTGGCACGAGATTGAGCACTGACGCCAACCAAAAGGGAAGATCAATCTTCGTTCCCGCCTCCATGTCGCCTCGAGGGTTACCCTCAAGGTACCCTAGACCGGGAACATTTTCATTGAAACGGCATGACACTTTTTGGGCGTCCGCTAGGATGTCATCAAGGTCATAGTACATGGTACCTTGGGAATTGGCAGGTGTTCGAAAGTGCGACACGTCTGGCTAAGCGCGACTGAAAATCATTTGACGTCAGTGAATGAGACCACACCACAACAAATGAATACCCTTAATGAGCTTAGGGAGGTGGTAGCGCAGGCGAAACGTGAAAACCAGCAAGATCTAGAGGAAGCTCGCAGGGCACAACGGGTGAAAGGGCTGACAACCCATCTGGACGACGAGAATCAAGATGAGAACAAACTAAACGAGCATGACTACGACTCACGAGATCTCATGGATATGACGTTGGCCGATGTCGATCAATTGGAAAGCAAAAAACGACCACGGAGTCTGGTACGGCGGGGAAATATGGCCGACTTAGCCTCTGCTACGTACGTCAAGGAGTTGCAACTGATGGAGGCCGACGAGGATGGATACACGCGACAAGTGAACTCAGGAAAAGGATCGGTAGAAGATCAACTTCGCGCGTTGGAGGCACAACCCCTGTCACAAGCAGTCGAGGAGATGGCAAAGTTGGTAGCCGACGCTGATAGTAAACGGAAATCAAAGAAAACTACGGGGTACACAAAGAATGACCGCTTCAATGAGAAATTGGATAAAATGTTGGGCTAGCTCAGCTAGTTGTTGTACTCGTTTGATTGTACCAATTGTCATCGGTTATGGATTGTCTTTCAATTGTTAGAGTTTCGAGAATGTGCTGACACTGACGATTAAAGTAAGATTTTCGTATCTATAAGCAAAGCAGGAATACTTTCAAGACTAGCCTCAGTGGTGCTTATAAAATACCCTCCATTGACGTTTTATAGAAATTATGAGGCATTTCGGAAACATTGTAGTATGGAGATTCGAAGAATAGCAACTTAATATATATCAACACCACATTAACATGGTTTATACGTCCGCCTTGTAACCCACAATCGCTTGTGTTGATTTACCCATACCATTCATAAAGATGCGCGCGCTGAAAAATTATCTCAGCTTCGACCCCCATAGCGCCATGGTCAAGGAAGAAGAAGCCATGGCCGGCGAAAGCGAGATTCGCGACTTTGCTCTGGACAATCCCAGTGAAGAGGATGGCGACGATGTCATGGAGGATCTGTCCGAAGAAGACGACGACGATGATGACGAGGAAGCGATGCAAAAAGTACGCGACGGCTTCATCGTCGACGATGACGAAGAAGAAGTCGAACGCAAACGACGCAAAAAGCACAAGCGGCGGAAGGAAAGAGTCGACGATGACGACGCTTTGGATGCCGACGACCTCGAATTGTTGTTAGAAAACCTGGGGGAACGCTCACGCAAACAACTGAAGTTCCGTAGACTCAAGCGGGCTCAAGGTGGCGACGATGACGGCAATCGCCTGGCAGCTACCCTGAAATTGAGCGGGTTGTTCAGTGATGACGAGGGCGAAGAAGGCGGTGACCAAGGCATCGAAGACAATAGAAACATGATCGACGAATTCGAGGACTTTATCGAGGAAGATGAGTTCTCTGACGACGATGAAAGAAAGCGTGCCAAGGTGGCTCGCGTCAAGAAGCCGAAAAAGCTGTCATTGGACACGTCTAAGCTTTCAAACGTTGATCGTGAGTCGTTGCAACAATTGTTTGAAGTATTCGGTAACGGTGCCGAGTACGAATGGGCTCTTGACGCTCAGGAAATGGAAGACGAAAATCGTGAAGCGGCCAGTGGGGAACCGACCACCTTGGATGAAGTTTTCGAACACCTGGAACTTAAGGAACGAATGCTCACCGAAGAAGACAATTTAGTGCGTATCATCGATATTCCTGAACGCTACCAAAAATACCGGGCCAATCTCAATTATATCGACTTGGATCAGGATGTATTGGATCGTGAAAAGTCTTGGGTGGCTGAGATTATGTACATGGAAAAGCTTGGGATGTTCACGGGCGACTTGGAAGTCCACTTCAAGAATGCTGTGGGCAAAGTTGTCGAGTTTGTCTCTAAGGATGCCTACGAAGTGCCTTTCATCTGGACTCATCGGCGTGATTTCCTTTTACACTCCGAAGAGACTATTGGCGCTGATGGAAACCCCACCACAGAAGTTCATAAGTTATTATTTGAAGATGACCTTTGGCGAATTGTTCAACTTGACATTGAATATCATTCGTTGTACGAAAAGAGACTCAATGTGGAAAAGCTCATTTCTCAAATTCCTGAGGCTATCGAAGATGATGATATTTTGAGAGACATTGGCAGTTTGGAATCTATGTCCGCTATTCAAGACGTTAATGACTACGTACAATTCACCTATGCTGATGCTCTCAAAGAGGCTCACCCTCAAAAGAAGGGAGCTAAACCCCAGTTATATCACCGTCTCAAAGCGAATATTTTGTACGATGCCATTGCTGCTTTTGGTTTGACTGCAAAGCAATTTGGTGACAACATCCACGACCAAAGTTCGAAAGGATTCCAAGCTGCTTATCGGGTACATGCTACTGACGACCCTTTAGAGTCTCCTGCTGATTTGTTGGAACGTCTCGTGGATGACGATGAAGTTTTGTTCAAGGATGTGGCAACTGCGCGCGATGCAGTTCGCAGAGTGTACGCTGAAGAGATCGCTCACAACCCCAAGGTCAGAGCCGAAGTCCGCCAAACTTTCAAAAAGTTTGCCAACATTTCGGTTGCCATCACCGAAAAGGGTCGTACCACTATTGACGTACATCTGCCCTACGCTGACATGAAGTATGCTATCAACCGTACCCCTGCTGATCTCGTTAAAGACCCGCTGTATTTCTTGCGGATGCTAGAAGCGGAACGTCAAGGTTTATTGGTTATCAAGGTGCAAACTAAAGATTACGATCTGTGGTTCAGATGCATTTTCGACTGTCTCAAGCTGGATGGGATGTCTGAGGTTGCTGATCTTTGGAATCAAGAACGTCAAATTGTGCTTGAACGAGCATTTTCGAAACTTTGCAGTATGGTAGCTCTTAGCACTAAGGAAGACTTGCGTCGTGAATGTGAAAGATTGATCGCTCTGGAGTTGCGTCGCAAATTCTTGTATCGTGTCGATCAAGCTCCCTACACCCCTCAAGGTTACGACAAGGGTACCAAACCTAATGTGCTTGTGCTCACATTTGGTAAAGGTGATCCCGATCTGGCTGTGGTTGGTGTTTTCATCAAAGAGAACGGCAAGGTTGACGAGTTTTTCAAGCTGGATGTGAACCCCATTCATAACCGTGAAAATCAAGATGCTTTCAACGGGCAGCTCAAGGAGTTCTTCGATCGAAACCTTGACTATGTCAAACCTGACGTTGTCGTGATTTCTGGGTTTAACGCCAATACTAAGAAGTTGTTTGATGTCATTCGCCAATTTGTTGAGGAGCACAACATCTCGGTGCCCCTTCCTGAAGTCGCCGATGCAATGGAGGGCGCCCCTACTTCGGCTCCGCTCCCGGTGGTCTTTGGTCAAGATGAAACTGCTCGCTTGTACCAGAACAGTGAAAGAGCGAAGCAGGAATTCCCTGATAAGCTGATGTTGGTCAGATATGCAGTCGGAGTTGCTCGTTATGCGCAAAACCCGTTGCTTGAGTACGTGTCGTTGGAAGACGATATCTTGTCTCTCAACTTTCATTCTTACCAAAAGCTTTTGGATCCTGACACGGTGATTGAGGCGATTGAGCTGGTATTTGTCGACATTGTCAACATGGTTGGGGTTGAAATCAACGAAGCTGCGAGAAATCCGTACGTTGCAAAGCTCTTGCCCTACATTGCTGGCCTTGGACCTCGGAAAGCCCTGGGTCTTATTCGTAATATCAACTCATCTAAAATTGGGCTGTCTTTAGCCAATCGTGCGGACTTAATCGAGTTCGACTTGATGCCGGCTAATATCTTTGTTAATTGCAGCTCGTTCCTCAACATTCCCTATGAAGATGCTGCCACTGCCTCGCGCGATCTGCTGGTTGAACTTTTGGACGCTACGAGAATCCATCCCGAAGACTACGATTTGGCTCGCAAGATGGCGGCGGATGCTTTGGACTTGGACGAAGTCGACATTGCTGCTGTCGAAAAGGATGGCGGTATCATATATCAATTGATCATTCAAGGTGTCAATAAGGTCGATGATCTCAACTTGATTGATTACGGTAAGGAACTCGAACTGAAGCGTGGGAAGAAGAAGTATGCTACACTCCAGATTATCAAAGAAGAGTTGGTCAACAACTTCCAAGAAATCAGACGGAATTTCCGGGTATTGGACAACCTGGACGTCTTCCAAATGTTAACGGGGGAAACCCCCGAAACTTTCTCTCGAGGGCTGATTGTTCCAGTCACTGTGATTAAGGTACTGAAGAACTACCGTGACTACAACCACCCTAAGGTGCGGTGGGCTAAAGTCATCACCTCAAGTTCGATCATTGGTAACATCGAAGAAAATCACATTCCGGTGGGGAAGGACTTGAATCAACAAGAAGTGGTGCAAGCGGTGGTTATGGACATCTACTACGATCTGTTCACTGCTACCTTTTCGTTGCTCGACGAAGATCTCAAGAAGGCGTTAACACCCAAATTCCCGATGGAGCGTGGTAAGTGGGATCTCGATGCCCAAGAAGAAGACATTCGCAAACGAGATGCAAAGGAGAGAGCTTTGCTTGCAAAGACCAAAAACATTTCTCACCCGTTGTATCACAATTTCAACTTCCGACAAGCAGAAGAGTTCTTGGCGCCTCAGCTGGTTGGTGACTGTGTCATTCGTCCCTCGCTGCGTGGGTCACAATTTTTCACTGTGACGTGGAAGGTGGCAAACAACTTGTTCCAACATCTTTTGGTGGAGGAGAAACAAGCGCCGGACGGTCTGCGCGTTTACGTTGTTGATGGCAAGCTGTACCATGATATTGATCAGTTGATTTTCCAACATATTCAAGCGATTGCCAAGAAGGTGTCCGAAATGACGAGAAACCTCAAGTTCAAAGAAGGAACCTTAGCGGAAGTGAACGAATGGTTGGAACTGTACACCAAGGCGAACCCGCGACTGTCGCAATACGTTTTCTGTTACGACCACAAGGCACCTGGGCTGTTCTTGTTGTTGTTCAAAGTAAACGCCACCACTCCTACACTGACCTGGCGTGTCCGCACGGAAGTGGAAGGGTTCAACTTGAAGGGTTTCTCATACCCCAACATGTTGTCGTTGTGTAATGGGTTCAAACAGACCTTCAAGTCGTTTGTCGCCAAACAGAAAAACGTTAACTACGGTTATTAAAAGGGCCTGGCGCCGAGGCACCGAGTATCATGATGACTTCAAAAATAATTCTGTGGATAGTAAATCCCTATGTACTAATTATATCATATTAACTTTGTAACTCAGTCTGTCCTCGCAAAGGCAAAGGTCGCTTTGTGTAGTAAGACAATGCGCTCTCGGATTATCTGTGTGCGTGAAGTCAATGCGCTATTTCTTTGTCAACAAATGTGAGATGTAGAACATTGCATATAATACCAGTGCCGAAACATCCATGCACTTTAACCGTTGGCCGACTGATCAAAAGATTTGACAATGACGCTGGAGCATTCACAAATATGGTAAAAATTCCGCTTGCAGTTCGCGGAATTTTTCACGACATCCGCGCCACAGTTGACCTTGCAGGCTTATCTATAGGTGCAATCGGTCCGAAACACCCTGTCCCCTCATTTATCGAAAGTTGGTGTCGTTACACGTGCATATTCCCAAACTATGGCGTCTATAACGAAACTTGATCCATGAGTATATAGTCTCGATGATCGACGCAACGGGTCCAATTTAACCGTTGTCAATTGCCAATTGGGGAAACATGACGGTAGGAACCAATTTTCTTGTTATTGTTGCCGATGATCTCGGCTTCACCGATCTTGGATGCTTTGGTGGTGAAATCGCCACTCCAAACCTTGACAAATTGGCCAAGCTGGGGACGAGAATCACTGACTTTCACACCGCCCTGGCGTGCTCGCCCACTCGGCTGATGTTGTTAAGTGGCACCGACAATCACATTGCCGGCCTCGGGCAAATGAACGAATTTGCCCGCAGACATCCAGAAAAGTTCGATGGTAAGCCCGGTTACGAAGGTTACCTCAACGACAGAGTGGCTGCACTTTCGGAAATCTTGAAGGATGCCGGTTATCACACATGGATTTCTGGTAAATGGCACTTAGGTCTTTTTAAAGAACATTGGCCCATCAATCGTGGGTTTGATGATTCGTGGACGTTGTTGCCTGGTGCCGGTAATCACTATAAGTATGTCTTCCGCGATGAGAATGGGGAGATTCCCAAGTTTTTGCCCCCGTACTACGTTGATGGTGATCACGAACTTGATCCCGATACCGAGCTTCCCGATGATTTCTACCTGACGACATATTTCACCGACAAAGCCCTTGAGTTTTTGAAGAAACCTCGCGACGGCCCGTTTTTTGGCTTTTTGACCTACACCGCTCCTCACTGGCCTTATCAAGCCCATGAAGAAATTGTTAAAAAGTACAGAGGCAAGTATAATGCTGGTCCTCAACATTTGAGACAGCAACGTCTTGCGCAGGCAGCCAAACTCGGGATTGTCGATCCCAAAACCATCCCCCATCCGGTCACTTCTATTCACAAGGAATGGGATGAACTTACTCCCGAAGAACAAGCTACTGAATCTCGTATCATGGAAACATACGCGGCCATGGTGGAGATTTTGGACCGGGAAGTGGGCAGAGTACTTGACTATTTGGAAGAGACTGGTCAACTTGATAACACATTTATCTCTTTCATGAGTGACAATGGCGCTGAAGGTATGTTGATGGAGGCTTTACCATTGACTAGTGGTCGTATCCACCACATGATCGACACTTACTACGACAACTCATTCGACAACATTGGTCGCAGGAACCTGTTCGTGTTTTACTCCGACCAATGGGCTCAAGCAGCCACGGCTCCTCATTCAATGTACAAAATGTGGACAACGGAAGGTGCGATCGTATGTCCATTGATTGTTAGACACCCTTCTTTCAAAACAGGGGTGGTAAATGAATTCACCACTGTCATGGATATTTTACCTACTATTTTGGACTTGGCCAAAGTCCCCCACCCCGGTAATGAATACAAGGGGCGAAAGGTGGTGCTGCCAAAGGGTAAATCATGGGTTCCTTATCTTCAGGGTAAAACCGACCACGTGCACGACGAGAATACTGTTGTGGGTTGGGAATTGTTCGGACAACAAGCTATTCGTCGGGGTCCCTACAAAGCGGTGTACATTCCGAAGCCTTTTGGTCCAGAAAAGTGGCAATTGTTTGATGTTCGTAACGACAAGGGTGAAACTAAGGACTTGTCGAAGGAAAAGCCGGAAATCTTAGCTCAACTTCTCGATCACTGGGCAGAGTATGTTGCTGAAACTGGCTTAATTGAATTAGGCTCGGACTTATTCGAGAAGGAGAAGCTTCATGAAGATGACACTGTCGACTACAAAGTGATCAAAGATTAAGTATGATAAATTTAGAACGATAGCCGCAATTGCAACCTTAAGTCGTATACACCACGCTATAGTAATATCTGTCTCCCGTGGTGGTATTCATCGTACGATGCGCATCAAGTGAAAAAAGAAGCTCGCGGTAGCTGCAAATCACCAGATAGTCAGGGAGATGTTCTGGAGACGGGCGGCATGCACACACCTATCTAGGTTGTGGATGCCTCGTCGTGTACTACTACGAAGGGGGTACGTTTCGTTTGCCTCGTTTTATGACACCCCGTCCCCCACAGCGCCCCTCGACCCCAAGTTGACCAGTGTGATCGATGATCATCGCTATTCGGAGCTCCTTACCAGTCCACAGGTTTATGACGATCCTGAATTCATCAATAAAGTCATGCTTTACGTGCTTGACAATTGTCCTGACATGAATTTGACGATGTCAGAATCGGACATCGAAATACCCTACTACCGGTTTGCGGAGAACCACCAAATGCGACATATCAACGTCGATACACCGTTTTACCACTACATTTACCTGCACATCCCTAAACTATACCAATTTTTGCGACTGGTTGAGCCAATGATGTTTAACAATCGCCAGTTCCATCAATATCTTGTATGGCTTGCGTTTCACATGGACGACTCAGCGACAATTCAAAGACTCACGTTCAGTGGTGATGAATATGACGTGGAGACTTTGGGATACATGGTGGCTCTGTTTATTCAAAATTACGAGCTCGACTTCACCAAACGCGTGGTTACTCACTGGCTAGATAAACGCCAGCTATCGGACCCACTGCGACTTTTGGAGGTCATATTTGCTGAGTTGGACTCAGTCGATGCATTGCTCAGTAACTACCAGTTTTTCTTTCGCCTCTGGCGCGATAAGCAGTTGCCAATCTCGGGTAAAGCTTTGTACTTGTTACTCCGCCAATATACCAAGTATGGCAATGCTGACCACATGAATGAAATCAAATCTTATCTCGATGCTTCACCTCACCGTCATCACTACCTTGTCTCAACGGTATTACTTCAACATCGCATTCGTCAACGATCACCGAATCATAAAAAGCCAATTACTGAGGAAGATGTCATTGAACTTGGAAAAATATCTGAAACAACCAGCCTGGAAGAAGAGCTCATTGACTTGTATTATAATTGGCTTAAATTTTTCGCTGTTCATCTGTCATTCACATATATCCAACTAGTACTTGCGGAGATGAAGCGGCGTCACCTTACCAAGTCCCCACTTTTTGCAAAATTCCATCTAGTTGTGGTGCGTCATTTTGGGAGTAATCTCAGATTCTTTGATTTATGGACGTACATGAAGGCTTTGGTTGTCAGTAATAATGAGCCTTTCAGCGAGCCTTATCTTGTGGCTTTTTTTGAAGCGTTTGTGGCAACTTATCCTCATTATGTCCCTCAATTCAAGCGCCAGTTTGACGACTGGCTTGTTGCTAACTTTGCATCCGAGGACGTCACTCGCTTGTCGCTGATATTTTCGGTGACAAAGGTGGTTTCGCAGGTTACACCTTATAATTTGGATATACAGCCATTACGAGACAATCCAAAGAAGTATAGCCTGGTCTATTGGAAAGATATAAGTTGGTCGCGCCAGGAGGTTTTACCCAAGAAGATTGTTAAGGATCAGGTTAACTACAGAGCTACCAGAGGTTTCGCCGATGTTATCAAGAAGGGAGTGCGGGTCGACTCTCTGATCGTAGAGGCGACATTTCGGCGAGCTGACTTGTCTACGAGAAATCGCATCATCGAGCTTTGTCGAACTATGGATATGCTCCCTCGTTTGAACCCCAAGTTTGAGTTGTATAAGGTTCAAGCAAATCAAAACCCACGTGCTCTCCAACAGTTCATGAAACATATTGATTCTTTGGGTACCAATGATCGAATCGTGTACGCCAGAATGTTGATGAACGCGGGTCTTGGTGAACAATGTAAGAGTGTCCTTGCCACGTTGACTGGCTTGACTGATCACCAAAAGATGGTGACTTTCATCATTGGCTTGCGTAATCATATCAATTCAGGTGCATATGACGATGCCATCAACCATCTACAGAGCTTTCCCCTCGATCATGTCGTGTTGCTGCCATTTTTGTTCAATCAAGGCTGTTATATTGAAAAACATCTTGTGTCCAAGATAGAACAAAAGCGTCAACATAACAATGTGGTTAACGACAATTTACTCCGACTTACGTCGATCCTTCAAGGGTTTTTGGGTGATGTGAACCTTCGTGTTGAGCGAGATAGCCAAGAGTTGGAAAGCATTACTGAAGAAATGTTGCTGTTCATTGAAACATGGATGAACGGTGTTACCCCAGCATAATTTTATTCCTGTATATATATTTGCATTAGTATTAACGTTTTTGACGCCTCTCTCCACAGTAGTGGGGGCTCGTGGGTTTGCCGCGCGCCGCTGGACACGCGTCGACGGAAAATTCAAGGCTTACCTCTATACAAACTCGAAATGGCTGAATACTCGTCACAGACCGTGGCACAATTGAAGGAACTACTCAAGGGGAGGGGTCTTTCCACTGACGGGAAAAAGGCTGATCTTGTCAAGCGTTTGCAAGACGCTGATAACGAGACTGAGAAGGCTCAGCCTGTGGAAGCTACCGTTGAAGTGACTGAAACCGAAACGGTTGCTACTGAAATTCCTACTGAAGAAGCTCCGACTGAACAAGCTCAATCTACTGAACTCACTGATGCTACCGCTGAAGTCGCGTCGGAGGACAAGGAAGCTTCCAAGCCTGAGCCTAAAACGTTGACTCCTGAAGAGCGCAAGCTGTTAGCTGTAGACTTGTTGCAAAAGAAGATTGCTCGAGCCAAGAAGTTTGGTGACGATGCTGGTGCTGAAGAAGCGCAAAAGAATCTTGCTCGTATCGAGAAATTTGGCGTGGAACCAGGTACCAAATTGGCCACTGAAATTGGCCTCATTGACAGAAATTTAGGCAGTGAGTTGAACTCGAAGAACTTCCGCAGAGGTAAAAAGAGACACGGCAAGGGTAAAGGTGGCCGTGGTGATAAAATTGGGAAAAAGTAATTCGAGAAGCAGGTTACTAACTATAATCGCGATCTGAGTATTTTAGAACCCTCAACGATTAAATAATAACGATAGATGATAAACTTTGGATTTAGGTCGCAAAGCGAGTATCGTAGCATCAGGCCCTAAACGTTCTCTGACTATTTTGTATTAAAAGTTAGTGTCAATCAATTCATGAGTTAACTTCCAGTTATCCTTTTCGGCATAATCCAAAACGACAATACCGGATCCCTTCTTGAAGTCCAGATCAATGTGACCATCAATCATAGCTTGAGCACAAGGTTGAGGCCACACCAGAGGGTCAAAGAAATTGGAACCTGAGGTAAAGTTCAAAAACAACTTATCGTCATGGGTCGAGTTATAGTCAGCGGCTTTATTGATCATATTCTTGACACAATCAATCTTCTTAGCCATATCGTCCTTGTTTTGCACTTCACAATAGTCTTGCACGCAGAATTCACCCCGGTCATCATCGACGGAGTTGTAAGTCCATGACAGCGCTGGGATCCCGAATTCCTGGCGCCGTTGTTCGTTTTGAACGCCAAAACGACGGAACAAGATCGCTTTACCTCTGGTCTCACCAACGGTCGGAAGCGAGGTATTCAAGAACCACTTGTCCTTGTTAGGGTTCACGTAGTGATCCCAAATGAGGTTGCCAAATTCATCGTTTTGATTGTCCCACTCACCGGTGCCTTCTTGCTTAATTGACACGATAACCGATTCACTGGGATTGCTGTTCAAAAAATTGTAAACTTCGTCCAACGCGTCAGCAAATTTAAGAGGGAAAGGAATCTTAACAGGAAACTTCCCATGGACAACCATCAATTCGTTGCCATCCTTCATCAAAGCACGGCCAACTCTGAAGTCAAAGAATCGAACACCATTATTCAATTGGTCGGTAAGCGACGCCCCTTGGCATTGAACTGAGGGTAAGGCTGTGTGACATGCCGCCGAGTTGTGCGTGCCGGGAATCGACAACTTCGCAATACGGGTGTCGTCGTTGAGTTCCTTCAACCACTGCTGGTAATTAACCATGATTAAGTGGATACTAGTTTTTCGTTAATCAAGAGTGATTATGTTTGGCAATTCGGGGGGCTATGTGTCGGACGCGTTTCATGACAAAATAGCAAGATTAAGGTGCAGGGGCAACCGTGAAGCGAGGCTATGCAGACAATACACTATGTTTTATGAAGGTCTATGCCTCGTACTGTTTCTGATGTGGGAAAGTGGAGAAAGGTAACAACCAGCGTGGGCTTGATTATGTAATTTTCAAAAAAGTCAGAAGTAGTTGGTCCATACGTTAGGATCGCTGGTATTCGATGAGTACGCGCCATTACATTACACACAGGTGAAGGGCTCAGTTAACTTAAGCCGTGCACCTACTCGAATTATTCAACTTGTATAATACAGTTAACAGGAGACTTCTCCAAAAAATATACCTCTTACAATCTCTTTACCATCGGGTAATTCCAACACTTTCTCGGCGAGTTGATGTCCAAGACGATCTTTCAATTTTTCCTTAATTTCGTCGCTAAGGTCTTCATCCATGGCATTACCATCCAGGGACACCTTGAGCTTACGCAACGCATCCATCACTGCCAGTACAAGAATCTCACGCTCAAACTCCAGTTTGTTATCCACTTCAACCACCCCCTTGTACCACACTTTAAGGTTTCCAACCACGGTCAACTTAATGACCTCAGGTCCCATATTCAGAAGACCTAAAAGCGTACCATAGTGAGTTCCGATTGGCTTGCTACTGTCAAGCAATGCCCGTAACAACGTCCGAGTGACACGAGGGCGCAACGTGGAGTACAGCGACCCGTAAACACTGATGATGTGTTGAAGCAAAGCCAGAGCGAACTTCCGCACTTCAAGCTGGTTCTTAAGAAGTTGTTGTTGCTCGGGTGAGGTGGTATCATTGATTTGAGCACCAATACGCTTCGCCAACAAAAGGGTAAGAATACACGGCATAAGAGCGTGAACGTAGGGATCTAAAAAGATCGTCTTGTTTGTAGTGAGAGCCAAAATAACTTCCAACATGGTTGAAAGCACCTCGATATTTCCCAATTGATTGGTGATCTGTTCGGCCACAAACTGAATGAAGTATGGCACCAATTGATGGAGTCCTGTGTCGTTGCGTAACGAGTTGATAGCAGCCTGTTTCAAATTATCTTGTTCTGGGTCCAGCAGGATAAGAACTTCAGCCACTTTGTCGAAGTACAATTTGAGTTCTTTCGAGAGAACATGTTTAACCTTAGGTTTGATTTGCATTTCCTTCTCGGCCAGCTTTTTGTCTTTGGCAGCTCCAGGCTTACCATCGACGCCAGTAGACTCCTTCGTTTTGTCATCACTCGTGTTTCCAGTACCAAGCTGGAGAATGTCGCCACCGAGATACAGCAGTGTTGCCCCGCGGATTATCGGGGGTAACAGTTTGATTTCCAGGGGCAACGGGTTTTGGGGAACCATTGGTTGTACCCCTTCAATTGCAAGCCAATGGGCGGTGAACGTCGCTTGGCGAGGAACTTTTGGAAGCTCCTGGTTGATCAATTTTTCGAATTCAATTTCATGGTCATCAATATAATATAACAGTTGACCACCAGCCCCCACAAGTGTTTCCTTGAATGTGAGTGGTTGCAAGTTGTCGTACCCATAAAGCGGTTCAATATTGAGCTCTTGCAAAGCGTAGTTTATGTCACTTGTCATTAAAAGCTTCCGCTTGGAATGACGCATGAACTTAATAGCTGTTTCGAGGATTTCATGGATACGGTATTCAACATCCATCGCGAGATTCTTGGCGGCTTCATCAGGAAGATTAACACCCAAGAACTCGGCAGCATCCTTGACGGTGTCATGTGGAGACCATAACGTGTGGGACACCGGGATTTTCGCCGATGAATCCATAGCGTACGGATTGTTATAGAGCACTTAGTGTGGAGTTTTTTCCGCGATGCGCGCTACCATGTGGATTACACTATTAAAAACTATTCACAAGGTCATGGTCAACATGATTACCACCCGAATCTTAATTGATTGGCAGTGAACAATGGAGGCGTCCAGTTGAGCTTGCGCTTATCAAGTTCATGTTTCTTTTTCTCCTTGACCTTTTTCACAAGCTTCTCGTACAATGTCATAATCTGGTCGGTTATGACAATAATGTGTTGGCCCTTGTAATAACGCAAGATTTGAAGAGTGGTGAGAGTATGGAGTATATCAGTGGTCGTCATACACGTAAGCGCTGATATCTCCTCGATGGTAATCTCCAGTGCGTTTCCCTTTGGGGCGTCCTCGTCATCACTGTCGTTAGGATTGTTTTTCTTGTATAACAGAGGATTGTTGCGTTCAACTAAAAGCTTCACCAACGTGTCGGTCCAAAATGCACGGTATGAAAGTAAACCCAAGTCTGATAATGGTTTTTCTGGACTGCCAATTTTATGTTCAATCTGCGAAAGCATGTAGCTGAATTGGATCAACAATTTACCGTAGCCCATCTTTTGATAGCATGGAAGTGTCAAAATACATGCCAAATTGTACCCTTCGGCACTTTCCTTTTCTTTTGAAAAGTATCCAACGATATGGTGGCCGTTTTCCAGCTTCTTCGTCATTACATAGAACATGAAAGGATCCACATCATAATACACCGTCTTGTGGTCCAAAAAGAGCTTCGAAAGCAAGCACAAATTTCGACACCAAGTTCGTTGTCTGCGGCCATCAATCTCCCAAAAGCTGACCTTTGAGTCGCGATAGATTTCGTTGCCAGGGGGATGCGTCATTGAGCACTTTTTACGGAATCGTTCAAATTCCTTCTTGCTGCCAAAGTACAGTAAAGTGAAGTCGCAGATGTAAATTTCGTCGCATTCTGTAAGCTCAATGGGATATGGTGAGAAATACCAAGGCTCGCAAATGTGCTCTCCAAGAATCACTGTGCCCAAATTCCGAACCCGCAGAACTTCACTGTGACTTTGAATCATCGAACCCCCCGTCCGTAACTTCTTTATTTCATCCTCTCGAGATAAGTCTTCGCCGTGACGCTTGAGACCTTGAACGTTCAAGTTATCTAAATCCAACTCATCGTCATCGAGTCCTGGCAGGTCAGCCTCCTGAGGTGACAGCTTGGATGTCTTAGACTCATCTTTGGACTTGCTATCTTTGCTAGTCTTGCTGGTCTTGCTAGTCTTGGATTCCTTGGAGTTTTTGGAGGCCTTACTCTTCGAGCTCTTCTTCTTCTTGTCATCTTCAACTTTAACTTCGGGGAGAATAAGTTGGCGGTTGAAATCAATCCGCTCGACTCCAATCCATTCATCTAAACGCTTATTATATTCTTGGTAGTGGACATAGTACTCCTTTTTGCCTCTTCTCTCTTGCTTGTGAAGGATCTCCGCTAGACGGTGTTCATTGTCCTTGAGAGCCCAGACTTTGCACCCTATCACTAACTCATCCTCTGTAAACAGACCAGAGGTACTAGTAGTGAGCTTGATTGTGCTCTCGGGCGAAGGACTCATTGATCGCTACGCTTGTAACGTACTTTGTCAGGACTTTTTTTCGCGCGCATGAGATCATCATAACAAGGAATCCATGGTCTTACCAAATGAATGGAATTCTACATCGAGTTGAGGTATGCTACTCCAATTAAAAATATCTATCCTATAGCGCCGAAGTGATGTTGAAAAACAATTTTTCAAGGGATTTCGTGGTTGCGGGTATAACCTAAAGGTCCTTTACAGCGTAGAAGATCTGTGCCGCCGAACCACCGTTAATGAATTGACTTCTGCTTTGGCCATTAACATTACTATCGCAGAAGTTGTTCGCATCGGGTTCGTAGGCGGCGTTGGTGAACAGAGCTTGGAACTTAGCAAACACCAGCTTGTCGCCAGCAGTGGCGTCATCAACGTACGTGTTCAGGTTACCAACTTGCAAGTATTGGTGGACAAACTCGGATTCACGCTTGACCTCGGGTTTGAAATCGTCGAACTGGCCGGGAACCAATCTCCAGAGGTCGGCAAAACCCTGATAAAGCAAATGAACATATTGCAACCGGTTGTTCCACACTCCAAACTGGTTGTAGAATGCGCCCTTCCCTGCAGCAGAGGCCTCAGCAAGCTGGCGGGCCTTGTCGATGTACTGACTGTCACCAGTGTACTTATTCAAGTATCCCAAAACCAGCAACGTCACCCCTACAGTGTAGGTGAGTTTACCTTTGTCGGGCGTGTTGGTATTGATATCAATACCATCGATAAAAAGTCCATCTGAGGGGTCGGTCAACTTGGTTTCCATATAGTTCAAAGTGCTTTGGGCGAACGAAATGAGCGAAGCATCACCAGTATGCTCGTACAATCTAAGCGCCGCCAACCCAGCTTCACTTGTGGAAATCAGGGCAACATAGTGACCGTTCAAGTCCCAGCGAATCCCGCCACCGTCAATTTGTTGCGTCTTGATGTTGTCGACCAACTGTTGGCAGGTTTGCAAGTGGTTAGGGTCATGGGTGAGCAGATACGCGTCGCAGTACACCCAGGCGATCTGAGCGTTGTCGTCGACATAAACGTCATTGTCCTTAGCCGTTGAGGCACTAAACCATCCCTGAGGGTTCTTGTGGTCCTCTAAGTTGGCGATGACTTTGTAAATGCGGTCAATATTGCCCAGTTCGACCGTGGCCCGTCCAGTAATGGCGATTGGCCACACTGCGGGGGCCTGGTCGCCCTGGTTGCACTTGGGATCTTCATCATCAAACGATCCGTTTTGGTAAAAAGTGTTCCACACCGCGTCGAGAGCACCAGAGAATGCTTGGTTGGCGTCAAAAGATTGGAAGCTGCTGGACAGCGATGACAGTTGGGGTTGAGACGGCGCCAGCAGGGATGACAGCTGAGGTTGAGGTGGCGCCAGCGCCGATGCTACTGCGGCAGGCTGGGGCTGTGATGGTTGTGGTTGTTGTTGAGATTGAGGTTGGGGCTGGGGTTGAGGTTGAGGCGGCGTCAGCGACGACGGTGCCTGAACGAGAGTGGTGGGAGCCTGATTCGGAGTGTTGGTGTTCCCATAAGTGTAGGTGATTGTGACCGCATAGTTGTTGTAGTCAGTTGCAGTGACTGGGGCGGCTGCTTTGTTGTCGGCGGCAGCAGCGACGGCATTATCTTGAGCGGCGGTAGTCGTAGCAGCGGCAGCAGGTTGAGGCTGGAACTGAGTTTGGTCGGCGACCTTAACGAAGTGGCCAAGGGAGTTGGTGGTGTAGCCAAGCTGGCTAAAGAAGTCATTCAACCAATTGGCCGGCATTGGTAATGCCAGGACCATGGCCAAGTGGGAGGCCACCAACACCAACGGGAGTTTCATGGAATCAGGTTATCAGATGTAAGAAACTGGGCGGCCGATGGCTCTTATACCAGCCTCCCTTGCTTTGCGGTCATTTTTTATTTACTTGTCCACTTATGCCCCTTTGAAACAAATTTCTGCGGCACCCACCGCAGCATGCGCGACTAACAGATTTACCGAATCAGTTAGGCGACGTCGAGGCTTAAACAAGAAATTTGTCTGTTGCCGCACGATAAGCCCACTCAGGTTGCCGGGGTTACCCTCAGGGCTTAACAAATATACCTCATTGTATGTCCGGGGAGAGGCGGAGGCTGGTTGTCGCAACCACCTCGGAGTACCCTTGGCGGGACTCGCGATTTGTCCACCATGCAGACGCAAGGGACTTTAAACTTGTAAACGTCGATCTTGACACCCAATACGAAACGTATCCACCCGAATAAGAGATGGTAGTATGTACATCATTTATGAGTTTGGATGTGTCGGGTCCCTTTGGTGAACAAACTATCAGTCGTTAGTCTTTTCAACCCCACACAGCCCGTGACGTTGATTAATTTCCTCACTGGGTATTCTCACCAGGGACTACCCAGCACTTTTTGGTGCCAAGCGTTATGACGCGCATCGGGACAACCGTCACAAAAGCCGTTGTACATAGCCACCGACAAAAGAAAGAAGGGGCGGGTGATAAGGTCCCAAGTTTTACCACAGAATTTAACAAGGTTCCCAACTGTTGCACCAAGCCACTGCTGCCATTTCTTGGAGGTGCTTACACGCACTGGTTTCAAAGCTGGCACACCGAGATCACAACTTACATGACCAGCAGTGCGACCCCTGTAGGGTTACGCACGCGGGGTTACTTTTGGCAGGGTAACCAGCTAGGGGTGCGCGAGTCGCGCTAAACTGCTAGCACTTGACAACCAGAAATGTAACTGCGTGAAGTGGGGACAATAGCCATTTTGTAGAAAGAAATATTCCTATTTAGGAGTGAGGTGTCCTCATCCGTTATCGGACCTAAATAAATGCGTATATTGTGCCCAGGCACATGCTAATATGCTGAAGAAACAGCTCCTTATGCTAAAGTGGACGCTGAATGTAGAAAAGTAAATAGGCTGATGTCGACGTTACCTCCTCTTTGTCCACCATGGTGATCACACTGTCATCGAACTTGTACCATTGCCCATCGCCGCCTTTGATAATCACCACGTAGTGCCCAGTATGTACAGACCCTGTGTGGCAAACTAAGGCGAAGAGCTCATAAAATAAATTTCCTTGGGGGTTCTCGCAGTATTTGGCCAACTCCAAGTAGAGAGGTACCTCAATAGGGTTGTCGATCTTGGAAATCAGGTCTAGGTGGTGTTTAAATCGCTTAAGTTGAATGGAAAACACTGGAGCCACCAGCTTGAGTCGCAACAGTTTGATGGCTTCGGTCTTGTCATTACACAGTTCACACGTGTACGGAACATCCAAAGGCTCATCTCTGCAGAAAAGATCAAGACAATTGTATAATGTAGTGGACCCCTTTTTTAATTCTAATGACACGTCAAGCACCGGATCAGTGGTACTGGTGATGCTCCCACAACTTGTACATTTGATCGATGAGGACAATTCACCCAAAAATGTGCGGTGGGTCACACAAGAACACTTCTGAATTGAATTATCCTCTTCTTGCTTGATATTCAGCTGTCGAACCAACCGTTCGTGGTCGCTGTGCAATTCGTTCAAAATGAACTGCCAAAACTCATGGGCATCTTGTTCTTGGAATCCAGCCAACAGCTTTTTCTTGTACCATGCTGTCAGTAAAAGGTGGGTGAGTCCAAACCCTTCGTGCAGAGTTGCCGTGTAAAACGACGTAAATATGTTATCGAGAGCACAAGTGATACATGCATTGTTCTCGTCAACCTGTTGACTAATGAGAAATGCCTTGTTCTTCTCGCAATGAAAGTAGTGAAAGTCATTGTTGAGGAAACACTCTTTGAACAACGGATTGTGGATGAACGTTTGTAAAATCAGAGACATGTAACAGGTGGCGCCTAGATTGACGAACCCTTTGAGACCAGTCATGGCGACCAGCGATGGATCCAGGTAATGCGTCAACTCGTAATTAAAGGGCTCTCGATTGAGACGGACACAATCTAAGTCCTCGTTGTTGGTGTATCGATGACAACTGAAGCAGTACATCAACCCACACTCCAGATCAATGCCAAAAAGGTGGTTATGGCTTTGGGAATGAGTGAGTGCATGCGTTTCACAACCGACGTGGGGACACTGAAGACAAATGAAATTCCCCGGTGCATAGGTATCACAGTCACCACACCTAAGGGCTAAAGCTTTCATTTTCATGAGCTTTGATGACGCCACGATCAGGTTGTCTTTGCGCGATACACAAGTGGCGTCGGGCGTGATGCGGGTGATGGAAACCGCTTGTCGGTATGTCGATATGACATTATCCTGGGCTTTTTCTAGGACCTGGCCCAAGTGGGGACATGCCGGTAGCAGGGAGTAGTTGTCAACCATCATCTCCTCAGGTGCCAGTCGTACCGTCCCTTGCTTGTTTTTCGTGCGGCGAACAGTAGTGTGAAGATTCATTGAGATCACTAGTGAAAAACAAGGCACTCAAGTGTGTTCAAACACTGTGATTGACTGTCCTAGGATCGGTACCATGGAAGTTTTGGGTAGACGTACACTCTTGCGGCTCTCGATATGATCCACCAATGATGCATGTCTGCAATTTACACCTACGGGCAAAAGAAATCATGAAGACAATGTCAGTCTTGTCGGTATCAACGTGTAGCGACATTGTGCTTTTTTGGCAGCTACCTTATCCCCATCGTTTTTTCTGAATCTGATGGTTACAATGAAGGGCGTCAAAACAATCCCAAGTGTTGATAACGTTGACCGCTTGCCGCCGATCTTGAATCATAATTCTCCCTAGTTAAGGTTGAAAAATTAACAGCCTTGACTTGTTCGTTCCGAATTCGGATCACAGTGTTATCAGCGTGGTCTTGCGTATGGCTTAGTAACCTTATAATACAAGGAGTGTGACAACAAGGCGGGATTTAGCAGACTTGAGGAGACATCGATTTGTTTGTAGTTCATTCAATTAGGGGTTGAGATATGTGAAGATCCTGCAGTTTCGCTTTGCGATAGATTTCTGGTCGCCTCATGGTAACCGAAGGGGTTGTCGTAACGTGGGCTAGATCATGTGCAACGTACTGGAAAGGGGTCAGTTACATGTTTGTTTTTGTGTCCTGGTCTCTATGTTATGCTTGTTTTTCATTTTGAGCAAGGCGTGCTTTGAGTTGGTCAGCACGGAGTTTACCAAAACCATAAATACCACAAATTGAGCTTTTTTCGCGATTATTAAATTGTTTTAATCTTCCAAAATCAATATCAAACTACTCACAATATGCCAAAACCATTGAGCTCTGAAAAATCAACTTTATGATGTAAGGAATTGGCATATCTATGCCTTTTTATTAAAATAATCAAAATAGCATCAATGGTGTAGTGGTAACATTTCACTTTCCCAAGGTGGAGCCAGGGGTTCGATTCCCCTTTGATGCATAATTTTTTCAATTAAATGTCATTATATACGTATATCTAGTCCATGCAGAACACATTGTCAATGAAGTGTTTCACAACTAATTTGCCTTCACCAAAGTTAGGATCTTGGTGGCGGTGGATTGCCGCAGCATGGGTTGAGTTGGTGTTTCTTATTATCACCGGGTATTTTTCCCACCCAAGACTATTCAAGTTTTCGACGATGAATTCTTGATCTTTGGTGAGCAGTAACGTTTCGGGTTGCCGGAGATGTTCATCACGTTCGTTCTCCGTAGTGGTTTCCACTGCACTGTAGGCGCTGTTCACGATTTGCTCCTGCTTGTCAAAGACGACGTCCTTCAAGCTTTCGGCAAAAGACGGATTAGGATGGTACATGTCCGTTAATGTGTTGTCCCTGAAAAATGTCTTCACCCGGCGCTGGTGGTAGTAGCGCTGAACGATGGTATTGATAAGGAAGGAAAGCCCCCAGAACGGCGTCAAAAGCACCACCGATCCGAACACCTTAAACCATCGCCATTTGCGAAGAAGGTAGGTGGCTAAACCTCCTTTATCTTTCACATCACTCTTCTGTTCGGGTTTGACAGAAGTATCACCATACGTGATTGGCTTGGTGCGATCGATGACAGTGGGTTCATACCCTTTGATGTAGCTGGCTTGAATTTTGTAAGGGTCGTGGTTGTGGAGGGAGTGGAAAGGGTCGTAGCGTGAGATCAGGGCGGTGTACCACGCAGTTCGTCTGTCATTGATGGCGTTAGCGTAGAGGGCGAGGTGATGGAACGACGCCAACGCCTTGTAGAAACTTGACTTGGGGTCGGCCATCCACACAAGCAATGGTTTCCCCTTACTGCCATTATCAAGCAGCCCCACTTCAGAGTCTCTCATGAACATCTGCCCCCCGGTGGTGGCCAAAAACTGAGGCGCGAGCCAGTCGTAAAGCTTGATCGCCTTCAGCTTCTTCGGGGACGGGACCCCGACGTGAGGGGTGCAGAAGGTGATATAATTCACTGGGATCACTTCGTTGAAAAACCCTTCTTTGTAAAGGATGCCGATGGCGTATCTCAGGATGAGACCTCCCAACGAATACCCAATCACCGAGAGCTTGGTCACCTTATTGCCGCCACGTTCAAGCTCTTCCTTTTGCTGGACGATCTCGTCACGAACCCGCTTCCCGTTGACGTCAATACCATCGTAAGTGACGAACTTGGAGTGACTGTTGGTCTTGTAGGTTGCGATGGTTTCGGGGCACTTCTGCTTGAGCTGTAACACCTGCAGCTCGAGGTATTCCATGTGGGCGGGCACCCCCCAAAGCCCGTGAACAAGGATCACTAAGTGATACTCTGTCATCGAAGATAGGTCAAATCTGGTTTTGGCGAGGCCGAGGCACCCTCACAGTATATATGCGCGGCCGTTATCACATGTCCCCGGCACACAACCAATTGCCTATAAGTCATCGTGCACATAATCGGCGGGGGTAGACCGAGTTTTGGTGGTAGCGGATTCCCCTCAAACCACGAGAAAAGCCGTAGACGCCGGTGCCGATGCTACTGTGGTTATCGGATTTCCTCTAGTCTCGCGGCTCGAGCACTGCGCGTTGGAAATTCGTTTAAACCTGTAGTGGTAACCCTCGGTGACGCCACCGTCGTCTACCCAACAAACCGGCGGAAGTTGACGCATTGCGAACGGCTACTCAGCAGATACTGGGGGATGCCCACATTTGGGGCAGACACCGCTAGCGGTCGCCGAAAAGCCGTTTTGGCGTGCGCCCGCTTAATTTCTTTTTTCGGCTATTGCTTGCGGCACGACATAGGGGAGGGGCGATCAACTGTAATCGAGCAAAATTAGGGGTCAAGTGGTTTGTGTGGCAGTGCCTCCCAAACAACCAACAGAAAGAAATGAGATGAATATGACTGTAGTGATTTGGATAGAATTTAACTAGAACAGTTAGACCAGAGAATGCATCAAGGTTCACCCTAAAAGTTCTGGGCTATTGATAATGTCAACAATGCGTTATCGATAACGGGTCTTGGCGGTTCTGGACCAAGAAGCAGACATTATCCCTGAAAGTCAAATGGTGTATCGTCAAATCGTCCCACTGTGGCAGAGGAAGATTTCGTAATTTTCAGCCGCAAATCGATGAGTACAAAGTTGAGATAAAAGTGCCCGAGATGGGGGAATATGCATTGAATAAGTCTACTTTTTCGGTTTATATATCGACATGGTGGGATTCACGGGGAACCGATGCTGGCCAGTGGCAGGTGGCGGAGCTTTTGCCGCCGCCGCCGACGGGTTTTTCGACGGGTCGTACTCGAGGATCGGGCCAAACGTAATTTCCATCTTGTCGCCTTTAGCGGGGTGCCCCATCCCCACCATCCCCGGGTGAGGCGGCGGGTTGAGGGCGCCCATGGGGCCATGGGCCAAAGTGTCAAAGTCGGCCAACATTCGTTGGTCCGGGGGGAGTCTATGAGCCTGCATAAACTGGTGGTCGTACTCGTCGGGGACAGCACCCCCATGCGGAGGAGGGGCGACAACGCTGCCCCGACACAGCGGGGCGGGGGCGTATTTCGCCATCTGGTCGGGGTTGTATACCGGCGCCGTCATCGGCCCTTGGTGGCCCATGATAAACCCGGCGCGGTCGATGTCGATGGTCATGTTGAAGCGTTTTCGGGGCATCGGCGACGCCCCATAGTCGGCGGGAGTGCCGTCGTGTCGCGGCGTCAGCTTGTAGGGCAGCGAGTCGGCAATTACCGTCTCGTTGTCGTCTTCGACGTCGTTGACGGTGTATTGCTGAGTATCGGTGGTGGTGGTAGCAGGGGGCGCCACGTACGCCGGGGCCATGAACTCCCGGGATTCGAGCGGTGCCGAAAGCTTTACCGTGCTGAAGCGAGACCCTGGTTTCGCGACGCCGGCATCAGTAATGCGATGTACCACCACCGCGTACGGCTGGTCGGTGGGGTTGGTAGAGTTACCGTCGTAAAGCACCTGGGCCACCGTCAAGTTGCACTCACCACCGCCCTGGATGACGAAGTTGATGTACCCTGCTAGGAGCGTCTTGAGAAACGGCACCTGAACATCGTACGCGCCGGGGGGCTGCGGCGACGACGCCAAATCGGCACTGGACCCGGCTAAGGGGTAGCCATTAATGAAATCGGTGTTCTGGTAGATCTGCTGGTTGGTGAAATTGTTCCACACCATCGAATTGCAACGCCACAGAAGCATCGGCGGCGGCGGCAGTGGCAGCAGCAGCGGGGTCTGGAGGGTGGCGACAAGCCGCATATACAGTTTGAATGTCCCCAGCACGAGGTCTAACGGCTGAGTGGGAGCAAGAGGGATCTTCAAGTCGAAGGCGTGCTCGCCAATAAATACGGGAATGTGAGTATTTTGCGGGAACACCATCTGATTGACGAAATCGATCGCCGGGGTACACTGGTCGATCACCTCACCCAACACCGAGGCGGGGGCCGCAGGTGACCCCGGGCGCATCATTGTCGCAAAGCGGTGGGCGGGATCAGTCAGTTGTGGGTGGTAGGAAAGATCGAAATGGGTGACGACGAGTTCGTACGCGGTGGCCAGCGGCAGAAGCAAGAACAGATTAAGTTCGCGGTCGATGATTTCATTAGTGTTGACCAGGTCTTGCGCCGAGGCTCGCGGCACGGGTGCCAGGGCCGCCGTGGCCCATTCGTCAAGGTTGTCACGCGTCAATACTTGAAGGCGCTGGGCGATCTCCGCCGCCAGCTTCGTCACCCCCGTCTTAGCGTGGACGATGCGGCTTAATACTTTTGGCGGCGGCGTCGCCAATAGCGTCGGCGCCGGGGGGTTATTGGGGTGGTGGCGGAAGTGGTTGAGCTTATGGTAGGCTTTGAGCAACACCGCGTCTAGTTTCGCCGTCCACTCCAGTGGAGCCAGCTCGGGACACGATCTTTTCGCCGGGGGCGGCTCCTCGTAGATGCTCGTCAAGCTTGTCAGCAACGTGTTGGCGTCTAGCGTCGTCCACAAGTCCTCCTCGCCCAGGGAGTCGATGTGGGGAGTCAGCGTCGCCAGTAGAGGCCGTTTGCGGGTGGCCAACGTGTCCAACAACAGCTTTTTTGGTGGGGTTTGCGACTTCATCATCATCGATCCCGGCAGCGCCAGCGGGAGGGGCAGGAGGGCGAACAGGGGCAGAAACAGGAGCCCAAACAGCATCTGCGGTGTCAGCAGCACCATCCCGCTCTTGCTGCGGTTGCGTGGCGTCTGGGGCGGCCCGGTCTGGTTCATCGCAACTGGATGGGGGTCTGTTCACTAGTGGTGTGTTGCTGGTGGTTTTACCGCCGGCAGACGTCGAACGCGAAAAACCGCGTCGTCGTCCTGCGGGCTATAGGGGTGCGCATCTAACGGTTAGTAGGGTTGGCCCCTCCGGGGCGGGCGCGGTGGCGGTGACTACAGACGTGGCTAGCGTGGATTTGGCGTAGAGTGGCCGATGACACGCTAGCACCCGCCTGTTGGTGAAGTTGTCTATATCGAACACTAGCCAGGCACCGATGTCGCGATCCACCTGAAATTATCGGGGTTACGATATTATTTTTCTCCCGAACGCGTTGTTGTGTCGGCACCGATAGACTCGGGGACCCTGAGGCTGAAAGTGGGGCGGGCGCCAGCCGACGACCACCGTGTAATTGAGGGGACACGAGGCGGGCTCTTCGGGACCTACCACCCTAGTTACGAGTAGTAAACAGTGATTACGGGGGGGCTCGCAGCATCTCGCTGAGTTATGCATTACTCCGGAGCCATACTACCAGCCATGGCCGTAGCAGGCACGATAGCAATAATTTCCTCATCTGACTATATTCACTCAATCTTATTGTGACTCGGTGAATTTTGCCAAAGGTTGTTTTTTGCCCAATAGTTATTTTTGGCACTTTTTGGGTCCCAGGCGGGTCGCCGTTTCCCATACTAGAGCCGTGGTTACTTACTCCCCCTACCGCTACCCACCACTCGCATGGTAACAAAAGTTCCCCCTTCGTCGCGGTGACGGCCTGCGCGCGTAGAAAAATCGGACAATGCCTTCATCGGGCAAAATGGCTGCAGCGAACTAGAAGCAGGTCAAATCAATACCACTATCCAGCAAAAGGTAGTCAGAGAAGAATAGAGGTTGTTTGTTTAGTGTTCGACTTAATGTGACACTTTTTACGAGGATTAGGTTTCCTTTTTGGGCGGAATATGCCACTTGTGTAATTTCGTTCGTGTCGTGTTTAACCCGCACACGACGCTTGTCTAGGAAGTGCGGCGTTCGTAAACTGATCCCATCGAACTACGAGGCAAGTGTTTAGCAGATGGGCAATAACCTTAGCGGTTATTAGACATTAATTAAGGCTGGTATATATACAATCATACGTCATTAATTAATCAGTACCTCGGCTTCTTGCCGTCGGCACCGTCATCGTCGTGAGGCCGCTTCAAGCTCGGCAACACGATGCCTTGTTTGTTTTGCAGAGGCAGCAGCATCGACCCGAGCGCCGGGAGCATTGGCGGCGGCAACTGGGTCGAAGCGCCAATCAGCGGGAGCACTGGCGGCTGCGGTTGCGGCTGTTGTTGCTGCTGCTGCTGCTGCTGTGACGCTTGAGGTTGATGAGCAGCTGGCTGGGGTTGATGGGTCAGTTGCAGCGGTTGCGAAAGCTGAGGCGGCTGCGGCTGCCGAGCCTGAGGTTGTTGCTGCTGAGGCTGCTGTTGTTGAGACTGCTGAGATTGGCCCTGGTTGACCCCTGCTGGCAGTTCCTGTCGGGAAGTAGCCTGGTTCTGGTACACGGCACTAGGCGACAGCTGGAACGTTTGTGGCGGCAGTATCACCCCGTATTGCGGCGACTGTTGTTGCTGTTGCTGTTGCTGTTGCTGCTGTTGCTGTTGCTGCTGTTGTTGTTGTTGTTGTTGTTGTTGTTGTTGTTGTTGAGCCTGGGAATTCAGCACCGGCACCACGCCTTGCATGTTGGCCAAGTTCATCATATCCTCTAACCGATGACGCATCAGATCCTCGCGAAGACGCAGCGCCTGTTCCATCGCCTCAAGCTCGATAATCCGTGTTCGATAGAGATCATTGACGAGCTCGAGCTCCAGGATCCGGGTTTTAAGAGCGGTGACTTCCAGAGATTGCTGGCCGGGGTTATTATTAGGCGGCGAGCCACCCAGCGGCGGCTGCAGCGCTGAACCAGGAGCCAGCAGCGATCCTGAGGGTTCCTGGGGCAGTGAACTGGCTTGGTGTTGTGTCGCTGATGCCAGCGACACTTGCGATGGCACCTGATTAGTGGGGGCACCGGGATTAGTATTAGCGGCGGCGGCGGCGGTGGCAGCATTAGCTTCATTAGACGCCTGGGTCATGTTGACGGCAGAGAATATCGTCAGCGCCCCTTGTTGCTGAGTCGGGTGAGAGTTACTGGCAATTAGCAGCACTCCTTGCGGCGGCGGCACTCGTTTGTAGGCCACGTGACCCAACTCATTCAGCGACATCGTCTCGAGAGCCAGAGCAGCGGCGCGGTCGTGTTGCGTCGCCGACGACAATAAAAGCGGCGACGTGATCCGTTCCAACCCTCGAGGAAACAGCGGTGGCACCAGGGTCGGGTAGTGGAGGGGTTGCACTGCCGACTGGTTAGGGAATCGAGGGTGGTTCACTGCGGGAAGGCCCGGAGTGGCACCACCGGGGATCAGCCCGTTAAACTGGGTCTGAGGATGGCCGCCAACTTGCAGCTGCTTGATCATAAGCGGCGTGTAGTCCCCCAGCGATTTTCGCTTGACGCCAGCAGCACCTTTTGGCGACAGTCCCAGCGGTCGGCGAGACTTATCGTGATTGGCCCGCAACTCGGGAGTGTTAGGCATCAGTTTGTGATGATTCTGCGGGTGGTTGGTGCCCAGTTTTATCCGGTTCCGCAGTTTGATGGTATCGGTCTTTAACAGAATGGGGCGGGGACGGCCGTGTAACTTGAGGAAAAGACCGCAGGCATTGCAAAGAACCTGACCCAGGTCGTCTCGACGCCATAACGGAGTCGTCTGGGTCTTGCAGTTCTTGCACACCGGCGACTGCACTGGTTTCAGCAGTGGTAACGGTGAATGGACCTGGGGGGTGGGGGCCTGAGGTTGAGGAGGCGGGGTATCGATTTTGGTGGTGGTGTCCTTAAACATCGGCCCCACCTGTTGAGGGATCCTCGAGATCTCGTTCATTTTCCGCTATCAAGTGTCAATCGTAGAAACAACGTTGGTGATAGATAAAAAAAGGGATTTTTCAATGTGTCGTGTGCCACTCAATTTCGTTCGAAGACGAGATCAAATACGATGGTCTAAGCGAACAATTGTCAATGGGCAAGGGGTAAAAGCAGTAGTTTAGTGGATAAAGGGGAGCTTTGCTATTTATATTTGCCAGCTAATTGGTGTAAGGGACAACTGTGGCGTCAGTTATAGGAATATAACCCTATGTTTTCCTTTGTAGATAAGATCTTGGGTACTGCAGATAAGCGTGAGCCGATAACCAAAGATAGAGGGCAGTAACCATAATCGACGGTATCTTGATGCAGCTCGAAAAAAAAAAAAAATGTAGCATGAAAAAAAGCTTATTGAATCAGCCTATGAGAATCACCATATTACCACCATGCAAAAATTACTAGGGGAAAACAATATAAAGTAGAATACAATTGATAAGATGCATCGACGATGGAGTTACAAACTCGTTTACGTCGATAAAAGGCAGCGATTACGTGGCTACACAGTTTAACGGCACGCGATGACTTCGCGCACGGTACCAAAATTACATTACGCACAGATTTAGGACATTTTGCAAGATCCGTACCATTTCGCACAGTGCGACCAGCATCTCACTATGAATTCATTAGTTCGAGAACCCTCATTGACAAGTGCTATGAACTAAATTTTGAAAAGAAAAATAGCCAACAAAACACCATCTTATAAAACAAATCCAATTCAAACTCTCTGACGGTGTCTCCTTTAAATTTACATCTACACAATAATCTCATAGTTTCCCCGCCGCACTTTCTGGACGACTGAGACAGTAGCGAACGTGGATGGCGTTTCCTTACCCCGTGGACCGCGAAGAGTATGACCCAGAAACAGTCCGCCGCTACGGGTACGTGTTTATAGCGGTGCTCTGGCTGGGTGGCCTCATTGCTCTCAATACGTTGCTCGGGTTGTGGAAGCTTGTGGTACCTCCATCATCACCATTCTATCAATGGTGGGTGTGGTTTGATTGGATGGTGCTAGGGCTATTTGGCAGCTACGTCGTTGTGTGGTGGTGGTCAGTGATCAGCTGGTGTGGTAACGAATTGTTCAAACACCTGCAAGGCCTCAAAGGCAAACGTGACTGATATAGGTGCTGGTCATCTATATAGTCCCCCCCACAATTATTCAAACATGATTATGGTAAAGACAATAACCCTGACGATTTAATAGACGAAATTAACAATGACGTAATAAGACTCAATCATTGTTTCCCCCATTTATCCCCATTAACCCCACGGTTCATGGTGTCAACCCTCGACCCTCATCTGCGGCGTTTGCGAAATTTCGCTGATCCCATATATATACATACAAATGCTTTCACGGCTAGCTCCCCGGCGGGCGTTGGCGTCGCCTGGCGGAGCCGTCAAGGCGGTGTATCCTCGAGTGATGTTAACGGCGTGGCTGATTCCTCATCGGGCTTACTCATCGCTGTTCCCGCTTAACGATAAGGAGCGTCAGGAACAGGCCAAGTTGGCAAAGATGACGCGCCTCCAGCGGTGGGGGGCGTACCTCGACTCAGACAAGTTCAAAAAGCTGATGACCAAGTACTATATCGGTGGTTTCTTAGCTCTCTGTGTGGCGTGGTACTACTACATGCGGGACCGGTACTATGAAGACAAACAAATCAAGCACGTCAAGGAGAAGTACCAGGCGGACCCGGCTCTGCTCAGTGAGTACGAGTACTTGATGCTCAAGACGTTGAGTCAGGAGACGTTGCGTCCCAAGGAAGCGAAGAAGTACAAGATCTACCAGTTGATGCGCAAAGAGTTCCGTCGCAAGCACTTGTTTGATGGCGAAAAGTTCTTTAACCCTCTGCCTGAAGACTTGGAAGCGTGGTACCAAAAGCAACCTCGGATCTCCCGTAAGAAGGCCCCCGTGCTTGATGAACCTGATACCGAAGAGGAAGCTAGTGCTGAGCTTAAGAACGCTCCCCTCAGAAATGCTGATAATCCCAATATCATGCCGGCTGAAGATACTACCGAATTCTATGATGAAATGGCTGAAAAGTACGACGATGAGATCAAATGGGAAGAACGCGGGGTGATGATGGGCCAGCGCCGGCGGTGGTTGATGAGACAAGTGAAAGGTGATGTTCTCGAGGTAGCGTGCGGTACTGGGCGTAACATCCCTTACTTTTACCCTGACTTAGTCAAGCTGATCACTTTTGTTGACTCGCTGAGGAATATGGTTAATGTCGCTCAAAAGAAGTTTCGCAAAGCGTACCCCGATTTTGAGAAGGCTCACTTCGCCGTCGGTAAGGCTGAAGACCTTGTACGTCTTGCTGGCGAAGGCAACGGCCCTCGTTACGATACCATCATCGAGGCGTTCGGGTTGTGTGCTCACGAGGACCCCGTGGCAGCGTTAAGGAATATGGCTAAGCTTTTGAAGCCTAACGGGCGGATTGTGCTTTTGGAACACGGCAGATCGACGTGGAATTTCGTCAACAACCACTTGGATTTCCGTTCGGAAAAGCGGATGAAGACGTGGGCGTGTCGGTGGAATTTGGATATTAACGAGTTGGTGGATGAGGCCGGATTAGACATCACTTACGAGAAGCGCGTCCACTTGGGAACTACCTACATGTTGGTGTGTAAGCGTCCTGAAGACCCCATCAACAGCGACGAAAAGTCGTTTATCAATAAGCTTTTGGGGAGAAACCCCGAGCCCATCAAGCCTATCACCAGAGAGTGAGCCGTTGTACATAGTATTATCAAACATATATACATAGATCAGAGTATCATGAATGTGTGTGAGTCATTATCATTAAAGGTATACGCCCTCATCATTAGTGTCGGCGGTGTCAGCAGCCTCAGCAACCTTAGTGGTGGACAGGGGTTCCTCGACGATATCATACTGGGGATCATCATTATCCTTTACCATGTTCCACACCACATCGACACCCATTTCCTGTTGAACTGCCAGTTTCAATGTCGCCACTCGGTCATCCAACTTGTTCTCCTGAGTCTGCTGCGACGACGAAGCCATCGTGCCTCGTTTCACCATCTCAGCATTAGCAATCTTGATTCGGCTCACTTGGTCGTCAATCACGTCATTATTTTCACGGATCGTCTCCAAAAATAGAAGCAAGTCCTCTTTCAACTCGTCGTGGTTGTCGTCAGGTTTGAGTGCTTGGAGTTTGGTCTTTACTACCGTCACTTCCTTAGCAAGCTCCAAATTGGTGTCGAGAAGACGGTCGATGGAATTGAGCAATTGCGCTTTTACCAGCTCGATTTGCTGGTCAGAGATATCGGTAATCGCCTTGGCGAACTCACCAGCAGTAATCGGTTTCGTCTGGTCGCTCATTTTTGGATAGTAGCGGTCAGTGGCGGAGAGGCCGGTAGTGGGATTGCAGCACGGGTGCGCACTATGATCGCTAGCCTGGATTTGAGCCTAGAGACATCAAGATGGTGTTGGCCATAGCCCAAGTTGGGGCACGAGTGGCACGACGAGTGATCCCAAAAGTGGCCTATGGCATACGCTGGAACCTGTCGGCCGAACAGCCGGTGCTGGTGCTCGATAAACTTCGCCAGCTCCCGGAAGTGCACCCATTGCTTTTAAAGCGAGCAGACACCATCGCCGCCGAATTCACCGAAGTTGAACGACAAATGCTGGAAAAATTTGATCTGGAGCTAGCGGAGAAGTTTTCCCGCATGCTGGCGGTGCTCGATCACTACCATCGCTACCAGGAAGACATGGCGACGGTGGATGAGCTCAAACTGATGATTGACGACGACAGCGACGCCGAACTAAAAGCCGCTGCTGAGGAAGAGTTATCGCAAATGCTTCCCCGGGTGCATAAGAGTATCAGCGTGCTTCAACTGAGACTTTTACCTCCGATTAAGCACGCCGATAAGCCCGCGATCATCGAACTTCGACCCGGGGTAGGAGGCCTGGAAGCATCCCTTTTCACTGACGACTTGATGCAAATGTACATAAACCATGCCAACCACCACAAGTGGCCGTACCAGATCATTCTGAAGTCTGAAGGGTCTAACGGGTTCACTAACGAAATCATCCTCTCCATCGATCTGCCCCAGCTGTACGATGTCCTCCGCCACGAACTGGGGGTTCATCGTGTACAACGGATCCCTGCCACTGAGTCTAAGGGACGTATCCATACTCTGACAGCGGCAGTGGTGGTACTCCCCAAGATGCTGGCGGGTACTGAGCTGTCGTTAAAAGAAGATGAGCGGCTGTTTGCTCCGGGAGAGGTGAGAATTGATACAATGAGAGCTGGTGGGAAAGGTGGCCAACACGTCAACACCACCGACTCGGCGGTGCGGCTTGTCCACATCCCCACGGGGATCATGGTGTTGCAACAAACGGAACGGCTGCAACCGCAGAACAAAGCGCGGGCGTTTGCCATCTTGCGGGCTAGACTCGCCGAACGCGACCGGCTCGAGGAGCTCCAACGCCAGCGCCAGATGCGTACCGACCAGGTCACCACCACCGACCGTAGTGACAAGATCCGTACCTACAACTACCCTCAAAATCGTGTCACCGACCACCGGTGTCTGTTCAGTCTCCACGACCTCACGGGGTGCATGGACGGGTCGCGCCTCGACGAGATCATCGACCACGTCGCTGCTTACGAGGTGGAGACGCGTCTCCAGGCATTGATCGACGCCAAAACCTAGGTTTTGAGAATTTTTTCGAATCATTGGGAGACCGATAATCCCGCTACTGTCATAATACCGAGGTCTCCTCCACGGTGACCTCTCACCACTTTTTTTCATTTACCGTGTAAATAGTATACGCATACGCGTCGAGGGTCGTAGTAGACGCACCGCTGCCGCCTCATGCCGGATGCAACCTTAGGGGACTAAACGGCACCATCGGCATCGTCATTGTTCTCTTTCCCCGCGGGTCGCTGCTGGCCACGGAATAACCAATTCAAAGTCGATAAGCAACGGAACACAGTGTAATGGTCGGACGGCACCTACCCTAGCGGGTGACCCCAGCGGGGATTATCGGAGCCGGCGTCGACCGCGCTTTCCGGGTTTGCTGCCCTGCGGGCCCATCGTCGCTCGCCCCCGCTGAAGGCCTGCATGGACCGCCCTAGGCACTCCAGAAGAAAGCATAAGAAAAAAGTAGGAGCGGTGGCATCAATAGACTCGATTACCGTGATTTTTTTGTCGTGGTTCAAACGGGAAAAAGCCCTTGTGTCTGTTTCATATTTACAACCGTTGAAGGTGGAGGTGCCGCGACGACGAATACACTGAATGAATCCGTGGCAGGCGTTTTTGCTTCTAGCGGTCGGGGTTTGGGGTCTCGGGCTCGAAGTTCCCCCAGTTAAACAGGGCGACCGGGCTCGCTACCTGAGTATCAATAACTTGGCCAACTGTGTTGGCTACGAAACCGAGCCTGACGAGATCGTCGTGCTCATGGTGAGCCTGGGCGATGTGCTCACGAGCCAGGACCTCGCTATAAAAGTGTTCGATGACCAGGATAATTTACTACAGTATCAGCGCCAGCTCGAAGGCGACAAAACATTCATTTTTTCCCAGGTCCACGGTGCCTGGACTCAGCAGGAACTGTCACTGGATATCCAACTAAAACGAGGGAAACTGGAGTCCGGCGACGATGAAGACAATACCAAGCCGCTGCTGAGGATCTACGTGTGTTTTGATAACATATACACCGATAAGCTGTGGTCTTTCACTCCTCAGGTCCATGAGGTAGAAATTCAGGTCGACATTAAGACTCGAGAAACTATCGCCAAGACCAACTACGACAGCTACGCACAATACTTTGATGCCCTTCGCCGAAATCATGAAGGCATCAGCGAAGAGGCGTTTGACGACCAGATGAACATCGTCCAAGCTGAGCTTGCGTCGGTGATTAACACTTTGGACAACCTGGGCAAGATTTTGGAAGAGCTTATTGAAAACGAAAGCGCTCTTCGTAACACCAACGAACGCATCTTTGAGGACTACACCGGCCGCCACATTGTGTTATACGCGGTGATCGGCTTTGTCGGGTTGGCCCAAGTGCTCTACTTATACCGTTATTTCAGAAAGACCAACATCGTCTAATCATTATTCATACATTTTAATACTCGCATATCTACAGTTCTTATCAAAACCACCTTGTCATTTTAATTTAAATTATAATATATATATATTTAGTTACAATCTCGACTTGATGATGTCAATGAATTCAGGCTTCAACGAAGCACCACCAACAAGGAACCCGTCGACATCGGGCTTGTCCTTGAACGAGGTGGCGTTGGCACCGTTGACGGAACCACCGTACAAGATTCTGATTTCGTCGGCAGTGGCGCCAATCTTGCTTCTGAGGTAGTCTCTGAGGTCCTTGTGGGTTTCTTGAGCAATCTCAGGGGTGGCAGCCTTACCAGTGCCGATAGCCCACACGGGTTCGTAAGCAATGACCACGTTGGTCCAGTCAGACACCTTGGCAATGACGGCGTCCAATTGCGCGGCACAAACCTTCAAGGTGGTGCCGTTTTCACGTTGTTCAAGGTGTTCACCAATGCAGACGATGACCTTGAGGCCGTTGTCAAGAGCGAACTTGGTCTTGTCAGCGACAAATTCGTCCGATTCGCCAAGGATGGATCTTCTTTCCGAGTGACCGGTAAGAGTCCATTCAACACCGAGGTCCTTCAATTGCTGGGGGGCAATTTCACCGGTGTAGGCACCGGGGTTCTTGTCGAACACGTTTTGAGCACCCACTTGCACGGTGTTTTGCTTGTTTTCCTTGACGGCAAGCGACAAGTAGGGGGCAGGGGGGCAGATGACGACTTCGACGTTCGAGGGCAAGTCGGCGCCGTTGAGTCTGTCGACAATCTCGGTGATGGACTGGGTGGTCCCGTTCATCTTGAAGTTACCGCCAACAAAGAAAGTTCTCGCCATGTTTGTCAATTAGGGTTTGATTTAGTGATAGGTTTGATCGAGGAAAATCTCGGTAGTTTAATAGGTGCCCCACAGTGTCCCGAGAAAAGCCGGGGGGGCGGCTGTGTGCAGGCCAGAGCACTTCGCGCTAAATGGCGTCACATATTTTCGCGTTAACGGATCAAGCAGGTCCGGTTAAAATAACTAGTTTATTTATCTATGTGATGATGTAGAAATGCGAGGTTCTATTGGTGAGATCTCTGGGGAGCTCGCCCCTGGCGTTCAGGAACCTGGAGTGAGACACTACCACGGTGGTTAGGGGTTTCGGGTGAGTGGCGCATACCAGGTGGCAACGGCAGCTGGTCTCGTGCTCGAGCATACATTTCGCGAATGCGGTTCAGCTTGCCGCGGAGATCTTTAATGGCGTCGCGTTGGGCATCGATGATCGCCTGGATGTCCATGTCTTCCAAGTGATCAATTTTGCCGCGAGAATTGAACCGTACTTCTCGGCTCACCTCCTCGGCAACGTTGCACTCGAGGTTGTCGTCGTCGACATCGTCCCACGTCTCAAGACGCGACTTAAGCGTGTACCGATTGTTAGAGCCGCGCTTCATGATGAGGTACTTGCAGTGGGGGATGTTTTTCAACAGCTCGAATTCTTCGTAGGTCCAGCGGAACCACCTCATCAAGAACACGCGGGCCCAGATCCCGTGAGTGACAAGTACAAGGACATTGGGAAAGTCCTCCAGCTCAAACTTTCGGAAAAGAGTCTCGTTAAACAGCAGCACCCGGTCATAGACGTCGGCCGCCAGCTCCCCGTGGGGAATGCGGTAGAAGAAGTGGCCGTAGTGAGCACGCTCCTCCCAAATGCGCTCCATTTCTTCTGGCGTCAGCTGGAAATTGCCAAAGTCCTGCTCCCTCATCCGAGGTTCTTCATGGATTTTGTAGGACACGTAGTCTAAGTTGTTGATGCCTTCACAGATGTAGCGGCACGTCTCACGGGCTCGAAGGTAGGGACTGGTGTAGAACCACACCAGGCGAGGCTTGCACTTCATCCCGTCTTCTAGAGGCTGGTCAAACAGCTCATGGCAAAGGAACTGTCGAAGCACCTCGCCGGCTGCCTGTGCCTGACGTTTGCCAGTCTCGGTGAGGTCAACTTTGTGGTTAGGCGTTTTCTGATTCACGCTCTTATCTTGATTGGCAGCGCTTTCGCCATGTCGCACGAGGAGAATATACTGCCTGGTTAGTGTCCGTGGCGTCTGAAGAGAGCGGGAACTCGACGTGGATACTTACTTTGGGCCGGCCCATGGTTGCTAAATGTATTGAATTTCGCTGGGGATGCGGCTTGCACTTTATGGAAGTGATTGCAGGAACGCGGGTCAACGGAATTTATGGTTATGCCGTATCGCCTGGTGGCAGTGCCATTTCATCAAGATGGAAGTTCGCAAAATTTGGCTGAAAGAGCAGTATAATATGGCTCGGCCAACCGTGCTTCGCCCATCAGGTCATCTACTTTCGCGGCGTCATACTTCACCTCCTTAATATGGGCCCAGCGAGCAAATCAGCTCACCCCTCGCTCTCACTATCCCCTGTATGAAAAGTCTCAACAGGTCACGGCAAGAAAGTAAAAGATAGAAAGATGTTACAAAATGAAGTCATGGACATTTAAGAAATTTCAGTGGACCTATTCTTGTACTGCAGCACAGTCTATTCTATCTTCACCACTATACTTGGCAAACGTAAGGCAGAGTATGCTTACATCGGCGCGGCCCGCGCGCACTTAGGATTCCCCACACGATGAAGCTCTCGAAGTGGGTACTGGCAATGCTCGGGGTCGCCTCGGCCCAGGTGATCTTCAACCCTCAGAATAATGCACCCTCCACCGATATCATTGATCTCCACCGTCAATTGGTTGAAATAGAGCTGATTGCCCCCAATGAGGCTGGGGTCGCTGATTACTTATACGACTTATTAAAGGCTAAAGGTTACACAGTGGAACGGCAAAACATTAGCAAAGGACGCTACAACATCTACGCCTACACCGGGAAGTCACGAGATGCCAAGGTCCTCGTGACCTCTCACATCGATACTGTGCCTCCCTACATCCCTTATTCCAGACAAGGCTCCAAGATATTTGGCCGAGGCTCGGCCGATGCAAAGGCTAGTGTCGCGGCTCAAATTGTGGCTGTGGACCAGCTCGGTCTCAACGAAGACGTGGCGTTGTTGTACGTGGTGGGTGAGGAAGTCGACGGCGTGGGCATGGAAACCGCCAACAAACTTGGGTGCAAGTGGGATGTGGGTATCTTTGGCGAGCCCACCGAACTCAAGTTGGGCGTCGGCCATAAAGGGAACTACATGTTCAATTTGACCGCCTACGGGAAGGCGTCCCACTCGGGGTACCCCGAATTGGGCCGGCTGGCGGCGGAAATTTTGATCCCTGTGCTTAACAAGTTGATGCAAATTGAGTACCCTAAAAGCGATTTATTGGGGCCTCTGACGCTTAACGTGGGTAAATTTGAAGGCGGGGTGGCGGCTAACGTGATCCCGGCGTTGGCTTCCGCTGACTGCTTCATTAGAGTGGCTGCCGACATCGAAAAGATCGATAAATTGGTAAGGCTGGTGGTCGAAGGTGTCGACCACTTAGAATTCAACTTACAGGCAACCATCCCTCCCGTCACCTTAGACTACGATGTGCCAGGCTTTGACTCCATCGTGTTAGCTTACGCTACTGACGTACCTCGCCTTCGCGTTCCCCTTAAGAAGCGGGTGTTATATGGTCCTGGATCTATCCACGTTGCCCATGGCGACAACGAAAACGTCGAAGAAAGCGACTTGTTCGATGCTGTCGAAGGCTACAAACGCTTAATTGCATGGGGACTTAAGCAATAGAGGTATAGAGTTGATAAAATGTCCACAACAATCTATATCGACCACCGGTAGTAAATCCTTCGTGGTTGACTCAAACAGTGCGGCTTTAATCTCGCAAGGTATCCCCCGATGGAATACCATCACTAATCGTGGAATTCCTCATCTCGCAGAGAGGTGATGAGGGGGGAGGTATGCTGATTGAATGATGAAGAGTTTATCAAGGGATCCCGCATCATTTTATAGATGTGCGACTATATGCAGTACGTGAGCTTGCCTCATCGGAGACACCTCTATGCACCACCACAGGACCCGTTATCCATCCCATCATGAGTGAACCCGCTTGGAAGCGGATTGGGCTCAAAGTTACCCAAGAAAGCGATCCCCTCGCTTTAACGACCCATCTTGAAAGTGCAAACGCCACAAAAAATGAAAAGAAGGCCATCACCAAACAGATCAAGCGTAAAGCTCCCGAAGGGACGAAGAAACCCCCCAAGCGGGTTAAGCTCCCGAAACTGGAGCGTAAGCGACCTGAACCCGATCAGTTGGCATATCTCCGTCAATTCAAAGAAGACAAGCTGCTGTGGAAATTTTCCAAGCAAAAGCAAAACTGGATCTTGAAGAATTTGGAGACCATCCCCGCCACTTACGATGAGGCGTTATATGAATATTTGGAGGGTATCCAGGGACAGCTGCGAGACCGATTAGTCGAACAATTGAAAGAAGTGACCACTCAGTGGAATGCTATTGCCGAAGAGACTCAACGGAAAGTCGAAGCGGAACTTAATGGTGAAGGTGAAACTGCGACGAAACCCAATGAAGAAGATCAGCAGAAACCGAAGTCTATTCTTAAGAAAACGAATGACAAGCAGGAACAAGAAACGCCTAAGGGACCGAAATTTGATTGGGCAGTTAAGTGCCAAAAGCTCGTCGAATTATTAGACGGGGAGAAGATCACTTTGATTGGAATAGATGATAAACCTGAATCTGCCGAAACCATCGAGGAAACGCCTTCCAAAGAAGAGCTGTCGGTTGAGGAACCTAAAGTGAGTGAGAAACTTGACGAAGCGAAACAAAGTGATGAGCCCAAACTTTCCTTCAAGCTTAATAAATCGAAGCCTAAGAAAACAGTTAAGTTGAAAATTGATGAGGTCAACGTCGATGCTATCACTGAGGGTGAGCCTACAATCACGAAGGATGTGGTCAAGCCTACCTCGAGCAGAGACGATGCCGATGCCGACGGAGTTAACGACCTCCAAGGTGAAGAGAAGACTTTGAAAAAGGAAAAGAAGTCGAAGAAAGATAAGAAGGATAAGAAGGACAAGAAGGAGAAGAAGAGTAAAAAGAAGAGTAAAGACTCCCTGGATTAGCAGGATGATTAGCATCACGAATATTAATTACGACACTAAACATACGCATGAAATCAATTCTGTAAAGCTTCTCCACAATTTGTTTGTAAACTGCGTCGATCCGGTTTTGTGTAACATGAGACCCTGGAATGCCTCGCTGTGCACTTGACGGTCGCAGTATCTCAAGCGCCAACAACGATATACGCCCCGCGCGAACACGTCTGACATGTCCCTCGCCTCCGACCTCACCACGCTAGCGGCTGAGACCAAGAGGAGGCACCCTGAGATTCGAAAGCTCGCCGAGTCGGCAGTGGAGCTCCTCAAAAGTGACCCCGCTAAAGCAGATGTCGTCGAACCGCTTCTCCAACTGTGTCGAGCTGACCCAAAGTTCGGACCAATTGCCCTCTCAGGGCTTCAAAAAGCGATATCTGGGTCACAATTGAAAGACAACCAAGTGGCTGGAGTAGTGGAAGCATTCAATGCGGTGGCAGGGAATCAAGAATGCCAATTACGTGTGTTACAATGTATCCCACCATTGGTAGAGAACTACCGCGATTCAGTCATGCAGCAAAACTTACTCAAACCATTACTGGTGGTGTCTTCTCGCTTGGTGGCCTCAAATGATCCCATTGTTCAGAATACCGCCTTTGCATCCCTCCAACAACTTTTCAGTCTGGTTTTTCGAGGTACTGATGTAAGTGAGGAGTTGTTTGTTGATTTAATTGCACTCGTGGAAAAAAGACCGTTGAAGTACTTACCCCAGCTGGTGGCTCAATGCTTGACTCCCGTGCACCTGCTTGAAATTCTCGAACTGGTGATGTCGAACCACCCTCAGTTTTTGTCTGATCATCCCGAAAGTGTACAATTGGTGAAGGTTCTGCTTGTACCTTGGTTGTTGGGAGTTCTCAATGGATCCCAAGGGAAGTTTGCTTTATCAGTACGTCTGATGAGAGTGCTCATGGTACTTGTGGCTGTCCACAGCGCATTATTCGAGATAGAGTGTGAGCTCTTAGTATCGACTCTCAATCACATTCTTCTTGCCGAAGAGCTGCTGCTATGGTTGAAGATTCTCGTGTTGGAAGTGTTCAAAGAAATCATGGGAGATTTCAGTGTCGTGGAAAGATTGTTTGGTGCGTACGATGCTGATGCCAAAAAGAAGAATGTCGTCGAGGAAATGATGTTTGTTGTTGCTAACTTTGTTGATAACAATAATCAACTTCTCACAAATTCGGTACAACCATTTATACCCGATCCCTCGTCTCTTGATCCAATTCCTTATTTGGCGAGCAAACATCTGGCAATGCGAGTATCGCTCCTCGATCATTTAGACAAAACCGAGCCTCCGACCAGTATCCCAAGTACATACGCCCTTCTTGTGGCTTTACAAACTACGCTTGTATTTTGCGATGGTGTTTCAAGCTTCGTGTCACATGCTCTGTCACATCCCGAAGAACCAGAACTTGAAAGACGCATCGAGTTTGCCAACGGAGTCATTGCGGGAACGTTTACTAATGTCCACATGCTTCTCAAAGATTTCCTCTACACTCGCATGGATCAGGATCTCTTTCATCGTTATATCAAGCTGTTCCAAAGAATCACACACACGCTGGGCCTTTTGGGACTTGATCGAGCTCGTGACCAGTTGTTGACAACACTCAAGATGGCCATAATTACGGGTGACTCTAGCTCCCGACAATCAACAGAGCCTACGATACGTCCTACTCAAAAGCATCAAAGGTCTAGTCTGTCGATGGTAAACATCGTGACTGACTCTCTTCAAACGTTGACTGGTACTGGGGCCACGACTAGCAGCCCAACAATCCAGCCGCAACAGGGATTCAATTCGCGCCAAACTGTGTGCCTTCGAGCCATGGCTAATGTGGTCCTGCATTTGGGGCTGACGCTTGGTCGGCTGTGGATTATCGTGTTGACCACACTTGAAGCATGCGAACAGATTGTGGGTCTGGGGCCCGAAAGATCTGCATTGGACCAAGTTGAGGCCAGAATCCTCGACATAGATCTGTATCCAGCCGAACTGATCCGTGGAGTATTCGAACTGTTGGTTGCACTCGATGGAGATGGCTCCAAGCTGTATTATACTAAACGCTTAGTGTCCACCGCCATATTAGATCCCCGAAAGTTCCTCGTTGATGACGAGCTCGGTTGGAAAATAATACGGGATCACTTCGAGCTGAAGTTGTGTCAACGTCTGTTGGCTCCTGGTACTCGTCTTCGATATGCTGATGCATACACAGAAGTACTCAATGCAATTGCTGAATCTGGCTTCCAAGGAAATGACACTGAAAGTACTGCAGAGCTTGTTATGAATGCGTTAACACACACCGTCACCGCTCTTTATGCTCTTGGAATGTCACTGGAGAAGATTACCACCAATTGCGAAACTGAAATCGTTTTGAAGTTGCTTCAGTTTCTTCACTCAGTAGTCGATCGTTATGATGGACACTTGCAACGTCAATGGCCAGCAATTTTCACTATGCTCAACACTCCATTCGAACGTGATCAACCCGAGCTTGTGCCTGCTGCATTCGATACCCTCAAATTAGTAGTGAGTGATTTAGTTCCGGAACTTCCTCACACCGAGCTTCCAGGCGTCATTGCTACATTGGCTCGATTCAGTAATGTTGGTGACATCAATGTGTCGTTTCTGAGTGTGCTGTACTTTTGGGGTATCGCTGATAAGATTCGCGAGCGCGCTGAAGGTATGCGTGAAAGTGCAGCTGACTTCAGCAAACTTGAATCGCTTGAGGAAACGCCTCAATTTTATGTGACTCTTGATCTCTACTTGCTCCAAAAACTTGCCGAAGTAACTATGGATCCCCGTGCTCAGGTTCGTGATGGGGCTCTCCAAACTGTGTTTCAGATCATTGACGCGCATCCCCTGGCCATTGATTGGAATCTTGTATTCAAGTATTGTGTCGACACTATATACCAGTTGCGTGTTGAGCGGGAGAAGGATTGGCTCGAGCTGGCTCGTCTCATCACGTCCGGACTTACACTGGTTTACACAAAGTTTTTGATTGAAGGAGATCATCAGGACAAGTGGCAGCAATTGATTGATTACTTTAAGAAGCTCGTTGAAGTAAAGTGGGTCGAGTTACTGATAGTGGTCTTCACTACTTTCAAAGACCTCTTACTGTACTTCAAGCATTTGAAGTCTCCTCTTGATAAGTTGTTCTACGACTTCTGGACGAGTATGGAGATAAATTGGGATTTCATTGATGCTCAGTACCAAGAAATGCTAGCAACCTACTTGGGATGTTTCCCGCAACTTCATGCCATCCTTCCCAATGGGTGGGATTATCGCCAAGTCATGGCTGTGTTACAGAAGTGCGCTGCTTATCCCGTAATGCCAGCACTGATTGTTAATTTTGATGATGCTAAGCGCCCCCTGCCACTTCAACAAAAGGTACTTGACAATGCTGGAATCTTAACTAAGGACATGCCAGAGCACACCATCCAATTCTTGCTGAGTGTGGTCGCATATCCCGTCACGGTGAGACCTAGAATCGCTGCGAAGGTTGCGCAGGTTGATCCTCTGATTAAAGTTCCTCTGTTTGTTGCCATTTCCCGAAAAGCACTTGATCTTGTGCGTACTCAGGTGGCATCCTACACCCAATTCGCCCGTTTAGTTGATGATCTCACCGTAACTAAAGTCCTCATGCCGTTGGTGGAGGTAGTTAGGGCTGAAGGTCGCCCTGAGGCCAGTGAACTTGTGTACGACGTTGTTGAAGCGATGATGAAGTGTGTTGACGAATGGAAAAATCCTGGGGCGCCAGAAATTTGGCAGTGCGTGCTCGTGGTACTCTTGTTGAACCTTGAAGGCAGCAAGGATGAAGAATCTGTTCAGCTTGCACAATATCGCAAATTGTGCGATAAAGTGGTTCCTCTCATGCTTAAGCATGCTCCACAACAAGTGGTGGATGAGTTTGTTGAGCAAGTTTACCGTCATCTGTTTTTGTATGAAGATGGCACGGAAGAGCACGATGTTTCCCTGCTTGTGGACTACGATTTCGATCAGTCTCTTGGACTGACCGATCCCCTTGAAATTTTCGACCGCCAACAAACACGCTTTGGATGTATGAGACAGCTCATTTCCTTCTTGAAGTTGGCAGAGCTCGAGGAGGTGGCGACTAAATGGTTTATGATAAGAGCCGCTCGTGCAATGCAACGCTACATCAGTGATGCCCGTTTGTTGGCCAAGTGTCCCATGCCACGTATCCAAATTCGCGAGTTGGAATTGGTGCTCGAAGGGCTCAACTCAGTGGCACAACCAGCGCTGTTGAAACAACTTTACCCGTTACTTGTACGGGTTGATGCCAAACTGTTGTTGATGAAGCTTGCGAGTGTTCAATGAATTAACGAATGCCTCTGTTGGGAATATCCGGAATTCATTCGTCCTTCTGTTCGATGAAATCAAGGGCCCAGCGTGCAATACTAATACATAAATCATAGAAATCCAATTGCTTTGAATGTTAGTCTATAGTTGTCGACCCGGGCAGTGATCTGCACAATTAGTTGAGACCAATGAAAACGTAGATGGTTTGGAATTATATTGACCAAATGACGTAAAGTGATTCTGTCGTAGCATGAAATTGTGCTTACTCTTTAAGCTAAAATCTGCATCGTATCAAATTTGCATCATAAATTGTTTTCCAGGAAGGTCTACACGATTAGGCAGTTCTATTAGTTCCTCATGTATCTCTACATTGAGAAATCATTGGAAGGCCTACGTAGTAAACTTCGATGTCTCACATTGCTCAACCACACAATAAGAAGCATCATGCCAGGCTATCACGAGGTACATCGTATCGAGACTCAAGCTCACGCTTACGTTTAGCGGACAAGAGATTGGCGATGATCTTCCCTAAATTTAAGGTTAAGAAGACGATTCAAGCATGATGTTTTAATTAGATCAGAATAATGCTGGATGACAGTTGTAGGGGTTGTTGGCGGTTGCCGAGTCGTGCGTGGTGAGGAAGACATAAAGCGTTAAACTGCAACATTCGTTGTTTGCCCTTTATCGACCATCGAAACTTGCTCAATTCACAACCCTCTGTGGAAAGCTGCTTAAATCCCTGCGATTGAAGGCCGATGATCGACAATACGCAAGCAGATCAGGTTCTCATGCCGATAACCCGGCTATCCCTGCGACGTATGAGTTGCGATGAGTGCGTGGGTGCGTGCCTCGTTTCGGCTATACGCCATCCTCGATTTGGTATGGAAGCCGCCACGCCTTGCAGGGAAAGAACAATTGAAACGTGCAGGCGGTCAACGTAAGCCTCAACCACTTGTGCATGCAGAATGGAGGTTCTCTAATAATATTGTAGCCTAGAACACCAAACGCAACAGTAAATATCCATTGATTTCTATATACAAGGATGTGAAAAGATAGTCAGAAAGACTATACCTACTTCTTTTGGGCCTTTTCGTGGTTGGCAATCAACTCACGTTGGTGTTGAGGCGAACACGGCGAGTACTTGAGGAATTCCAAGGAGAATTCACCCTTACCCTGAGTACCAGCTCTCAAAGAAGTAGAAAAGCCGAACATCAGACTCAACGAGCACTCAGCAGTGACGGTAAATTCGTCCTGGTTGTTGACGGTTTCGTTGATCATACCACCCAACTTGTTGATCAAACCAACGACGGCACCTTGGAATTCATTGGGAGCCGACACTTCAACGGACATGATGGGTTCCAAAATCACGGGCTGAGCCGCGAGGAATGCTTGCTTGAAAGCACCATGAGTAGCAGTTCTAAACGACAATTCCGAAGAGTCGACAACGTGGGTTTGACCATCGTTGATGTGCATGTGGATACCCAAAACTCTGTGGCCAATGAGAGGACCCTTTTCCAAGCAGTCTTCGAACCCCTTTTGACAGGCGAACAAGAACTTTTCGGGAATTTTACCACCAACAATGTGTTGAGTGAACTTGTTTTCACCTTCAATGGGGGAGACTTCACCCATGACTCTACCGTATTGACCAGCACCACCAGATTGCTTCTTGTGGGTGTAGTCGAAGACAGCGGGGACGGTGATGGCTTCACGGTACGAGACTTGAGGCTTACCAGTGACACACTCGACACCGTATTCACGCTTCATTCTTTCAACGTAAATTTCCAAGTGCAATTCACCCATACCCAGGATGATAGTTTCCTTCAGTTCTTCGTCGTACTTCACCCGGAAAGTAGGGTCTTCCTTTTGGAATCTGTTCATCGCCTTCAGGAAAGAGCCATTGTCCTTAGACTTAGGAGCAATCGAAAGCGAGATAACGGCTTCGGGAACAAACATCGACGACATGGCAATCTTTTGTTCCGAGTTGGGAGCGATGAAAGTGTCACCCGAGGCACAGTCGATACCAAAAGTAGCACAGATTTCACCAGCACCAACTTCGGCAACGTCTTCCATTTCGTTGGAGTGCATTCTCACGAGACGAGCAACCTTGACCTTCTTACCCAGCTTGAGATGGGTGATGTATTGACCCTTCTTGAGCTTACCTTGGTAAACTCTGATGTAAGTCAATTGACCGTAGGGACCTTCTTCCAACTTGAACGCCAAACCAACAAAAGGGGCTTGCAGCGACGGCACCAAGTTGACGGGAGTTTCTTGGTCACCGCTAACTTCCAAACCAGTGTTCAAGATTTCGTTGGGTTGGGGCAAGTAGTCAACAACAGCGTCCAACACGGGTTGGATACCAGTATTGGCAAGAGCAGAACCCATCATCACGGGAGTAAACTTACGGCCAATGGTAGCGCGACGGATGGCGGCCTTGATTTGTTCAGTGGTGGGCTCTTCACCTTCAAGATAGATGTCAGCCATTTCGTCATCAACGTCAGCCAAAGTTTCGATAAGCATCGCACGGCGTTCTTCAACAATATCAACAAGGTCTTCAGGGATGTTTTCGTCACGACGGATGATTTCACCCTTGGGACCTTCGTTGTAAAGACAGACACGGTCAATGATGTTCACCACCCCCTTGAGTTGGTCTTCGGCACCGATGGGCACTTGGATAGCGGCAGCAGGAGTCTTAAGCTTGGTGTTAATTTGCTCAATAGCCCGGAAGGGGTTAGCGCCCATACGGTCCATCTTGTTAATAAAGGTAATCCGAGGAACATTGTAACGTCTCATTTGACGATCAACCGTCACGGTTTGCAGCTGGACACCAGCCACAGCACACACCACCAACACGGCACCGTCCAACACCCGCAACGCACGCTCGACTTCGATGGTGAAATCAATGTGACCAGGGGTGTCAATAAGGTTGAAGTGGTAGTCTTTGCCGTCCTTGTTCCACAGCGCGTAGGTGGCAGCGGATTGAATGGTGATACCTTTTTCTCTTTCCAACTCCATGTGGTCCATCTTCGCCCCGACGGCGTCGCGACCCCGGACTTCGTGGATATCGTTGATCCGACCAGTGTAGAACAACACTCTTTCGGAGAAAGTCGTCTTACCCGAGTCAATGTGGGCCAGAATACCGATGTTCCGCATTCTCAGAGCCGCCTGCTTATCGGCATCACTCAAGCCATCCATGATCTCATCGATGATCACCTTCTCTTCTTCATAGGTTTCGGGGAGTTTAGCCTGGTTTAACCGGACGGGAGCCACGGAAAACTGACGCAACGTACTCGATCTAAGTGACGCCAGCGTCCGCGGAACCGCCGTCAACGATCTGAGGTGACGGGTGAACATTTGGAGCGTTGAGCTTGACTTTGGACTAAATTTTTCACTCGATTACGCCTGACTATATGCAGGAATTTTCATATGCACAACCATCACCAGAGCAGTATACTGAGGAGATTTATGATGCGTGATTAAAAAATCAGTTCTTGCTCGCAACAAACACTCACTGCTTTGTCGGCTTAAACCACTTACTCTGATTCCGTTCAACTCATATATTTTGCCAAAGCGTAATGCCTTCCGTTTATATACATGATCTAATCTAAGGCCTTAACGCCAATGCCATTGGAGTTTCTGTACATGAACACCCCAGGAGCCAGCGAGTTGTCTTCGACGAATTGACACATTCTCAAAGTCTTCCACAACAGCACCCACATGCTCTCACCTTCGTAACGGTAGTGAGTGCCCATCACCTTTTGGATAGCAGCCGACGCTTCACGAGCGTTGTAGAAAGGAATTCTCAGAACGTAGTGGTGCAACACGTGCGTTTCGATAATGTCGTGGAAGATGTGCTGACCAATGAAGCCGAAGTTACGGTCAATGGTGGCGGCAGCACCACGGGCAAAGGTCCACTCATCGTTGGCGTAGTGGGGCATGGTGGAGTCGGTGTGTTGCAAGAAGGTAACGAAAACCAACCAGTGGTTCACCCACAACCAGGGCACAAACCACCCCACCATCATGTTGAAGAGACCAAAGTGCTTGTACCATTGGTACACCACAAACGCGGTGATACCAACACCGATGTCCAGCAACACGATGAACCAGTAGTGGTGAGGGTCAAACACCGGCGACAGAGGCGCGTAGTGGGATTTGGCAAACCACGAGTGGTTAGGGTGAGGTTGACCGGTGGCGTTAGTGGCCAAGTAAAACTGAAGACCACCAAGTTGTTGGAAAATGAGCACGGCGAGGGTATAGATGGGCAGCTCTTCCAAGAGCTCCAGCGCCTTGAGGACGTTATGCTTTTCCAACCACTCCTTCTTTGTGTAAGGCACAAACACGGTGTCTCTGGTCAAGTGCCCAGTGGCCTTGTGATGCTTCGAGTGCGAGAACTTCCACGAGAAGTACGGCACCCACAAGTACGAGTGAAGAACCCAACCGACAAAGTCATTGATGTTTTGGTAGTCAGAAAACGCACCATGGCCACATTCGTGGGCCAAAATCCAAAGCCCGAAGCCAAACAACCCGATACCATACGACATGAGCATCCAGAGAGCCCCGCGAGCCACCCACGACGCGGTCTCGTAGCCATCAATTTGCACCTGAGGAATGAACTTGTTACCGGTCCAGAAAATAAGACACATGAAGAAGATGTCCCGCACCACGTAACCCAACGACCGCACCAACAGTCTTTCGTAGCAGTGCTTAGGGATCGCACTCAAAATGTCCTTCATCGTGTAGTCAGGCACTTTGAACTCTTTGCCCATGGTCGTGGTAGTCTTCAACCCCGCGGTGGGGTTGGTCAGTCCAAACTGAGCCCCCCGTTGTTTCAAACTAGTCTCGGTGGTCGACATGAGGTTGATTTAGATTTTTGGCAGGTTTTTCACCTGGGGGAGCGGCTGCGATGCCAAAAACCTGGGCTCACAACGAGGCATTAGTGCAGCTGTTGTCGATCGCGGTGTTGGGGACCGATTGTCGCCATCGTTACACAAAACCGAAGCGACTGTGGTTCCGATGAATCATTGTTACCCATATACAGATTTGCTTTCCAACGATGATTGCCAGCTATGTACTACTGAGGCATTTTTCGGCGTATGTGGCACTATGTATCTCTTATCACGAAAAAAAAATTGCCCCCTTAGACAGCATCGTGCTGTGACCGATTCTCCACACGACTAGTCTTTTCTTTTTTCCAGTTTTTTTTTTTTTTTTTATCGCGAAGTCAACGAGTTTTTATGGCGATCGAGACTCTCCCATACTAGTCCAAATTGAGTAATACATCCTGCACCTGCACCGAAGCAAAGTTGACTACAACAACGTCCGTATCCGTTTACGATGTTTATAAAAGCGAATGTCATTACACCAAAACAGTAGCAAAGCAATACTAGGCGACTAATTGAAAATGAAGGATGATTCTCTGGCATAGATAGCGCACGATCGTGACCCGCGAGCGAAGTTCAAAAACGTCTAGTTGCACCTATGGAGAATATCATGAGAGCGGAAGTCACGGTGGTGACACTGACAAGCTTTCATTTCCCAATATCAACAGGGTTAATATACTCGGAAACCGCAAAACCAGGACATACCCTCATTAGTAAATGCGGCCATGTGATGTATATCTGGTGAGGCAAGTTTTATTGAGATCTTTCAATTATCGCACTTACGCTTACGCAACACCCCACCAATTGACAACGAAAGTGACGGTTAAGAAGTGCCAAGAGGTGACTTACGACAATGATGGTGGTAGAATCTATGCTAGCTGCTCTCGGCAGGCGGTTGAACCGTATCCGAGGAAGTCTGTGAGGGGCCCTCCTTTTGTTCCCGCTCAGGCAAAAACGACTCGGTTGCGAGCATCACATTTACCTATTTGGGAAGTTAGCTAGACCGACAATAAATTGATGTAAATGCCCCATATAACTCAAGTTCGGGAACGTCGAAACATACTACATTGACTGGATCAACATGAAGGTATCTGGTGCTACTTCGTTCGCTACTTTGACCGCTTTGGCGGCGGCGGCGCTGGTTGCGTCGCCTCAAGCTGAAGCGGTTGTGGGTCGTGACAACAACGTCGATTGGAGCTCTATCCTTGCTCAAAGCACCGCTGCCTGGAGCCAGATTCAACTGCAGTTACCACCTGAAGTTCTGTCCCAATTGAACGGCTTCATCGGCAAGGCCATCAGTGCTTATAGCGCTGCTCAACACAAGCGTGAGGTGCCGAACGTCGACTGGAGTTCCATTCTTGCGCAAGGTACAGCGGCTTGGAGTCAAATCCAACTGCAATTACCTCCTGATGTCCAGTCACAGTTGAACGGTCTCGTTGGTCAAGCTGTCAGTGCTTACCATGCCGCTCAACAAAAACGGGAAGTCCCTCTCGCTGAGCGTGATTACCAAGTTAATTGGGGCGCGATTCTTGCCCAAGGCACGGCCGCCTGGAGCCAATTGCTGGCCAAGTTGCTGGATCACCCTGAACTTCAGGCTCAAGTAAACGGGTTTATCTCCAAAGCCATCAGCGCTTATGGTGACGCTACCTCCTCTCAACAAAAGAGAGAAGTGATGGAATTGGCTGTACGTGATTTCAGCGACATCCTTAACACTATCATTAACTTGCTTCAACCCATTGTCAGCAAAATCTTGTCCCTGGTGGACTGGAATCTGGTAATTGTGCAAGGGGGTACTTACTTGGTCAATGTTGTCGAACAAGTGTATGAATGGGCGAAGCTGCTGGGAGCTTTGGACAAGTTCACCTCGTGGTTGTGGAGCAACCTCGGTAGCATTTTGAGTACTTTGATTCAGTGGGTGCTTCCTGCTCTCTTCGGGGGGTCCAGCTCCACTACTGGTAACACCGGTGCTACCACCACCACTGTGGCTGCTGCTGCTACCACTACTGCTCAACACGCGAAGCGGATGATGTATTAATGCCTTACGATCCGATAAGGAAATACCGGAAAAACTCTCGCGTTAATGGCCCGGGATGTCTCTGACTGGATCAGAAATATATGTTAATTTTTGAAAGCAGATATGACGTAAGCGTAGACCTTTATTTGCTTTGTACTACCTTCGCAAGTTCATGGCGTATTTTCTTTGCAAGTTCATGGCATATGCCACAATTTCATCTTGGCCTTAGTGCTGACGCATCGTGGCTGGTTATGGCGTTTGCAAGCAGTAATTCGCTCTTGAGGGTAGGAAATAAGGCTCACAACATTTCCCCAATGGGACGGTGACCTTTGGTGACAGACAAAAGTAAAGGGAACCAGCCCTTCATGAAACCCTACCTCATCCTATTGTCTCTATTGTTCCAGTATCCCACATCCGGACATTGTGTCGGGAATCCCCTTCCGTTGCTGGACACAAACTGGGGTCACAGCTACGAGGCGTCGTCACATTCGCTACACTGCACAGAACCCCATCGATGTCGGCGAAGGCTTGCCTCTAGTTCAATAGGAGTTATTTTGCGGGACCAGTGCTTTACTTTGATTGGCCAAGACTGCATTTGCCGCGTGGTCCTCTTCGGCAGTACACACAAATGAAATACCTTCGACCATGCATCAACTAGCCCTCTAAGCTCCGCTTAAAGCGACCATGAAGCTTGATTAAGGTTGCCACGCTCGTGAAACAAAGTTTCATCTTGCAACTGATCTTGATTGTCTTCAAAAGTCATTCAGCTCAACTACGAAAGCTGTTGGCTACCCTTGGTCCGACTACTCGGCTTTCCCTTGTCATTGATAGAAGTAGATATCGCGCCTCGAGGCGGTAGACAAGAGTCGGTGACGGACAAACCTCGTTCCCGACATACGTGGCCAAATATTAAATGAAGCCCCGCATATACCATGGTCACGACTTCGGCTCCATCGCAAGTACGTCGACCCTTATTTTCTCGTATTACTGCCGGACAGTTCCCCTCCTTCACTCCGAATCATAGCTCTAGAGGATTAGCGAGAAGCCAGTTTTATTGTCGGTGACGTAATCATCGGTTATGTGTAAGCAGCGAAGGTGAGGTTGCCTCTCGCCTGGAAAAACGACAAGGTACACTAAATAATAATCAGAAATTTGAATACTACCGAAGTATAGCCTGAGACTACCCGGAGAAAAAGAAGCTACCAAAGTGAAACTTTATCGTTTACTAAGTAACTTTAAGATTAGTCTTTGGGTCGCCTCTCGAGCTCAGGTTACATCGGAATATCGCTTACGGCAGCCCCTGCTACCCGAAGTTCACGGCAGCACCCCGCGTTGCGGCGGATAAAAGCACATGACGGGCGGTCCTTTGATTTCATTTTGGGAAGTGGGGAATTTAAACACGGCGGACGTTGTAAAGCATGTTGTGGACCCTTCCGGATCTATCCGGGTCGACAAGTGCATGGCTTGTTACCGACGTTTTGTCAATACCAGCCACCAAAAGTGTACTGGGCACAGGGGTCTTTGAGGGGGGCACAGAAGCGACCCGTGGGGACCAGCATATTTTATTTCGGCAACGCGGGTGTTGCGTTGCGCCTCGGCCGAACTTGCCTTACTGCGGGAAAAACACCCTTACTACATGTAATCATCATTTATAATAATGTTGCCGATTACGAGGCGGAAGATGGCCCGAAGGGTAAAATATCTGTAATCAATCAGCGAGGTTGCAGTTTGCTAAGTTCGCCTTGATATAAATATCGGTGTTGTCGCTTTCGTTTTCAGATTGACTAAACGGCTACCCATCAAAGACAATGCTTTACGCTCTCGCCACTCCCGGCTCGGCATTCAAGCCCTCCTTAAAGAAGGTCCCCAACACCTGGAGATTGAAGAAGTTCAAGGACATGTACTACGAAAAGGGCGGATCCTACTCCCCCAGATCATCGCAAGTGTCGTCGAACACATCGTCGTTGTCGATTAGCTTCGATTAAGAGAGCTAAGCAAGTATTCCTGGTCCAGAGAGCAATGAGACAGTGGACTCGTTCTTGAGAATCGAGATGGCCGGATGCTACGAAGTTACGTTATTTTTCTTTCCTCGTTTTGGGTTTAGGTTTTAGAGCTATTAATGATAATGAATTATGTTAAAGCGCGTGTAAAGCCCTTCTGGTCCCAATTGCATGTAGTGGCTTGAATTGAACGCGAACTCCTTGCTCCCTGTGCATCGTCAACGACTTTGTTTACGGTAGGCGTCACAGTCGCTCTTTCATGAATACATCCCTAATGTCAGTGTCGGTGGTTATTCACACCGTACTCAAAGCGGTACCCCATGATATACCAGTTAGCCGAGGGGTACCTCTATACACAATCAGACACTAAGCCGCTCACTATCTATTCACAGGGTGCTGACTGATGTCGCGACCCCCGTTTTCATGCAGGGCTCGCAATTTGAGGCTTGTTTTCTCTCTGCTGCACAAATTGACCGCAACCTTTGCCTCGCTGAATTTCATGCGGTATTCTCGGCAAACTTGCTTACGCGCGCCTAGCATGCTTCGCCTTTAGGTAAGCGAGATGACTGCGTAAGCCACAGCATGCCGTTGGACTATTATGAAAAGCCTCTCAAAAAATTTCTTAGTCATAATGGCCAAGAAACAAGTCTCAAGGAAACCCATAATGATTTAGGTGGGGCCAAGGGCACATACTTTCATTGACAACGCCTGCTTCACTGAAGCTTGAAGCCAAACCACTCGAATGAGGGACCTGAACCTTCGATTTAGTGTCAACAGCGCTGTCACTTAAAGTCGTAGCGTGTCTGATGTCAACATGCTGGCTGATTGGAACGCCATCGTATGAAATAAGGAGATAAGGTCGAGGACGCGATTAAGTGATATCTGTAATGGTACGGCAGTGCTCAAATGTTGACAATGTTACTCTATTGTAGTTTGCTTACAATCAACTGTGCCCCCAACTTCGCGACAATGCATGCTTGTTGTCATTGTAAGTAAGCATGTATGAATGTATCTCGAGTCCACTGACAGGTCTCATTTTTCCGGGTACCAACCAAGCGGCTTTTGTGAGAAAATTTCAGCATGAGAACGATTCTTCGGCATCATCACCCTGCAGATCGTTTCTCATCCACATGGTAACGGACCAAATCGCTAATTCTGGATAAAATCGGCACGCTGCACATCCTGAGAGGCCATCGTCACGTCTTTGTACTCCTTGATCAAACCCTGACTAGCCAGTCCACGATTGCATGAAGCGAGCTTGGATGAACTACTGACAACTTGAGCGTATAGGTAACGGCATAAACCGCTTTTAGGAAGTTTAAAAATGATCTAAACTTGTAGAGTTTCACATGGAGGTTGATGTAATTAAGATTAGATGCGACTTAAGATAAACAGAAGCCCGTTACGATGATTTCAATGTCTCGGCCTGGCGATGACGCACCATCTGCACCGTCAAAGCTTGAGGAATTGCGTAATACCTACTCGTAATCAAACATCTAGAGGGGATTGAGACACATTTCCAAGAAAGATTGACTGATTCAACTAGTAGTATATTCATAGAATTCTACAAATGTTGCCACCTAACTCCTGACCGTTTCCCAAGCATCTTGTTGGGACTGAAATCACTTCCATAAAGTTTGCGGGCATATTTAGCGTCGACACAACTGAGTTGTCGTTTTTAGGTCTTAAAAAATCTATTGCGTGGGTCTATTTTTCAATAATCTTGGAGATCACAATTGTTATCGTATCATCATAGATTCGAGGTATTCATTATTAAACACTAACCCAGCGACTCAGTGTTGGTGCTGGGGTCCCACGCTGCCATCGGCACTTGCAACAACCCCAGTTCACCACGTTGCTGTTGTTCACTGTGCCGTCTCATCCGTTCAAATTCTCTCCACCGCTTCATGACGATATCATTACCGTCGAATTGGCCATCGGCATTCGAATGGTCACCTTTATCGCCACCTTGCACAACTCTTGTTTCACCCCAAGAGAAGTCATCAAACTTCCAATACGCATAAGCAGGTAACACAAAATTCCAAATGGGAAGAGCAAAAAGGTAAATGAAGAAGTAGATGATGTACTTGAGCGACGAAACAGTGATGACGATCAAAAGCCCTGGTAACCCGAAGATTACCCCCAACAAGACGAGCGACAAAATTGGTGTGGGCTTCGATACAATGGCAATGATGATCACATAAATAGTGAAACAGATGGCCGCAGGCAACACAAGAGTACCCACCAATTCAATGAAGACAACGAATTGCATTGAGAAACAGAATGTACCACACAAATCGTTCACCAACACTAACTCCATCAAGTTGTGTACAGTGGAGTTGATCCATCTTCTGCGTTGAGACAACAAAACTTTGAATTCGTCAGGGACAATGGTCTTACATGCAGCTTTCAGGACAAACACTTGTTTACGCTTAGGGAAGGTTCTAAGCATAAGCGACAGTAAGTACCGATCCTCACCGAGTAACAACAAGTTCTTTCTGTGTAAAGTGTTGAGGACGTTATCAGAATAACGCTCGACAATATCGGGATTGGCAAGAATAGGAACCCAGTAGCCATCATGACCCTTAGGAGCCTTGATACGATACATGCAGAAACACCCAGGTAAACAAGTCACACCACCGAACACTGATTCGAACGCCTTGGCTTGATGATGCGAAATATAGTACTCGAAGACCTGAATCAACGTTACCCACAGCGCGTTTTTATTGGAAATTTTGGTTTCCCCACAAAGGCCCATAATTTCCGGATCTTTAATCATCTCAGCACACATGTGGGTAAGCGAATCAGGGTAAACTTTAGTATCAGCATCCACCATAAGAGTAATCTCATACATTTCTGCCATTAAGCCAGTCAATTGCCAGATGGTCAACAAAAGGCTGTATTCCATTTCGGTCATCCGTTCGTCGAACATAACCTTTTGGAGGAAGTTCATGAGAATGATTTGCGAATCACGCTTACCACGGTTACCCGGCTTAGGAGTGGTGGCTTCAGCAGGGGTACCACACTTCACAACGGTGACGATTGGCACACGTTGTTGCTTTTCGGGCGGCACAGTAGCATCGTCGTATTTGTAGAAACCCCCATAGATCTTAGCCATGTTGTGACGTTTCGCACCCAGGGCCACAGCAACATACGAGTAGGGTTGGACATCTTCCGGTTCAACAACAAAGTTATCCATCATACCAAGCGCAATCTCAGGGGTTGTTTGATCATTACCCAGACCCTTGATAATCCCGTCACAAACGACAAGGATTAACTTGTGAGAATTAGGGTAGTCTGTGGTAGCAATGGAGTCTAAAGTGGTACGCAAACCAGCTTCATCTTCGGAGTAGCAAGTAACCAAATTAATCGTGTGTGCCAAGGGGTACCCAAATGGTTGATATTCCACGGGTGGTTGAGGGACAACCATTGGTGAGATAAGGTCAGCAGGAAGGCCGGTTACATACTCATCGCTCATATCAAAGCCAGCGCCAAAATATGTGGAGCCCGGTCTTGACGGATTTTGACCTTGAGTCAACAAATCAGTCAGAGAATCGAAGTGGTCATTGAGATAGAGCGTTGAGTTGCGCGCCAGGCGGTTTGCACCCGAACGCTTCTGGCGACGTCCAAGAAGTGCCTTTTGAGTGGCCATTGTGGTATACTTGAAGTGCTTCAGCATTGCCTCGGGAGAGTCAAAGTATTGCGATAATTCACTGCGAGACAATCTTGTAGGATCGTTGAATCTCTTGAATACGGATTGACGGTTAGTGGTCTTTTCCAGGTAATTGGCTCGAGCCTTTGGAGGGACGGTCTTGGCCAAAACTGCGGGATTGGCATCTTCATCCACCCACTTGTCGATCTCAATGTTGCGCTTAGCCATCAGCTTGTTGTCGATCTCAGTGGCACCCTGCTTCCGCAGCAACCACCACCGGTAGTAACAAGCAAACAAGAATTTAACAACCACTACCGATAAGATAAACACAAGCGACACAATCAAAACCACTTGCGAGGCAATGCACCCGATAGTGTCAGAATCAATCGTACCCACTTTGACAATTTCGGTGAGACAGCGACCCATCTTACGCTGTTCAGCGTTATTGAGTACTACCAGGACATCAATGCCGCGGTAGGTTGGGTCGTCACGAAGCTCATCGAAAAACTTAGGGTAATGGACTTCGTCACGCAAAATCCAGTTGATCAAATCCAAATCCAAAACGTTACCCAGGTACACAATGAGGTTACGCAGGGAGTTTTTAATATCATCCCAGGTGAAATAGACATCATTTGGCTGTGTTAACCCGTAGTAAGTTTGCCGAGCCTCGTCCAGAGTGTGACACGCCCAGCCATCGTAGTACACGAAAGAACTGTTAACTTCCAGCAGACCATCTTGATTGAACAAACGACAAGGCATATACCAAGCCAAATCATCACCATCATGAGGGATTGTGGTGTTGTCTCTGGGTGTGATCAACCCCTTACAATTGCCATTAACGTTTTGAAACAAGAACAGAGCATCCATACCGCCAGCGTTGACGGGGGGGTATAATACATTCAGGCTATCAGGAACACCGGCTGCAGCAGGGTGGGTCGAACGCAGCAAGTCATAGGCACGTCCGTTGATAATAAGATACTCAGGAGCCACCTCATTATTACGGATCTTCACCTTGTTATTGTAGCACACAGTTTGAGTGAACCCAAAAGTCAAGTAGGCGACAAATGCACCAATGTATAAAATGCAAGAAATCAACCCCATCTTTTCACGCCAAGCAAACTGACGATCTTTACCCCTAATACCAAATAAGTTGAGCAAAGGGGCTGGAGCCCAGAAAGTGATCACGTAACAGTATACCTTCCAGAAGTAAATGTCGTGCTTGGCCTCTTTCACCGCCGCTTGTTTAACCTGTTGCTGTTTACGTGTCGGTGGTAAATGCACGTGGTTTGCTTTGAATGGTTGGTGTCCGATCTTTTCGTTGTTATTTTCCATTTCATCGTTAAGCCCGTAGACTTCGCGCCCACCCTTGAGATCATCAGTAGCTGGGTGCATGTCCATGAGCGGCGCCCCATCACTTTCTTCGTCGATCTCCAGCATGCGATTATCGGGCAGCCGAAGCGGTTCCATGTCTTCAAGTTGAGGATTGACCCCAGTCAGCAGTGGCTGAACTCTGATGTGACCCAGCTCTTGATTAGCCACCTGGGCGTAATGATAATATGGGTAAGACTCGTCTAGCCGCTGTCGATCATGACGAACAAGCGACCGATGACGTTGGATATCCCCCAGCTCAGGATCAAACTCGGTGAACCCAGTCATGGCGGCGTATGGTAGCGATGTGGAGGGCGAGGTTTCAGAATAAAAACAGGTGTGTAATGGGCTCAGCCCGCAATCAGTCACGTGATATGGTACTGCATAAAATTTATCCCGATTTGGCGAATTTGACAACAGCGTCGGGGCAACTTTAAAAGGGGGTCGATGACAGGGGCTCAAAAGTTCACATCGCGTCACTACGTGCTTGATTTGTATCTGTCTATATTCGCTCCTAATTGCTCTAAAGCTTCAAGCTCCATTTTGTCCGTGCCCTTTTGTCTTAACGCATACCGAGACATTCCGCTTTAAACGGCAAAATTTTCGATTTTAGTTAATTTTAGAAGTCGCGCCGCAATCTCCCGATTTGATGTGATACATATTGTAATATTGACTGGGCTGAGTAACAATACCGTAAAACGCTCGTGTTTTTTTTTTTTTTTTTTGCTTTACTTTGACTACGCTGAAGACATTCGGACTGTAACTGGCTTAGTAGGAAACTCGTGAACGGCCATCGCCGAGTAAATCTCGGTAGTATTCGAAGGGGGATCCGTGCGTGGAGGCATCGTGTGTGCTATGAGCCCAGATCCGAAGAAGCTCGGCGAACGTCTCTCTGTAGGGGCATACCTTTCGAGTAGATGGAGGAAATGATATGCATCAGCATCGAAAACCTGGTAGGTAATCGCTACTCGAATATTTTGCAACTGCCCGCTCTGGTTTGAAGTATTTGTGAGTCTATCGGCCATGTCATTGAGGAAACATCTCCAAATATGTCTACTCTTTAGGAGGAATTGTGGGTCAATCACGGCTTCTAGCTCATTCTAGTGAAGCATAATCCCCGTTGTGAATTTCCGTCACACATAGATTTCCAAGGATAACCCCAGATAGCCACAAGTAGACAGTTGGATCATCATCAATAGATTCCCAATGGAGCCACTTGCCAGTGAAACTGTTCATGTAATAGCTTCATATGTTTGCGCCCGCTTCGTCGCTCTTTTTCATATGTAGCTATTAAAAACATATAAATGAATCATTACGCTGAAAACAGCTACAATTCGAGTAAGTTGTAATCAACTATAAACTAGATAAAAATTAGAGCTACTTTTGAGGTTGGCTAAACACCGAATGCTCAAAAATAGGTACTTGAGTGAGCTCGTAACATTTATAGTCGCCTGGGTTTGCGAGGTGAAACACGCACGGGTTGGGGCCCAGGAATTCCCTGATGTAATTTATCAGAACTGGCTTCACTGAGATCAAGTGGCTTTCTCGGATCACTTGAGGGTTTGCACAGGCGCAGAAGTGCGTCATCCATTGCCTTGAAGAACTCTTTAGTGGCTTCACGCAGTTCACGTGTATCCTCGGTTTCTTCGTCAGAATCATCAATACGGGGTGACGCCCGTGTAAGACGGCCCAGCCGTCGAGTTTGGTTGAGTCTTTCCCTCATGTTTCGTCGTTGACGCAATCGGAAACCACCGCCACGAATCCCAGTGAGAGGTTGAATCCCATCATCCTCATCATCTTCGTCATCTTCGTCACTACCATCGGAGTTGCTAAACTGACCCATGAGGTCATCGACAACAATCTCTTGTTCCGAATCATTCACCTCTTCATCACTCCTACTCGGGGCAGGCGTATTACGGGCTGAAGTGGGGTTCTCCTCTCCACGTACAGCTTCGTTTTGAGTGATGACTGGCTGCGCCCACTTAACATTGGGTAAGCAGGGAACATACTCAACCAGGTCGTCGTTTTTAGGGAAATTTTCGTCGGCGCCTTGATTTGTATTGAGCACCTCAATCTCTTTGATGGCTTCCATCTGGTATGACCAAGGGTTATTGATGTCGTCTTTCAAGAAACCGATGATAGATTCAATAGTGTTCATGCCTTGTCGTCTTATTAGCGGCGCACTATTAATGCCTCCCAGAGGTCCAAAAAGCATTGGCTTCCAAACGAGTAGCTCAGGTTTCAATCGAACATAGTCCTTTGCCTCCCATTTATCAATCACAGCCGATATAATTTGAGGACGTATCGTAATCCCATAGTGGCCCAGAATAGGATTGCGCACCAACGCCATAAGTTGTTCCAAACCAACAATGACGTCCAGGGGGAGCATGCCCGTAAGCTTGGAAAGCACCTCAATCAGAATGGGCGGCATTTGCTTTTTATCATCCCAGAAACGGAGTGTAAGGTCACGCAATTTATACGCCATAGTGATCTTCCAGTAGTTCCGGTACAGAACAAGGCCTAAGTCAGAAAGAGGTTTTTCTGGTGTACCAAACTTGAATTCATTCCGACTCAATAAATAGGAAAAGTCGATTAGAAAATTGCCGTATCCCTTTCGTTGATATATTGGGAGAGTGACGATACAACTGAGGTTGTAGTCACTGCTGTTTAGCTTCTCTTTAGAAAAGTAGCCCACAAAGTGGTAAACATTGGGGGTTTCAGGCTTGAATTCTGTTAGCACGTAAAAAATGAATGGTTCCACATCGTAGTACAAAGTCTTGGAGTTCAAGAAAAGCTTCGCAAAAAGGCACAAATTCTGGCAATAGTTAATTTGTTTGCGCCCATCGACTTCCCACACAGCAATGCCGTTTTCAACGTCTCGATAAATTTCAACCCCAGGCGGATGATATCCGCCATTGGCAGTGCAGTATTTTAGTCGGTGACGATTGTAAGTAACCAAATGGGGCATGTAAGCTAAACAGTGCTCGCAGATGTACAAGGTGTCAAAGTGGGAATACTCCTCAGGATAGGGAGCCGTATACCAGGTTTCAATTTCGAACCCACCAAAGACGACATGACGGACACGATCGCTGGATTCAGCCGACGTGCTGCTTTTGGCGAGTTCTTGGAATAGTCGGAAGTCCTCTGCGGTGGGTTCAGTATCATTGATCAAACAATCGGGATATGGTATTACACCATCATATGGGAGGGGTGCCAGTTTTGCAACTAACTCACGGAGCTTGGCTTTATCGTACTTTATGCGGACAGTCGTTTTGTTCAAGATCGATACGTTTGGATTGCTGTATTGGGGCACTGGCTTTAAAAGCTGTTTGAAGTTGAGCTTGACATCATATGATATGGTATCTGTCACCCGACGACTCTTCCGAGGGCTGCCCGTGGCGCCATCATCCGCAGTCATAACATAGGGTGTGGAGGTAGATGGGGTCACAAACACGTCTGCATATAGACCTAGTGCGAAATGAGTGTTCCCGCGAACGCGACATAAAATCGTTGCGAGCTAGCTAGTCACGAACCTCACATATGGGTATTCAGACCATCAAATGAATTGAAAAGGGGTAAAAAAGAGCCCACGCCCGGGTTCGAACCGGGGACCAACAGATTTGCAATCTGCTGCGCTACCACTGCGCCACGTGTGCCTCACAGGCTTGTATCGCACACAAGGTCGTACACGTAACGCATTGCCCATGAAAACTAATCTGAGGAGTATAACAGTTTTAGCAGATGATGTTTGCTCGGGACCATAGTGTGATGGATATCACGCTCCTGAAAAGAAGAAATTAAGTCTCGATTCCATTTGGGAACGAGTTGAATATCTCCCTGCTGGCTGAACAACTTCTTATTATAACATATATCACAGTGAAGAGACGAGCACACTAGTGCTTCCTCACACCGCACGATCTGGCTGGTTTTTTGTATGAGGGTGTAATACATGAGTATCCTTTAACATGGACCTTTTTGACATTTTTACAGCTGCGATCCAAATGCAAACGATTAGGTTAAGATAACTGATCTGAGACACCGTTCTGTTTACACGTGAAGGCGACAGTGGTGAACAGCAAATTTTTGCAATTGATTCGATTGATTGTTGAATGTTTCTATTGTGATTTTAAATGATGGCACGAGAGTCCAGCGTCGTACGCATTCAGAACAAACCATCGGTAATCCGTTATTTCAATTATCATCCGAACTAATTATGACTATCATCGAAAGATCGCGGGAGGCACCGCACTATGTGTTTTTATCAAAGTTTAGTTTTTACTCTTATTTGATCTGATCCAAAAATTCTGCCCATTAATTTTGATTACCTAAATATTGATTGATAGTTGAATGCCTTGAAAAAATTCAAAATCAAATTCGATGTGTGATTTTGACAATCATCATTATGTACAAACAATTTCAAGAAAAAAGAGCCCACGCCCGGGTTCGAACCGGGGACCAACAGATTTGCAATCTGCTGCGCTACCACTGCGCCACGTGTGCACTTGCACGAGATCGTTAAATGAAAGCTCTGGATAAAATTGTGCTGATCAACGTAATTCGCTTCTTCCCATTTGACATATAATTTGTGAGTGACACACCTCTATTTTTGCGGAGAAAATCAATTGTTGCCATTTTTTGCGTCACTAAAGTCACTTTCATCACAACCTCTTCATAATATCATCTCTCAAAAATATAAAAATGAGAAACAAAATCAATTTGACTGAAGAGTACCTCACCTGGACAATACTACTATGATTTCGAATAGCCAGTATGCTTCTAAAGGTATTCTTAGAGTTTGTTTTCTCGTCGAAGAGGTCGGTAGAACCCTGATCTATTAATAAGCTCTGTTGGATTTTTTTCTACACCCCCATGTCAGACGAGAGGAGAATTTTGCCCCTAGTGTCGCGAATGTTTTTATGTAACTCTTAAATATATAGAAAATGTCAATATAAATTTAGCAACTCGATTTGACCAACGAATTAGATGTAACAAACGAAAGAAAAAGATAGCTAAATAGAATTAAATTACATTAGGGTTCGAGAAAAAGTTTCGAATAAAACTATAAAAGGATAGTGAGCTACCTTAAAGATGAGAGGCATCCTGCCCTTTTCTATTAGCCTCGCTAGGCCAAAGTGCTGACTCCCCTCCTGGATTGAGTGATAATATAAGAGAGCTTCACTACTACTTGCGAGCAGTAATGGTTGGTGACTGGAAAAATGATAGCGCATACTTTCAATAACTTTAAGCTGATGCTGATTGAATTTTACAGCAGCTCAATCACGTCTTTAATTTGCGTATCAATTACATAAAAGCAAGGTCCATATACAGTAAGATGAAGCGCTATAACGAGTGCTACAAGCATCATAAACAACAACAGCCAATACAGACTAAACGCATTGACTGTTATACAACCCACGGCTATGGTGTAATTGGCTAACATAATCCGAAAGGAGAGATCAGGGTTCGATACCCTGTGGCTACGGGCCACATTCCCCCTTTTGCTTGAGCACCCTACTTCAATTATTACTCTCTCAGAGGTTTGCAGTTTGTTCTTGCTTCCTCAACTCGCAGATATCTTATCTGTTTTTTTTTCATGGCGGTGGGTGGCTCTTGGAGACTTCTACAACCGTTTTTTACAGATAGATATTAATGCATACTTATAGATAAAAAAAAAAAAAATTAGNTTTTGGAAAAAAAAAAAAAAAAAAAAAACAAACTTGGTTTGACTCTGCACGCAATTTTCGACGTTAGAATCACAAGTTGATGGTGAGGCCTGGTCAAAATGCTAAAAACTTATAGTCTGAGTTTCGTTTCTATATGCAGAACCAACTCGTGCATGCCGGAGTAGCTTGCAAACGTGAAGTCTGTCTCAGTTTTCGTGCTGACTCTAGAAGAACGTTTGCAATATAGTAGCTTGGCTACAGAATACATGTGTGGTACATTTATCGAGTTGGAGGACGTACTCAATCGAAAATTTGTATTAGTTTTGTTTTGCATGTACAAATTGTTCCAATCGGTAACAACTGGAGGGTGATACCAGCAGATTTGCTCAACTTTCACGATAAGCAAGCCCAATATGCACCAGAACATTTTACAGAATTAAAAAATACAATAAAACGAACAGTGTTCCAAAATAAAAATATCAACAAAATTTTGAAACTGTAGTTGAACTCGATCCACAAGAGCTCCACGCTCTTGTGGTGTAAACACAAGTGGAATATTCATAT